TTCTTCCGAAAAAGTTAATCGGCTAAAAGCATATCCGTTACTATACTAACACGGCCCAGATGTGGCCACGTCGGTCCAACTTTGGTCCAAGGATGAGGGGGTCAGCTCAGTCGTGGCTCACTTAAGTGAACTATTTTTGGCCTTTTTCGCACAAGCCGGCCCAACAGACAGAGCTGAAAAAGATGGCTTGGGTTCACCTTTGATTTGGACGAGGTTTGGGAGAGAAAGGGAAGAGTGAAGGCGGATATTTCGTTTGGTTACACCAGATATTTATTACTTCATGGTCGGATTCTGTGATATTTATCTACATTTACATGTGTTTCACCCGCTATTAGTCTGTGTTGTGTAGATATTAGTTTGTATAATTTTTTAAATGAAATAGCAATATCCATTCTTCACAAAACCAATAGCCATCCTTAACCAACTCAGTATATATAGGGTGTTCAAACGGAGTGGTTACCGTTTTAATTGGTAGTATTTGGGTAATTTAGTTTGGTTGATTTGGATAATTGGTTTGGTTTGGTTAAATTTTTTAGCTTGTTTGGTTTGGTTTCAGATACTCCTAACCAATGAAACCATATTAATAAGCTAAGTATTAGCTATATATCCAGTATATATTATACAAACATATTACTTTGCATAACTATGTGTTTATGTTAAGGATTAACTATAACTATGTGTTGATTGTTATGTTTTATTCATTATATAAATTGCGAATTGATGCATTAACCAGAAAATTTTCTCACTTAATGTGATGTTATATTGGTTAATCTGGTTAACCAATTATACTTTAGTTTGGTTAATTTAGTGTTTAGGGTTAGGGTTTTAGGTTTAGGGTTTTGGTTTAGGGGATTTAGGGTTTAGGGTTCGGGTCTTTAGGTTTTAGGGTTTTGGGTTTAGGTTCGGGTTTTGGTTTAGGGTTTAGTGTTTAGAGTTAGGATTTTAAGTTTAGGGTTCAGGTTTATGGTTTAGAGTTTAGGGTTTAGGGTAAGTGTTTCAGGTTTAGTGTTTTGGTTTAGAGTTTAGGGATTATAATTTATGGTTAGGGTTTAGAAGATGATATGGATGAACACAATGTAGGATGGTTTGATATTTGTCTGTGGGATAGGATATTACTATGTGTTGGGAGGATATTAGGTTGCGAAGGGACTAAGTCTTACAATGTAGTCTTCCTTGCTGGCAGGGCTATAAAAACAACTCGTACCACACATCCATTATTCTAGGATAGTAATATCCGTCTTTTGCCTGACCCGACCTGAACATCTTTTCAATCGGTCTAGTCCACGCGTGGACAGAGGAATGAAATAGCTCTAGCCCATTACCTGACAGAAATTAAAGCTGCAAGTATGCCATGGATGTTATTAGCTTATTCAAGCCTCACTAGACTCTATGACGCCATTCGTAGTTAACAGTTAGTAAGAAAACCTCTTTCCATCGGAATGCGTGAGATTACCTGTGAGTGGGTTTTGTGGGAGCTTGGTTGAGGAAGGCTGCGTAACCTCCCGGGTCGTGCACTAAGAGGCACCATCCGTAGATTGATCATTCGGATATTGATGCGTCTGGATTGAGCCAGTGATGTGTCTCCGCATCCCCTTCTCTTGGAGGAACTGGCATCGAATACCTTTTGGATCTTGTCATCTTGCACAATTCTTGAAAAGAGATAATATCAACGAATAAAATCCAAAGAGACCAGACATCATTTAACCAATATCCCTACCTCACATAACTAATATCATTGAACTAATATCCATATAGGGTACAAATATCCACACCTAGTATACAAATATCTATGCATCACATAACTAATATCTAGACAATCAACCACCAAACAATATCCACATTAAACCAACTGGTATCCCATGCAAGCTAAATAATTTCCCAGGTCAACAAACTAACAAATTAACCAGCAAAATCCAGAAACCCCCAAACAATATCGACATTCGACAAACTGTATCCCAGTCATGCTAAATAATATCCCAGTTCAACAAACTGTCATATTAACGAGCAAAACTCAGAACTCCCCAAACGTATCGACATTCTACGAATTGGTATCCCAGGCATGCTAAATAATATCCCCGGTCAACAAACTACCATATTAACGAGCAAAACTCAAAACTCCCCAAACAATATCGACATTCTACGAATCGGTATCCCAGACCTGCTAAATGATATCCCAGGTCAACAAACTACCAAATAAACGAGCAAAATGCAGAACCACCAAACGATATTGACATTCAACAAACGGCATCCTAGACCTGCTAAACAATATCTCAAGTCAACAAGAATCTCGGAGCTCCCAAATCGAATCCCAGACCTCAGCCACAGAAAATTCCAAATCTCCCAAATCGAAATAATCCCAGATCCCCTAAATTGAATCCTAGATCCCCCACGACGAATCTCAGATCCAAAAAAAAAGCAAAAAAAAAGAAGAAAAAGAACTCAGATCCAATCGAATCCATGAAACTCTAAATCAAATATATGTAATCCAGCATTCATATCCATGAATCAAGGAAGGAGAAGGGTAAGACGCCTACTTCAAAGCTCTTTCTCAAACCTGGATTCTTCTCCTAACACCCTATCTAAACCGCGCGTAGGCGAATCAGCCTTCACCGTCACATTGCTGCCCTCAAAGCCGTCATCGTTGTCGCTTTCGTGAAAGCCACCGTCGCCAGAGAGAATTTGTGGTTGTGAGAGGGTTTCGTTATCGGGAGAGGAAGGGAAGAGGAAGCTTTTTTTATTTTTGGAGAGAGGAAAGGGATGAACGAAATGGTGGTACATGAGAGAAGTGAAAAGTGTTTTTATTGAGAAAGTGGTGGAATTTGAAAAACGCTGGCCCACTTTTCTTGATAGGTGGAAGGGGCCTTGGTTCAGTCGAGCTGGTCAACCACTCCTTTCCCTCCCCTGCCGGCGTCGTCACTCCTCCCCACCCTCAAATCTCGGCTCAGCCACGTGGATAGCAATCCTACAGTGTTTGTATACACTAACAACTTACCTTGTTAGCAGAATAGCTATATTGGTGTTTAGGAGTGTCTTCCAAGTGTTTGTGGAGATGTGCGATTGAGACAGAGAGATTTTCGAGAGCGGGTTAAGCGCGTGACAGGAGAACTGAGAAAAGAGAAAGAGGGAAGACTGGCCCATTGGGCTAAGCTATTGGGCCCGAAAGCAGTAAATCATACCCCTATCAGATATAACCTTGTCACTAAAAGTACTGGGCCCAAAACAATAATCGTACCGATAAGACTCGTTGAGCAATGAGAATCCCATCCAAGGTATTTATCGGGGCAAGACCAGTAGACCACTATTTGACTTTCTAAGTTGCCGATTATCACGTCACATTATTATATGTCAGACTTGTGAGTAATTAAGTCGTTCATGTGGTGGTAATTAAGATGAACAGACCCACACTAGTTAAGTTAGAAGGCTAGCCAATTAGATAAAACTGAGAGGTCAAATGGATAAGAGCTGGCAGTGGCAGTGCAGCTTTCTAACTATATATATATATGGTGACTACTTCGGTGCACTCAGAAAAATGAGTGCATTCAATTCACCCAACTCAAAAACTAGTTTTAAGGTGTCGGATTTTGAATTTTAATTTGTATAATTAGTATAATATGATAATATAACATATGATAACAACTAATTAACGGATTACCCTAAGCCCTATGCCTCCAATTTTGAGTTCTATCCCTAAACCCCAAATTGTAAACCCTAACCCTAACCCTAAATCTCTAAACTCTAAATCCTTCAAATTAAAGTAAATCTTAAATGGGTTTTGTGAAAATTCATGTGCGTTATTGTTCATCGCATCATAGGTGAAGATTGACATCATTTTGACATAAATCGCATGTTTAAAATGATGGTTATGAAGCGAGTGCATTGAATGCACCCAAAAAAGTGAGTGCACCGAAGACGCCACCATATACTACTTGGGTGCACTCACAAAAAAGTGAGGGCACCGAAGACGCCACCATATACTACTTGGTATGGTGTTCTTCAACATACATTGAAAAGTCTCCAACTTAATTTGCTTGGAGAATATCAAATCTTCTTTTGGGATGGGAAAAGAGAACGCTTTGCTTCTATATCAAAAGGGAGAATGGATGCATAGGAGTCACGCCACGCTTCATATGAAGGGACGTTGGTTCCTACCTAGGACCATGGTCAAATCGAGTAGCCTGGAAAAAAAGGGGGCTTCTTAAACTAATTCTTGGGTATAGATATAATTTTGCACGTTTTTATTTTACTTTTGGATTGACCTTTATGATTACCAATAACCAAATGATCGGCTTAACTCGTCATATTCGTCCCTTGATGTTAACCTTTTATAACAAAATTGTCCATATAATTGGAAGTTGAGTTACAACTTTTGATTGCAATTAATATCTTTCGCTACATCAATTACCTGATCGAATTGAATGAAGGTATTTAGTTCAGTAGGTGTCTATATATTTTCTATCTACTTTCTATGATATTCTTTGGAACAAATTTGTTAATAAATGTAAAGGTATTTTTATCACTAAGTGAATACCTTAAAGTTTTCTCCATTCTTCAACCTTCATCCTAATTACCCAAAAAAATATTATAATATAATTCAATCAATAATTGGTGTTTTGAGCCAAGTTTGATTGCTTGAAAAAGAAACGGAATCTCTCCCGCCGAATATTAGCATCCCCCACCGCTGTAAAGCAGAAATCGCCACTTGATCTCGCGCTTTCCAACCCCCACCGCACAAAGCAGAAGCGCCAACGTTAAGCAGAAGTCGCCACTTGTTCCCGCGTTTTCCAATAAAATAAGACAAAAAAGGAAACCCACGACCAACGAAACTTCTTCGGCGCCCGTCTCTGTCAGCTGCGATCCTCTCTTCCCTACCAACAATCGCTATATAAACCAAACCTGCCCCTTTCCTCAACATCTCACACTCACCTCACTCTCGCTCACAGCTCAGAAGCTAAATCTCTACTAAATTCCGAAGAGCTATTTCAACCAGACCTCCGGCAGCCATGGCCGACAAACGCTACCGGGTCGGCTACGCCCTCGCTCCCAAGAAGGTGAGCAGCTTCATCCAGCCGTCCCTCCTCGAATACGCCGCCAGCCGCGGCGTCGACCTCGTCTCCGTTGACCCATCAAAGCCCCTGACCTCACAGGGCCACTTCGATTGCATCGTCCACAAATTCTACGACGACGATTGGAAGCTCCAGCTCGAGGCCTTCGCCGCGGAAAATCCTGATTCGGTGATCGTCGATCCGCTCGAGGCCGTGGAGAAGCTCCACAATCGCGTCTCCATGCTCGAGGTGGTGAGCAAGCTGAAGCTCGATCGGAAGGAGCGGGCCGAGATTCCTCGACAGGTGGTGGTCTCGGATTCCGACGAGCTGAAACAGAGCGCGGCGGTGAAGGAACTAGGGTTTCCGTTAATCGCCAAGCCGATGGTGGCCAACGGGACGATTCTGTCTCACAAGATGTATCTGATCTTCGATCGGGAAGGATTGGCTGAGCTGGAGGAAGCGCCGGTGGTGATACAGGAGTTCGTGAACCACGGCGGCGTGATCTTCAAAGTCTACGTCGCCGGCGGCCAGGTTCAGTGCGTGAAGAGGAAGTCGTTGCCGGACATTCCGGAGGACAAATTGGGGACGGCCCCTTTGAAGGGCTCCCTCCCTTTCGCTCAGATCTCCAATCTGGCCGATGGTGATGTCGATGCTAGCGAGATTGAGTTCGCCGGCGTCGAGATGCCGCCGGAAGGGTTTGTGGAGGAAGTTGCCAGCGGATTGAAGGAGGCAATGGGGCTGCATTTGTTCAACTTTGATGTGATTAGGGATGGTAGAGATGGGAATAGGTACCTCGTGATTGACATTAACTACTTCCCTGGGTATGCTAAGATGCCGAACTACGAGCCGATTCTGACTGGTTTCTTCTTGGATCTCTTGGGAGAGAAGAAGGAAGAAAATTAAGGTGGAGAAGACGGCGAGAAAGGTGTCCAAGGAAGCAAGCGATCCTGACATTGTAGGTTAACAAAGGTTCTTGAAAGTTTGTTTCTTTCCCTGTTTTTCTAAATGTTCAAGGTTTGGGATGGTGGGAAGGAAAACTTGATTCCATATGTTTGATGCTTATGTTCTGCAGTAGCTTTCCTAGCTAGTCAATGGTCCTTTTGTTGTGTAACTGTAACAGTAATAACGGTGCTGTTTGTGCAATGCAATGGAGTTCCTCTTTCCCCCAAAGGATTCGTCTTTGCAAGAATCTCGCTAGAGGGGTATAGATTCTTTCCGGGGTATTTTGCATATCCACTAACAAGCTACATTGATGGGGAGTTTGCATATTCTTCTGATGATTAATTGACAGATTAACTCGCCGGTTGAAGCTGTTCATATAATAGGATACGTTCTTCTACCCTTTCCTAGATCCTATGGGATTTAGAAGCTACAGTTCTCGACTTTCAGTTTTCATATCGCTGATGCAACCAACTAATGTTGGCTTCAGAGGTTACGACCAACTAATGTTATAGATTCAGAGACTGGCTTGTGGTTGGGGGATAGCATGCCACTCGACTCAAACTCAAAGTCAAAGCTAACTAAGTGGTTATGTGAATAGTAGGGATTGGAACTTTTCATGGTTTTCAGCAATTAGCATAACTTCCATTTCTTCATGGACTTTTAGTTGTTCAAACAAGTTCGCCAAACCTAACATTGTCCACATAGCTATGTACACAGGAAATGGTAATTGGTAAGAGTTGCCAACTACATCTGTGAAAACAAAAGGGCTTTAGTTAGGCTGGTCATTGCTACTCTCCTTCAACTAATTTGTCTGCCTCTACAAAATCCACAAAAAGCTGCTCTCACATGCTCTCCGCATAGTTCTTCCAACAAAAGTACCACAATCCTGTTCATCACGTTTTCATGTATCAATTGATATCCCACAAAGGCAATTGCTATTCACTAGGCATATAGAATGAGGAAACCTTACCAATCAGACTGAGGTTGAGTCCACTTTCCGAAGCGGTTTTATCACCATCAAAGCTACCTCCAATGGTTCCTGCAGTATGCTTTTCTTGGACTGCAATGTTTCAATATAAAATCACCAATCCAGATCAACAGTGCCCATAGAAAAAAGAGAGGCACTAGATACAGCATTAAGTTCATAGTTCTCCATTAAGCCTTGGCTACTGAGTTGAGACATGGATTTTTCAAGCAAATAATACAAATAATCAGATGACTTGTTGTACCTTCAAGGAAGGGACTAACGCAAAAACTTCTTCAGTAGACTCAGGGCAAGCATTGGCAATCACGCTTATCTGCATCCATAAAATTAAGCTGAACATGTTTAATGGCTTATGCCTCTCCTTAGGTAGTAAGAATTGGACTTACAAACAGAGACAGTTCAAAGGAGATACCTCTCCTTCCACAACACCATGCTTCTTCAGAGTACTGGGTAACTTAGTTAAGACATTCACATTGAACTGAAACAATGAATTGAATAGTGCTTGCTACAAAGCAGTTGCAATGTGAGAGGGACAAGAGAAAAAAACATATGAAGGATACTCTAGAACACGTCTAACGGAGTGGGTATTTGTGTAACGAGCATTAGCCTGTGAGTACTGCAGCCCCTTATGAAATGAGCTGCCAACAAAAAAGAGAGACTTATCACTTTATGTTTCTTCTACCTGATATCAGAAGCTTGGAGGGTTCCTTTACTCACACAGGCAGTTTGATGGTTGCATCTTGGGATAGGAGAGTCATCTGATCCTGGATTCCTTGTATGATTTCTGCAGCCTCACAGTCCATTAAGCATTTGGCATTCTTCAGAAGTTCTAGCATAGGCCAGGCAAAGAAAATGGTAAGATTTCTTAAACCTATGAAAGGATAATAATCAGAGGCAGGGACTTTGCTCATTGTTCAGGAACAAGTGGACACTACATACCCTGGTTTAACCTAAGCTCAAGTGGTTCCTTTTCTTTTGATTTCGAGGCCTTCACATTTGCAGTGTTTCCTCTGCCACCTATATCAAGAACCATAATAGCTTGACGTAAATAAGCTTATATATTATAAGAAAGACAGACAGACAAACAAACAACAGAACAAACAAGGAGGCAAAAAGACCAGAAAAGATATCTTTGAGAGATTAAGAGCGAAGGACGAAGAGAAAAGTAAAGCAAAAACGTGGTAAGAACATAGAATTCGACCTTTATCAGCTGAGGAACTAGACTTCCCGTTTGACTTTGAGTAATCAAATCTCTCTTCAGGAGAGCCTGAGATACAAAAATGGATGTTTAGCTATCACACTGGGAAAGAAGATGCTAACAGTCAGTCAGTCACGCTACTACCTATCTACAGCAGTAACAATAGCATATAACACACATGGGAAAGAGGAAATTCATAAATTTGAACGAGGAGCAAATGAGACAGATTTAAGAAAGAAATAGAAGCTGTTAACCTCCATTGTTGAACTGAACTTTCCTCCCCTCTTTTGACTTTTGAGAGGAATCATCCTTGCCTAGAAAAATGTAGAGAGAACAAAGTATTTAAGAAACATAGGTCAAGATGAATCGTCCTCTGATTCAGGTGAAGGTAGAAAACAAAGCTATGCATGCAGGTGGCATGCAACTGATCTAAACTACCAAGTGCTCACATTTCATGTACACTATTCAAACACCAAAATGTACAAATTGACACCTTCATAAAAAATTCCACACACAACGGGCTCCTTGTATCCAAGATAAAACAACGCTTGTCTAGAAACACTTCGCCAAATCATTAAAATAATGAACCAGAAACAATCAACCACCAAAGGCCAACTTCCTTAGATGGAAAAATCAGGAGGGGAGTGCTTAGGCATCTTCCAAGCCAGCAATAAGTTAGAAATGGACGATCAACATTCATGGATTATCTCAATAATTCAGAGTTTGCCACATCATTTCTCACTGTGCCAATCATCTAGTTCAGCATGAAGAACACAACCATATTCTCAGTTCTCTAGCAGACTGGTTTTCCGCAACACCAACGAAGAAAGATGTCGCTTCATAAGCATAATTGAGAGGGGGGGGGGGGGGGGGGGGGGGGGGGGGAGAACCAAAAGACAGGAAATGGAAAGTTCTACTTCATCTATCGAAAGAAAATGGAAGAAGAACGCAAAACAATGCTTACTTGGAGTGGACTTGAGAGAGGACTTGGGCATCGAAAACCCTTTCCCATTTTTCTCCATTGCTTGCTGCTAAAAGTTGCTGCGAGAAGCCACTAACACAGTCGAAAGATCGTAAGTTTAACATGTGTTCCGCGCTACCCAGAACTCAAAATCGAAATCATTATATCCATGCAATCAAGTAACCTAGAGGAGAAGAGACCGCTAGCATTTCTAGAGCAGATAACCTAATGGAGAACGGAACATCTTTGAAGAACATGAGAATGGAAAATGGAAGGATGAAGGAGAAGAACTGAAGGCGCTGAGAAGCTTACCGAAGAGAGATTGCCGGAGATTGGTTGTCGGCGATCGACTGGTGCCGCCAGTCCAGTCTCTCTTCCAGTTGTTCAAGTCGCACGATGACAAATGCTTGGCGAATTCAGGCTAGTCCAAAAGACGAATAGACACAAATTGAGTAAATTACATAAGTGGTCATTGAATGTATGTATCTTTCCCATTTTCCATCTGGAAAAAAGAATTTTAACTCTCTTAATTTTTTTTATAATAGATTGTATTTGTGGCGGTATATTCATCTGAAAGGAAATACTTGTAGAATACTGTGCAAGTTGTAGATCAACATCCCAATACATGGTGGCTAACCTAAGGCAAAGGCATGTGAACGACTAACTGAGACATCTTAATTTTATAAAAGATAGTAAAATTTAATTTGGACGCAATGATATGAATTTGATCTCTATTTTTCAAATTAGGATATTAATGAAGATCATACACACGGGTTAATTATAAATCACGTGATAAATCCGAATGTTAATTGATTTATTTTCAAAAATGTATTAATTGAATATTTTGACCAAGTAAATTGTTTCTATTTTAGGAATAACTATGAAATAATCTTATGGCATGCTAATTGAGAGAAAGAGAGCTTATCCATTGAAATCCTAAATTACAGCCTTCATAGTAGTGATGTGAGTTTTGACTTATCCACCATCTCTCGTTCTTTCTCAGAATGCTACTATAATAACAAAGAAAGAAGCATATATGTTTTTGATCGATCATTCATGCATGCTCTGTTTTTCTCGAGAAAATAATTAATACAAGTATGGGAAGCAAGCACAGTAAGCAATCTCGCCGGCGTTCCGGCAGCTACACTAACCGTAGATGCCATTCCAAGACGACGCCGGTGACTTACTACGATGGTACAACAACCCAACAAATTCCTTGGGGTAAGCAACAAACAACCAAACCAAAATCCAGGTACTTACAAATTGGAGATGATTACAGCTCCCTGGAACAGGTAATACTTGATGATCATTAAGCACATTATACATTAATGGATTCTTTTCAATTTGTAAGATCCCATCGATCTGTGTATTTTTGTGCAGGTAGCTGAAGCACTTGCCCAAGCTGGTCTTGAATCATCGAACCTCATAGTTGGAATCGATTTCACAAAGAGCAATGAATGGACCGGCGAAAGGTCTTTCCAGGGGAAGTGCCTCCATCATCGTGGGGTTACTCCCAACCCATATGAACAAGCAATCTCGATTATCGGAAGAACACTTTCAGCTTTTGATGAGGATAATCTGATCCCCTGTTTTGGTTTTGGTGATGGTGAGGGGGGAAAAGGAGAAACCTTTTTTTTTTGGCTTTGGTCTTTCACAATCATAAGCTTAGCCTTCTTTACTCTGTGTTTCAGCCACCACCCATGATCAAGAAGTATTCAGCTTCTACCCTGAAGACAGGGTTTGCAATGGGTTTGAACAAGTACTCAGTCGTTACAAAGAAATCCTTCCACATCTCCACTTCTCTGGTTGGTTTTTGTTGTTATGTTTGAATTTGTTCTTGAAGAATTGCATCTGAGTTTGTGCATCTTCATTTGAGTTGTACATCTTGAACAGGGCCAACATCTTTTGCTCCTGTGATTGAAACTGCAATGGGGATTGTGGACAAGAGTGGTGGTCAGTATCACATTCTTCTCATTATTGCAGATGGACAGGTGAGTAGGACATTGATTCTTTTTGTTTTCTAGATTGACTTCTCTTAAGCTGATCTCTTGCTTGACAAATGGTGTGAAAGGTGACACAAAATCAAGATCCATATAGCACAAGGTTAAGCTCCCAGGAACAGAATACCATCAATGCTATTGTGAAAGCCAGGTTTTGTGAATCCATATACAGTTGATTGATTGGTACTGTTAGCTTCAGCCATTTCTTCTCAAAGATTATCAATTTGTGTTTGATTCAGCAAGTTCCCTCTTTCAATTGTGCTTGTTGGTGTTGGCGATGGACCGTGGGAAACAATGCGTAAATTCGATGATAACATCCCTGCTAGAGCCTTTGATAATTTTCAGGTTAATACAGATTACAGAGTATGAATTCTCAGATTGACTTGAGCTGCCCTTCTGAATGCTCTAATAGTTACTGTTGCTGCTATGCAGTTTGTGAATTTCACCTCAATCATGTCCAAAAACATTCATTCATCCAAGAAGGAGGCAGAATTTGCATTGGCTGCGTTGATGGAGATACCTTCACAATACAAAGCCACTCTGGAGCTCCAACTTCTAGGGTAACTATAAATAGAAATACTAGTGTTTTTTTTTTCTAGTATAATTCATTTTAGCAATAACAACATCATCATATACTATTTTCTTATTTACTTGTAGTTGTAGGAAAGCGACTCCTCCAACGACAAAACGTCCTCGTCCTCCCCCTGTCCCATACTCTCGGAACATGTTGGTAACCTCATATCGACCTAATATGATGTCAAGTAACGAGGTATATATTCCTTCATAAACTAGAGGTGTAAATGTGCAAGGTGGTTTGGGTTTGGACCATTTAAATCAACCAACTTATAGACATTGATTTAGATACTATCAAGCCCACTCATTAATATAAAAACCATGTTGGTTTATTTTGGTTTGGGTCAATTCTATTGAACTCTATATCCATACAACACAAACAAAGAAAACAAAGTTGAAATTTTTATACTAGAATAAAGTTGCAATTTTACTAAATTCAGACCAATCCAACAATATCCATGTACTCCACATAGGGCCTTAATCCACCTGTAACCTTCAAGTTTTCCTTATTTTACAAGTGAGCTTGATGGACTGAGATGGTCGATTTTTGGGTGGTTCCTTCCACCCCTATTCTAAACCATATAGTAATCTCCTACACATTTCCGAATTGACTCATTAATCATTAATTTTGTGATTGAAGCAGAACTGCCCCTTATGCTCATGGAAGAAGAAGGATCTTGCATTTGGATGTGGGCATCAGGTATGAAACTTAACAACAAGAAAAAACTAATTTTATATTTTTATAACGATTATTGGTGAACCAAGTGTTTTTTTTTTTCTTCTAACAGACATGCTCCGATTGTGGAAGAGATGTGAAGCTCTGCCCAGTATGTCAAGTCATTGTGTCCACTAGGATAAAGTTGTTTGATTCATAAATTAATTAAACAAGAAACCTTTTTTTGGTATATAATAACTTGCAAAGGATCCATTGTACTCCTACAAACATCATACTTCGAACTAGCTATTTGATGTACTTGTTGTGCGTTTTTATACGTGTAGCTCCATCTTCGATTTTCATTTTGTATTCGAATAGTAAGAATTCTTAAGCTTTTAGTTTCTATGCATCCTATTGTTTTACTTCATAAGCAAAAGAGAGAGGCGTGTTTAAATACGTCAAATTGTTCAACAACAAAAAAAGAACTTGGACTTGATAAACAACATTTTAGATAGGTCTATATGTTGTGTTTAGCCCAAAACACGAATATAGTACCAACTCTATAGTTGGAATGTATTGAAAGAAGTCAAACTAGAAAAATGATTTGTTTTACTTCTTTCATTTATATCCCAATATAAATTCGATATATGATTGAAGAGCATTGTATATCTACTCATGAAGAAATTCAAATTATAAAACGTTAAGTTTTGAAGAGCATTTTTCAGATAATCTTTTTATTCTATATTTGTTTAATATTTAGCAACACCTACAATTTTAACATCAAAGAGATTAAGAGAAAACTTACTCTTTCACCCAAAAAAAGAGAAAACTTACTCTAATTTCAAATTCGAATGACACTAGAAAAACTCCGAACGACAGAGGCACATATATATGCCAAAAAAATTTTAGTAGGGCAACATGTGAGTGTTTCAACTGGGGCTGGCATAATATCTCTAATGACGGTTCCATTTTTCTCTTTGCTTCTTGCAACTCTCTAGTCTGCATCTGAAACCTCGAGCATTAACATAGCTTCGTCTTTCAATGTTCAAAGTACATCATAAGATATTGGAAATCAAAAGTGAGAATCGCTACGAAAAAGTATAAGCATGTAGTCTTGCATGATCATTCTCAATCCATTGATTCAAAATGGATTGTCACATGATGATATCAAGATTTAGGACTCTGTAGCACAATTACTACATAGCTAATTAATAAGTTTCACACTTACAACTGTCAAACACTAAGCAGAAACAGCATACACTGCAATGGGACTCCTAACATAGTGGATCCCATCAGTCCACGTAATCCCTCCGAACACATAATCATCAGCTGCACCGTTCCACTTAGCCTTCAGTGTCACCTTAAACGTCTTCTCTTCCCCAACCTTGTTGAACTTCAGGACATTAGGCTTCACCGAAATGGAAACACCCTTTGGTTCCTTGATCCTGACAGCATACCTGCCTGGTGATTCCCCGACATTCTTCACCTTCCTAGTCACAGTGATCGATGAGCCATCCTTGAGCTCAGGGACCGCGATCGAAGGGTAGTTCAGGTCCATGATCCTCGGGTGTTTGGGGCACTTGTGAGGAGCATCGGAGAAAAGCTTCAAGACAGTCTTGTTGTACCCTATAGCACATAGGAAGTCCAAGTAGTCACTGATGGTCAAGTCATAGACTAGGCCAGGGTCCATTGCACGGTTCGGCCTGATGTGTCCTGACCCGTAACTAAATGGTGTGGCCTTCTCTAGGGTGGAATCGAGGATCGGATTACGAGCATTATCCCTTGTTCTAGCTGCAGATGAACCAAAAAGAGGGTATCTGTAAGATTCACTCAAGCTTAGAGTTTGGAGAAAGATGTTGCCTCTTTGTTAGCAAACAAACAAGTAACCTACCTACCAGTGGTCATGATAGCAGATCGAATGGCGGAGGGGCTCCAATGAGGGTGGAGTGCCTTAAGAAGACCGAAGACTCCCGATACATGAGGACACGACATGGATGTGCCAGAGAGGATATTGTAAGGGAACTTGCGAGGATCTTCGTTTTGGTTTTTGGGCTTGGCTTCTGTGTAGGCTGCGATGATGTTCACTCCAGGAGCAGTGATATCGGGCTGAACAAATAAAAAAAAAGAGAGCATCAACTACATAAACAATCCGCCAAGAAACTTGAATCACAAGTAGCAATGGTCTTTGGAGCTCTAGATGGAACACCTTGAGGATGTAAGGTGTGATGGTATTAGGTCCCTTGGAGGAGAAATCTGCCATGACTGGAGCAGGCTTTATGTTCACCGCTGAAGTTGAGGGAGTGATGTATGCCTTAGGATGTCTGCATGAAGAGAAATGACTATTTTGAGCAAAAAGATCACAACTTTTAAGGAAAAGGAGAAGTGAAAAATGCCAAATCTTACTTGGTAGAATTGATGTAATGGAAAACTGCAACACCATCTTTGTAGCCAATTTGAGTGGCAGGCAAAAAATGAGGATCAGCAGTGAGATCAGCATCACCATTAATCTTATCATTACAAAGGATCATCCCAGCAGCACCTGCCATGGCAGCTATTTTACCCTTCTCTACCCTTCCATTGTCTCCCCTCAAGCAAGCTAAGATCTTTCCTTTTGCCTTCTTAGGATCCAATGTCTTAGGTTTGCACAAAAGGCTATTGGGAAACAAAATTTAAGAAGAAACATATTATTCTATAAGAAATTGACTTAGTGACGATATGGAGATGACAAAAAGAAAACATTCTTACGTACGCGTCTTTAACAGTTGCGTGGGCAGCTTTAGCTTGAGCCGCGGAAAGAAGTGGGTACGTCTTGTTTTTTGGCAAAGAACCTGAGAGACTTTCTCCCTGGTGACCCAAATTCGTGGCGAAAAAGTTCATTAAGACATCAAAAGATAGATCAGGAGTTCTTGCAAACTTATCGATATAACTAACTAAACTATTCTTCCTTGCAATTAGAGTTATATACAAAGAGAGGGGGGCAAAAGAGGCAGAACCTTGAGTGTCAAGCCATTGTCAAGCTGAACAGAGGATTCAAACTTCCTGTCCAAGGTACTTGCCGCAACAGTAGTGATCCAAGGTGCGAGGTTCGACACCGTTCCAGGCAAAGGGCCAGAGTTACCTGCAGAGCAAGAAACAAGAACACCCTTCTTGACGGCATGGAACGAGCCAATGGCTATGGCATCCTCGAAGTACTCGTATGCACCCCCACCAAGAGAGACAGAGATCACGTCGACACCGTCGTGGATAGCCGCATCGAATGCAGCCAAGATGTCAGAATCAAAGCACTCGCTCTCGTTGATCGGCGGCCAGCAGACCTTGTAGGCCGCCACTCTGGCTCTAGGGGCACCACCTTTTGCTGTTCCCTTCACTGCGCCGAGGATCTTGGCCCGAGGGACGAAATTCCCCCCCGCGGTGGACAAGGTGTGCGTGCCATGGCCTTGAGAGTCACGGGCTGAGAGGAAGGACTCGTTGGTTGGATTCCCACCAGCTTGAATGTAGCCTTTGCTGAAGAACCTTGCACCAATTAACTTCCTGCCCAAGTTTCCCATATTATGACCATTAATTCAATCTCGTCCCATTGTCATTCCTACCGATTGAGAAAAGATAAAAAGAGATTAACTAACCTGTTACAAGGGACTCCAGCCTTGGTGTTGTTCTGGCATATCCCTTTCCATTTGGATGGGACAGGACCATATCCTTCATCATCAAAGCTCTTTGATTCAGGCCAGACCCCAGTATCCAAAGTGGCTATGATTGTGCCTTCACCAAATTTGGCTGCCTTCCACAAAGGTCCAGGGTGACCTGCACCATTCTTCTCCAATGACAAGTAGTCCCATGATCTTGTCGTGTGCAGCTTCCTTCCTTGGTCCAAGAAAACTGATACCACATCTGGGTGTTCTGTACAATTCGACAAAAAAAACAGACAAAGGATGAGGGTATGTAACAAATTATCATTCAGCTGATGGGATCTCATTATAGGCTGCAAAACACCGTTCTCTTCGGCAGGTGCAGAATCAAATAATGGTTTAGTAGTGTTACTTACTGGCGATTTCAGCAGCTTCTGCCTCATCAAGCTTGGCAGTGAAGCCATTGATGTTCCAAGTGTATGAGTATCCAATTGCCTCTCTCGCTTTCTCACTACCAGACACAAACATATATGCACCCCAAAAAAATGTCAGTCATGGTACCCAAATTCGTCATAAAATTCGAATCTTGAGATCAACATCACAAGTACGATACAAAAACGTGCAGTTTTACGTACTTTCCTAGGAAGGATCCAAGAAGATTGTGGTGAGATTCTGTGATAGCCTGGACTCTATGAGAATCATCAGGATGATAGGATTGAGCAGTAGTCGTGCCACTGCCATCATGTGAATGAGATCCCAAGTAGACGATGTAGTTCCTTTGGATTCCTACGACAGGATAAGGAATCTGGAACAAACACAAAACCATGAAACAATAGTAAACAAACTCCATTGTTGTTGTTGTTGTCGTCTGCTTTTTTTTTTCTTTTCCTTCTCTTTCTTTATGCGTTTCTGTAGCATGTGAATCTCAATTTATGATGGGAAGAGGAGGCCTCAGGATATGTAAGGAATAATATTAATCAAATATGGAACATTTTCACTATGGTAAATTCTCTGTAAGAATGTCAGGATACAATGTACAGAGTAAGATTTTCTGAACCAAACATTGCAAAAATCGGTACCAATTAATTATCCTAATAATTAAGAAACAACCATGTTGTGATTAAAATTCACTGGCTCAACAATTACTTCACTTTCTGTTTCTGATTCATTCCTGATGTGTGTGCAAGTAAATAAGTCATAATAGCGGCGGGTTAAGGAAACTAATTGAAACCATATTGTTGCAAATAAAATGGTAAAACATGGAAAGGAAATCATCTACTCTCAATCCATCATGTTTCCAACTCAATCCTGGTCCTAAAAGGATTAGTTAACTGCGGAATTAATCAATAATCCAATGGTTAATCTTCAGAATTATTGATTCCACCGAACTCGTGTTTTCTGTCACCCTCAGGATTGAGGAAGCTAAGATGGATTAATATCGGATATCCCTAATTTTATTTTATAAGTAGTTATAATAATGAACGTTTAGTGAAGAAAGAGTTCTACGCACTTTCATATTCCTTCCATTCTCTCGTATTGATATATTTATTGTGATAAGCTGATTTTTTTTTTTTTTAGAAGATAAGCTGATATATACTGATAGTTCGTAAAAATCAGAATCAAGATAACTTCTAGTTTCCAATATAATTCACATAACGTTTATCCCGCTTTAATTCATTTTCTTTACTTATATTTTTTATTATCATTACGTCCAAATACAACCATTTCCATCTGGGTAAATTAAGTTTGGGCATATTTCGACGTGAAATGAAATTTGACCGTAATTAAGTACATTTAATCATCTTTCAATCTTGCATTTCATCTCCCTCCGTTTTCAGACTTGCTTCAAGATCGTCCGTATGTATGAAATAGAATAGAAAAATTACATTTCATTGAGAATTCAGAATTGAGTCTTGACCCAATATGACCCATAAATACGTATATCTACTGAGTCAAATATAGGACGAATTTATAGATTTGTTTACCAGTATAACATATATTGTGATCATTTGGTGTGACTAAAAAGATTCTTTCCGTATTTCTTATTAGTGTACTGTGTTTAGATTTGTTGTGAGGTGTGACCAGTTCCGGGAACCTAAAAACGATGTATTTTGTAAAACAAAAAAGTTTGGTAGATTGTTTTTTTTTTTTTTTAGTTGGAGAATATAGTATCTTTTTACAGAATTTCATTGGGGATCAGATATGCATCGGAACAGTTAATTAATTGTGATTCTTTCCTTTTTACTGGAGGTAGAGTTCTACCTCCGAGTAAACAACTCCTTGTATAAATTACCGTATAATTTCCAAGTGAGAGGGGAAGAATATAATTCAAGCAAAGGCCAAGTTGGGCAGATACAATATGGCAACCTGCAGTCGGCGAGTTCCGTTTCTTCTGTGCTTGGTTTCCATCTTCTGTGCGCTTTCGTCGGCGTCGCTAGTTTCCGCCGCGAAAAGGCACTACATCGTCTACTTGGGAGGCCACAATCATGGCTCTTCACCCGTCACCGAGGCTGATCTTCATGCCGTCACCGATTCCCATCACGGTCTCCTTGCCACTTACCTCGGCGAGTAAGTAATCACAACTACATTTTGCGACGCATTTTTGAATCTAACGTGACTCAGCTAGCTACTTGATCAATGAATCTATCTTTGCACCTTGAAAGTTTGGAGAGAGCCAAGGATGCAATCCGCTACTCTTACACGAGCCATATCAACGGCTTCACGGCGATATTAGACGACGAGGAAGCAGCTGAAATCGCCAGTACGTAACATCTATCTACCACACCAAAACCCTAATTTTAATGCCATATTCGTCACTATATATATATATATATATGCTAATCAAAGTTTGATCTTTTTGGCTACGGCAGAGCATCCCGGAGTGGTGTCTGTTTTCCCCGACCAAAAGAGGAAGCTTCATACCACAAATTCATGGCGTTTTATGATGCTGGACAAGGAGATCGACACCCCAACAGGAAAACGCAACGTCCCCAACGAACTCTGGAAGGCTGCTAGGTTTGGCGAAAATGTCATCATTGGAAACCTAGACACCGGTAATTAGTTTTACGCTTTATATTATTAGGAAGTGTACGTAATTGAGTGTTATAAAATATTTTTGGGGACGATCTAATAAAATATGGTTGCTATATATATAGGCGTCTGGCCGGAATCCCAGAGTTTTAGCGACGAGGGTTACGGCTCTGTTCCCTCTCGATGGAAAGGACTTTGCGAGAACAATACCAAGGCCGGAGTCCCTTGCAATAGGAAGCTGATCGGCTCCCGGCTCTACAACAAAGGCATCATCTCCGCCGTCGATGCTCAGACGGCCGACCCCGCCGACATCTACAGCCCACGTGACGTCGACGGCCACGGCACCCACACTCTCTCCACAGCGGGGGGCGACTTCGTCCCCGGAGTCAGCTTTTTAGGGACGGCATCCGGCGTCGCGAAAGGTGGTGCTCCCAGAGCCCGGGTCGCGTCGTACAAGGTCTGCTATGCGGACGGCTGCATGGATTCCGACATCTTGGCCGCGTTCGACGGCGCAATCGCCGACGGGGTCGACGTCCTCTCCGTCTCCCTTGGTGCCGATACGTTGGCTGGATATACCTATCTCACCGACGGCCAGGCCATCGGTTCTTTCCACGCCGTCCGGGCCGGGATTGTTGTGGTTGCCTCGGCCGGAAACGAAGGTCCCGATCAGGGAAGCGTGAAGAACATGGCCCCTTGGATCATCACCGTCGGTGCCAGCACCGCCGATCGCTCCGTTGATGCCTACGCCGAGCTCGGTAAACATTGCCTTTTTACTGCATGCATAACTTTTATAGTAAAGAGGTTTAGGGTTCATATTTTTAACCTTATATATACTTGTACGTTCCTCAATTGATATTATATAGTCCTAAAATATAATTTTTTTAAAATTGGGTGACACAAATTATTAGTAGGAAATGGAGTATCTTTTGCAATTCCATTTACTTGAATAATCACGTGAATAAACCTAAAAATTGGATGTATTAGGTGTTATAATTCTGTATGTATATCATCACCAAACTTTTTCCTATTAATCATTATTATTAATTGAATGTCCATACGAGTACACACTGTGACATAAATTTTCTGTGACAGGAAATGGCGAGCGGCTAAAGGGCACGGCGATATTCGCGAAGCCACTGCCGGAGCACAAGCAATACCCACTAGCCAACGCCGCCGACGTAAAACTCCGGAACGCCACCGCAGCGGACGCCACTCTTTGCTTGCCGGGGACGCTGGACCCGAAAAAGGCCAAGGGCAAGATCCTGGCCTGCCTACGTGGCCAAACCGCCAGGGTGGACAAGAGCCAGCAGGCAAAAAACGCAGGGGCAATCGGGGTAATTCTCTGCAACGACAAACCAGACGGGGCCAGCCTCAACGACGACATCCACGCCGTCCCGACTTCCCACGTCACTTACAAGGACGGCTTGAAGGTCTACAAGTACATCAACGACACAAAGAAGAAGAATCCGACGGCCTACATCGCGCCACCTGTCACCACGTACGGCAACAAGCCCGCCCCCTCCATGGCTTCGTTTTCCTCGAGAGGACCCAACGCGATAACCCCGCAGCTCCTGAAACCCGACGTCACCGCTCCCGGAGTCAACGTTCTGGCGGCGTACACGATGGCCAACGGCGGCAAGTATCCTTACGCGATGGAAAGCGGGACTTCCATGTCGTGCCCCCACGTCGCCGGAGTTGCCGCGCTGGTTAAGGCCGTTCATCCCGACTGGAGCCCTTCCGCTATTCATTCCGCCATCATGACCACCGGTACGTATAACTTAATGTCTAACCATGCATGCATGAAAATGACTTCACAAAATTGTAGTGTGATCATATGTATTTGGCTTTTCTTTTGGAAGCGAGGACGAGGAGTAACGCGGAGGACAAGATAACCAACGAGGACGAGGAAGAATCGACATCGTTTGGATATGGGTCAGGACACATCAGGCCGAGTCGTGCCATCAAGCCTGGCCTCGTCTACGAGGTGGCTCCTCACGAGTACCTCGACTTCTTATGCTCCATTGGCTACAACAGCTCGGACATCGGGCAATTGATGGAGAAGGGCTACAAATGCTCGGAGAAGACTAAAAGCGTGTTCGATCACAACTACCCTTCGTTCTCGGTTCCGAATCTTGGGTCCGGGCCGGTCACATTTACGAGAAGGGTGAAGAATGTGGGTCCTCCAGGGATCTACGCCGCGGAGGTGAACGAGCCATATGGGGTTGCGGTGAAGGTTGTGCCGGATGTGTTGAAGTTTGAGAAGTATGGCGAGGAGAAGAGTTTCAAGGTCATGGTGGCGGCGAAATGGAAAGGTGCCGCTAAGAAGTATGAATTCGGTGGGCTGACTTGGACCGATGGAGAACATTATGTTAGGAGTCCGATCTTCGTGACCAACGATTTGGTGATTGATCGTCCATCCAACGTTATTGTTGGTCATTACTAGCTTAGCTGGTTCTTTCTATAATTTTCTCTGTTTTCGGTTAGTTTAGTGGTCAGGGTTTTCAGGGATTTTATGTTATATGATTGGAGGTGTTCCATGAAATGATGTTACATTAATTTTTAGGCGACTTTAAATTGATTATTAGTATATGGATGAATGGTGACCTTTGTCATAAATTGTTTGTTACCTGAAATGATAGGACTCCTACAGCTAATACTAATAATAATAATAATAATAATAATAATAATTCAAATTAAAGAATATGGCGTTTATCAAAATGTTGAAATCAAATTCACCAATGAGTGCGGGGGGAGAGATCCAATGAGCTATATGTACCTTCTTGTATTAGTCTGGCCTTCCTGTCCTTTGTGCATTTTAACGTAACCGCTCTTTCATGACTTGGTTGGACCTACATGCATTATGGCCTTTCTTCTCTTTACGTTCCAAGTGTTAAGAGTTCAACACAAAAATACGTTACGTTGGTGGTTGTTCTACTGCGGTTAGGCCACAAACCAAACCTAGGGTTTGTGGAATTGTGCATTTCTCGACTGAATCGGACATGATAATTTCAAATCGGAGGTATACAATATTCCAGTACCAGATTGATATATGCGCGCGGTACAATTCAAATATTGATTTGGCCTCATTTAAACATTTTATAAAATCGAGAACCGGATATTAATTATATATATTTGTGTTCCGCTCGATCGGATCCAAACATCAATTTCATCCGGATTGGTCTGGACCTGTGTCCTAAGTGGAAGTAAAACAAAAACGTCACTCTCAGATTGTACCGCCGGCCCACTAATAAAAACCAATGGACCATGAATAAGTGACATTTGGGATTGGGATGAACGATAATAACATCTTGGGGAGTAATTATTTTATACTTACGTTCAAGCCCCAAACTTGAGTTCACATCATCACGATACATCCTATAAGAAATATATATGCATGATCATTAATTACATGTCGTTTACCATTATATTAAGGTAAACTACTTCTAATGGGCATTCCCTCCTATTATTATATGAACCACATCAGGATTATATAAACTCGGAGTGATAATTTTCCAAGTAGTAGTAAATTAAGCAAGAAACCCAAAGCCCGTCGGTAGTTACAATGGCGACCAGCCGTCCCCTTTCCTCCTTTCTCCATTTGGTCTCTGTTCTGTGCCTGTTTTCGTCGCCGGCGTTGCTGGTCTCCGCCGCGAAAAGGCATTATATTGTCTACTTGGGTGGCCACAGCCATGGCGGCTTTTCAGCCACGGAAGCTGATCTTCACGCCGTCACCAACTCCCATCATGATTTACTCACCACTTACCTCGGGGAGTAAGTGAATTTTATTCTGTCCAAACTCGATGCTGTATATTTCTTTTTTTTGTGACGGTAATTGATGGATTTACATTTGCGTATCATTTCACAGCCTGGAGACAGCCAAAGATGCAATCCGCTACTCTTACAGAAGGCACATCAACGGCTTCACGGCGGTATTGGACGATGAAGAAGCAGCTCAAATCGCCAGTAATTAATTACGCCTCCAGCAATCTTTATGTTAACACTATTTGCGCACCAAATATATTCGTCACTATAAGTTTTGCATCCGTCACAATACATATTTGCGCACCAAATATATCCGTCACACTGATTTGATCTTTGGCGACGACGGCAGGGCATCCTGGAGTGGTGTCGGTTTTCCCCGACGGGATGAAGAGGCTTCACACGACCAACTCTTGGGATTTCATGTTGCTGAATAAGGAGATTGGTAAGCGGAAAGTCCCCAACGAGATCTGGAAAGCTGCCAAGTTCGGCGAGAATATCATCATTGGAAACCTCGACAGTGGTAACTAGTAGTTTTAACTAGCTAGTTAGCCACTAATTAATTGTTACATCTATCTTGATTATAGTAGTCAATACAAATATTTCTGATGAGATATCTGACTATATATATGTGGAGTTTGTTACAGGTGTTTGGCCCGAATCCAAGAGTTTTAGCGACAAAGGGTATAGCCCCGTTCCCTCTAGATGGAAGGGAGTTTGCGAGAACAACACCAAGGCCGGCGTTCCCTGCAATAGGTAAATTAATAGTTTAAATAAGTATAGCTCGAAGCTGTTGAACCAACAACATATATATAAGAGAATATGTTTTACCAACAATTAATATTTTCGTATATTGCAGGAAGCTTATCGGTTCGCGGTTATACAACAGAGGTATGCTCGAGGAAGGGGGAGCCGACTTTGTCGATCCGGCCGACATATACAGCCCTCGCGACATGGACGGACACGGGACCCACACTCTGTCCACGGCCGGCGGCAACTTCGTCGCCGGCGTCGACATCCTGGGGTCGGCTTCCGGGGTGGCGAAAGGCGGAGCTCCCAGAGCTAGGGTGGCGTCGTACAAGGTCTGCTTTGCGACCCCAGATGACGACACTGGCTGCTCCGATTCCGACATCTTGGCCGGGTTCGAGGATGCCATCTCCGACGGGGTCGACGTCCTGTCCGTCTCCCTCGGGAGTGACAACTTTACCGGCTACACTTACCTGGTCGACGGCGTCGCCATCGGCTCTTTCCACGCCGTCCGGTCGGGGGTCGTCGTTGTTGCCTCTGCGGGCAACTCGGGCCCGGTTCAGGGAACCGTATCGAACATGGCACCGTGGATAATTACCGTTGGAGCCAGCACCACGGACCGCAACATTGATGTATATGCTCAGCTAGGTAAATCAAAACCGAACCCGATACTACTTAACAAGATCATTAATGAAGATTGTCAAATCGGTGTATATCCTTATATATATTGAATTGGTTCTAGCAAAGCATGCAGAGAAATGAGAAATAACTAACACTAAAAGATTTTAGGCGACATTCTGAACAAAATGAGAAATCGTCGTATAACGCAAACATACAAAAATTATACTTGAATCCGACAAACAACATAAACATGTAAATTTCAAATTTCCGAAACAAATAAAAGTGATCTTTTTGTGAATTAAATTCACCATATATAATAGCATCATTTTGTTTAGACATTGAAAATTGATCATGCTAATAACATTTCAGTCTGTTTTGTAACTGATACTAGTTTAACCTGATTGTGATTTGTGCATGTGACGAATTTGACAACTGAATTTTTTTTTTTTTGGACAACTATGATCAAAACTGGCCCACTAGCTCTAATTTCTTGATGATCACCAAAAACAGGTAACGGCGAGCGGCTGAAGGGGACGGCGATCTTCGAGAAGCCATTGCCGGTGGGCAGAAAGTACACGCTGGCCACCGCAGCCGACGTCAGGCTTGGAAACGTCACCGCGGCGGACGCCATTCTTTGCCTGCCGGGAACATTGAATCCCAAAAAGGCCAAGGGCAAAATCCTGGCGTGTCTACGTGGCAAAAACGCCAGGGTGGACAAGAGTCTCCAGGCCGGAAAAGCAGGGGCAGTCGGGGTAATCCTCTGCAACGACGTGAACAGCGGACTCGACCTCGACACCGACCTTCACTCCGTCCCTACTTCCCACGTCAACTACAGAGACGGCCTGAAGGTCTTCCGTTACATCAACGCCACCAAGAACCACCCGACGGCCTACCTCACGCCGTCAGTCACGACGTACGGCAACAAGCCGGCCCCTTCCTTGGCCTCTTTCTCGTCCCGCGGGCCCAATGTCGTCACCCCACAGATCCTCAAGCCTGACGTCACGGCTCCCGGAGTCGACATCTTGGCGGCCTTCTCTATGGCCGGCCACGGCCGGAAGTACCCTTACCAGCTGGACAGTGGCACCTCCATGTCCTGCCCTCACGTCGCCGGCGTCGCCGCCCTTGTGAAGGCCGTTCATCCCGATTGGAGCCCTTCTGCCATTCATTCTGCCATAATGACTACCGGTACATATACATAACCCTTACAAATTTCGTAACGAAATAACATGTTACATAGTACATACATATTTTGTTCACAATCTTAACGAAATGTCGTTGTTTCCTTTTGCAGCTACGACTAAAGGCAACAACGGTGGCAAGATGATCGATGAGGACGAGAAAGAATCCACGTCGTTTGGCTATGGGTCAGGGCACATCAGGCCTAATCGCGCCATCAACCCGGGACTTGTCTACGAGGTGGCTGCCCACGAGTATCTAGAGTTCCTATGTTCCATCGGGTACAAGAGCTCCAAGATTGGCCGGTTGATGGAGAAGGGCTACAAATGCCCCAAGAAGAAGGTGAAGAGTGTGTTCGATCACAACTACCCTTCGTTCTCGGTCCCGAATCTCGGGTCAGGACCGGTTACCTTCAAAAGGAGGGTGAAGAACGTCGGCCCTCCGGGGACATACACCGCCGAGGTGAAGGAGCCTTATGGAGTTAGGGTGAAAGTAGTGCCTAATGTGTTGAAGTTCGAAAAGTATGGACAGAAGAAGACTTTCAAGGTAAAGGTGACGGCCAAAAGGAAAGGCGTCGCTAAAGGGTATGAATTCGGCGGACTGACTTGGACCGATGGAGTTCACCAAGTTAGGAGTCCAATTTTTGTTACTGACAATTTAGTGATAGATCCATCGTCCCGCACTGTTAGGTGATTGTAGTGGGTCATCAATGGATTCTGCTGCAAGGAATACGACATCAAGCAAGGTCCTACCATTAAGAAGTCAATAATTCCGGATAGTTATGTAAGGGTGAGTAACCTCTAGTATTTTACAGCCTTTTTCCACGGTAATAGTGAATTTAACTTAGAGAATAATAGGTATAGCTGAGTTACTTAATATACGGTTCGACTTATTCGGTTATGAGAATTTTGACTTGATTATTTAGGGGTGATCATCTAATCGTGCTGGGAGTGATCATCTAATCACGTATCAAAATGGATCATATGCATCAACATGTTTATTGAACCAAAATACCAGACGTAACAAAACTAAATCAACCCACCCAGAACATTTTAAAAGCTTGATGGATTTGATAATGCATCTGTGGATTAGTATACATGGTTCTGTTGACTAAGATAGTTCACCTGGTCATGAAGACATCAACTCATATGCTGCTGGAACGTCGTGCAACGGGTGCCCTTTCTGATTCCTCTCTATTATCCGCCTCGCTAGAGAAACTTGCTTCCCCACCACGAACGCAAACGCCTTCCCTTTCCCTCCGGCACCTCTAGCAGTTCTTCCCACTCGTCGGACATACTCGCTCGGGTCCCTTGGGAAGTCAAACAAGACAACATGATCCACACCTGCAAAGTCGATCCCACGCGAGGCTCTGACCAACAAAATGACATCATCAGAAACAATGGCAGGCCAGAGGGCCAAAACGAGTTTGTATGACAATGGTTGTCCAAATGCCTCACCTATCGGTGCAAACAAGAAACAAAGACTGGTCTGGAGAGTGATGTGGGTTCATGAAATCTTTCATATTTGCCAGCCTCGATTCTTGAGCCAGAGCAGCATGGAATGGAAGGACTTGAATGTTGATTCCTTTCCTGTCGAAACGTTTCAACACATTCTCCACTTTTCTGCACGTCTCAATCTGCATATTTTTGGAAGGAGAAGGAGGACGAGTGTAAGGTTTAACAGCAATGTCACGAGAGCACCAAGGGGTGAAATCAACCGAAAACCACACTCACCTTGTTGCAGAAAACAATCGTCTTTGAAACAGGACTTTGCTCTGCAAGCTGCAGCAGAGCAGATTTTTTGTTCTCAAATGCCGTCTCAGGAGTTTTCTCGGCTGCAACATCCCCACTGCAATCGACAAGTACCTGAGCATTTTTAAAACCACAAGTAAAGTCCGTTAAAATGGGATTCTAAGAGAGAGAATTGAACGATCGAAGTTAAGCATGAAAACCAACCTCTTCTAACCCAACACTCGTCCTATGCATAGCAGGGCCCATGATCATTGCACAATCAGGGAAGATCTCCACAAGCTTGTTGTAAATGTCTACAGGTAATGTTGCAGTCACGAATAGGTACTGTGCAGTAATAGGCGAAGAACTGATCAAGAGTTGGAGTGCAGCTTCAAAGTCGTCATCTTTAAACAGTATATCAATCTCGTCCAGAACAGCACTGCAGGCAGATTTGTTCATTATCAGTTGTTAACATTGACAGCTAGCATATCCAATTTATTAACTAGGCTTTGTATAATTACCATCTAAGATTTTCTAGTTTCAAGACGCCTTGTTTAATCAGGAAGAGGAAACGGCCAGGTGTTGCTATCACCAGATCGACACCTTGTTCTAGAGTCTCCAACTGGGTTTTCTGTCGAAATCCACCTGTTGCAACCATGGACCGAAACCGAACACCAAATTTCGACATTGACCGGCAATTGTTCAGAACCTGAAACCGAGAAAACATGCCCTGAGAAACTAATAGCAGCTACAAACAGGATATGCTATGAGATCATCTACCTAATGTTGTGTCTAGCTAGGTATTCACATGCTAGTTCTTTGGTGCTCAAGATCGACTCAAAGTAGTAACACTGGCCACTCGGAGCATGAGGGAGAAACAGACGGGTAGACAGTATGATCTTTGAAGTTGACTTGGGTCTCGAAGCTAACCTGAGAAGCCAGCTCGGCAGTTGGCACCATGATGAACACTTGAGGAGTTTTTGGTGCTACGGGTTCACCAGCTGCTTGTTTCTCTTCTTCCTTGAAACGCTGGATTGCAGGGAGAAGATATGCCAGGGTTTTGCCCGAACCACTTTGATCAGAGATGACACAAGTCTTCCCTTCAATCACAGGAGAAAATGCCATGGCCTGCACTGGATATGCAAATGCTAAGAACACACTCTCCGAATGATGGTAATCAAGGCTTAACACAAATCCAACCATGCATGAAGTAGCTATAGAACAAAGAACAATACTTTTGTATGGACAAACAGTGCTTGAAGATTAAATTACTGAACCATACATCATGGTCCATGGCACTAATTGAAAACCAAATACTTCCTCTATGTGAAGCAAATAACATGCTCGAGTCCTTGTTCGGAAGGTAGGAAAGTTGATCTACCTGAATATGTGAAGGACGATGCAAAAGCTGCCCTTTCAAAGCTTCAATGATATACTCTTTGCATCCAATGTCCCTGAATGATTTCCTACTGAAGAAGTCACTTCCTGAAGAAAATTTATCATGTCGCTGTGAAGGGAACTGTGATCTGGGTCTGAAACTATGAACGGAACCTTCATCACCCCACCTCCTGGAGTTGGAACTTGAGCTGCCGCCTCTTCTCGAATCAAACCTCGTTGTAGACTTATCATACGATGTACTTCGCGACTCCAACATCCTGTGAAATTCATCATCATATTCTTCTTCATTATCACCCCACCTCCTGGAGTTGGATCTCGAGCTGCTGCTTCTGCTACTAAAGCCTCTTCTCGAATCAAACCTCGTCGTAGACTTATCATACGATGTACTTCGTGACTTCGGCATCCTCTCAAAGTCATCATCTTCATCGTCAGCACGGGAACCCAACATTTCCTTTGTTTCCCCATCAGGCAACTCATAATCTGAACCTTTTAACCTGGGCATCCTACGTTCGGTTGGGGCATCTAACGACTTATGTTTCACTTCTACTCTAGTTCTCGACCTAGGAGCTAATTTCTTATCCTGTCCCTCTACATTCCGCTCCATTGACGAAGAATCATCTTTTTCCACACCAAGCATTTTCAACCTTATAGCTTTCAGTTTCCCGGAACTCACGTATGCTCCCTTGGTACGAATTGTCGCCGAGCTTGCAACGCCTGAAAAGCGAAAGCTTTGTTCAATAATAAGGTAAACCTCAGCGAATTGAGTTGACTGAACCTAAAATTAGGGCGCACCACGCGGAGGAAGACGTTCGTCGTCTGAGTCTCGGCCTTCCTTTGCAGGGATTGGATGTTGAGATTGAGAAGACGAAGAAACTCGAACCGAAGTGAAGCGGCTAGGGCTGCGGCCATGGCCAGGTCGCTTACTGGACTCGGAGACTAAGACGAGGAGAACGCTGCTTCCGCAGTTGCTCGTTCGGCCTCTGAGAGGACAGGAAAAGGGAGTGACTTGTGAAATTCCAGCCGCCATTATTGCTTTCTGTGCTCCGCCGTTCGTTCTTCTCTCTCTCGCTGGGTGATTTCCCCCGTCGGCGGCCGCTCTCAGACTTCAGCGAGTCCGAGAAATGAGATAACTTCCATTTCGCCACTCTGATATTTTATTTGTCGATGGATATCCAATAACCCGGCCCAGTGCCTCAACTTGGACCGGGTTCCCTCCATAAATTTCAACGGACAGAAGGAAGTTCCTCCTCGAGTCAAACGAGTTGGCGCCACCGCCAAATCAGCGGCACAGACAACGGTGGCACCACCGCCGACCTCCACGTTTCGCTCGCCAGAATCCAACACGTCGCCCCACCACCCAAGCAAAATATAAATTAAACCGCCGAACTGTAGATTTTGTTTACCACTTTTACATCTTTCTTGATCTTTCCTCCGCCGCCGTCAATTGGAATGGCTATTTCATCGCCGGAATCAACCGACCTCGCCAACACCGTCTCTGCTCCGGCGGGTTCGGTGGAACTCCAGAGACTCCCTCACTTGACCGACTATCTCTCGAATATCGAAACTCGACCCAACCCGCTTCAATCCAACCCGTACTACCACCCATCCCACGGCTTCTACATCTCCGACTCTGATGTCGTCTTCCGCCGCATCACATTCGATCTCGCCCAAACCCCAAATTCCGGTTCCAAACAACCGTCCTACCACCGGGCGGGCCCCCGGAAGGAGGTCGTATTCGACCCGACGGGGGTTCGGGCTGCGATCGTCACCTGCGGCGGGCTGTGTCCCGGGATGAACACGGTGATCAGGGAGCTGGTGATTGGGCTCTGGCAGCTCTACGGAGTCCGTCAGATTTTCGGGGTCGGCGCCGGTTACCGAGGGTTTTACTCCAGAGACCCCGTCGAGTTGAATCCGAAGCTGGTTCATAATCTGCACAAGAAGGGCGGCACCATTCTTGAAACCTCCAGGGGAGGGTTCGATCTTGGGAAGATCGTCGACGCCATTGAACGCCATGGATACAATCAGGTTTCCTTCCGTCTTAATTCGATTCTCACCGTGATTTGGTGTCTTGAATTCTTGCCGCATAAAGTTGCTTGCTTTGATTTTGGCATTGATTGGAAACGGTATGTACAGAGTGATACTCTGTCTCATTGTTTGCAAATGGCAGAGGAGCTCTGAACATTGGGTTATTGTTGAACCACGCTAAATCCAATGCTCTGCTATGTCCAATTCGAAATTCTGCTTAAGAGATCGCTTGGATTTGGTGTGATTTCGTTTGATCACCACCACTCTGCTCTGATATTTGTGCAACCATATGCAGCTCTACATCATTGGCGGGGATGGAACAATGCGAGGAGCGGTGAAGATATTCAACGAAATCCGCCGCAGGAAGCTGAACATAGGGGTGACCGGAATCCCCAAGACGGTCGACAACGACATAGGGATCATAGACCGATCCTTCGGCTTCCAGACCGCGGTCGAGATGGCCCAGCAAGCCATCGCCGCGGGCCACGTGGAAGCGGAGAGCGGTGTCAATGGCATAGGCCTAGTCAAGCTCATGGGCAGAAGCACAGGCCACATTGCTCTCCATGCCACATTGAGCAGCCGCGATGTGGACTGCTGCCTGATCCCCGAGACTCCCTTCTTCCTGGAAGGTAAAGGCGGGCTCCTCGAGTTCCTTGAGAATCGGATCAAGGAGAACGGGCACGCTGTGGTGGTCGTGGCGGAGGGAGCCGGCCAGGATCTGATCCCTAGGACCGAGGCGCAGAAGGAAGAGAGGGACGAGTCCGGTAACCCGGTGTTCTTGGATGTGGGCTCGTGGTTGAAGTCAGAGTTCAGGAGCTGGTGGAGCCGGAGCCATCCCAACGAGTTGTTCACCGTGAAGTACATCGATCCGACCTACATGATTCGAGCCGTGCCTGCGAATGCAGTTGACAACATGTACTGCACCCTCGTGGCACACTCGGCGATCCATGGGGTCATGGCAGGTTACACCGGGTTCGTGTCTGGTCCGGTTAATGGGATCTACGCGTACATACCGTTGGTCGAGGTCGCGGAGACGAAGAACGAGGTGAATGTGAAGGATCATAAGTGGGCGTGGGTGAGGTCCGTCACCAATCAGCCTGATTTCATTAGGCTGTAGCACTTTGGCTTGATCAAGGCTTTGGTCATTTTCTGACGTTTGTTTGCATAGCCGATTTGAGAGGCACCTTTGGTCTGTAATGTTGTTTTCTTAGAACGTCCATGTCAATGCCAAATAAGAAATCAAAAGGTTTCGAGTATTGTTGTTTGAACTTCGCCATACCATAGTTGATTAGCATCGTCCCAAATCAAATCTCTTTCGCCATCCACATCAGCAGTCAACATGAGAATTGCAAGATACTTTTCTGGTTGATAGCGAAATAGTTACGGGCTTCTTGTTTCAAAAGCCCAAAGAAAAAGGAGGGCCCGAAACCAACAATGAGGCCCAAGCTGGCAGTGTGGATAGAACTGGATAAGGGAAGAGAGCCTTCCTTGTCAGTCTGATTCATTCATAAAGCGGGAACGAAGTGAGAATCGTCGCCGGAGAAGATAATCGGAGTTAGTTGAGAAAGCAAATGGCGGCTTGTTCGTTCACCAGCAACTTTCTGGGGTTCGGGCAGCTCAAGCTAACGGCATTAGCCTCAGGGAATCACCGCCCGAGCTCATCAATTGCTCCACCGAGCTTAGTCACAGTTCAAGCCAAAACCAGAACCAGACAAGACGACAGGACCGCCCGCCATGCCCGAATCAGAAAGAAGGTTTCCGCCGGCTCTTGCTCTTTTCCGCCTGCTTCCGATTTTTGGATTTAACTTCCCCTTTGTTGTTGTGAATTTTTGTTATAGGTTGAAGGCACTACAGAGCGGCCGAGGCTTTCGGTCTACCGTTCGAACAAGCATTTCTACGTCCAGGTGATCGATGACTCCAAGATGCACACCCTCGCCGCGGCCTCCACAATGCAGAAGCTGCTCGCGGAAGAGCTCAATTTCAGCTCGGGGCCAACAATTGTGAGTGTGTTCAATGCTATGAAGCAATAAATTTTGTGCAGCTGCAGAAATTGAAACAAAAGGAGCTTACTTTAGGATTGAGCTTCGAGATGGATTAGTAAACAGGCCTTGAAAGAATTTTGGGAATGCCGATTTGGGGTTAGAGTGTGGATTGTGCAATGAGAGATTGTTCAATTGCTTAATCTGGCGTTACTGCGTTATTGCTTGTTTTGTGACTTGATCTTCTGGTTCTACTCACCAGGAGGTAGCAAAGAAGGTGGGTGAAGCAATAGCCAAGGCATGCTTGGAGAAAGGGATAACTAAAGTGGCATTTGATAGAGGGGGTTACCCATACCATGGACGAGTTAAAGCGCTTGCTGATGCAGCTCGGGAGAACGGGCTCGAGTTCTGAAATGGACTAGGTTAGTCACTTCCGAATGCTCATTTTCATTCAATTCAGCATTGTTGTGATGCGATGGAGCAAGTTGTAGTGCTAGGAGCCTGCCTGTAATGTTGTTTGGGTGTGAAAAAGTTCCAGTTGTCTTGTTTTCTTCTATTTTATGTCAAGAACAGCAAGTGATAATCCAATTGAAAAGTTAGCATTTTGTTTCAGTGATCAGCAGCTTGGCCTTCAAAATGTTTGTGTTATGTCAAATTAGGACCATCTTTTGAAAGTTAAGTGTCAAAGCACAGGACTTGGAACCAAAATGAATGATGGAAACAGTTCATGAAACTTGTTGTATACTATTTAGTCATAATCCTAGTTGAAAGTTAACTGGTGGGTAGGATTCTCTTTCAATGATACAGCAAGGTTCTAGACTCCAAAATCGACAGAATAGTTGGAATTTACCATGCCAATGGAACAGTTGGAATAATCTGCTGAACATTCTGTTGAATAACATTCTCAAAGCATCATAAACAGCATAGATAGAAGCGAATAACAATTGGGAATCAGTAGAATTTAGAAACAGATCAATGGTTTCTTCAATGTTTAGTTCCCAAGCATGGTTTGGGAAATACTACCAACCCTTTAGTTTCTTCTTTCTTCCAGAATTTGGTTAGGCCTAGCATGCAGCGGCGCCTTGTTCCAACTCAATCTGAATCCTCAGTATCAACACTTAGGAGCTCTACCATCTTAAGTTTCTTCCTCAAGTTGATGGTCAACTTCTCTGGATTGACTCTATCTCCCACCACCACCAAATACTCTTTACATTCTCCTTCGAGTCCCACAAAGTTGACACCTGCCCAATTCACATTCTTGGTCAAAACTTTTTTGTTCTGTTAGTATGATTTTTCAAAAGAGTTAAGATGGGTAAATCCTTAAATGTAGGGTAATGTGGGAAGGATGAGAGCTGAGCTTACCCTCAGTCCCTGCAGCAATCTGGAGTGCCTTGCTCTGTGATTTCTCACAGTTGAAATGCAGTTTGAACACAATCCTTTTCTGCAACTACACCATAGCATTAGGAAGAGTGGGTGAACTAGTTTGGAAACAGAAAACCTGCATGGAAAAGTATCATGGTAGAAGAAAAAGAGAAAAAGAGTAGAAACTTAAAAGGAGGGGTTCTTACAGTCATCCTCCTTAGATCAGGGAAGCTCAGAATACTTCTGTAAACTGGTCGAGCAGAGAAGGTAAAAGGGTCAGGGATAGAGAGAGTGTCTGTGAAAAGAGTCGATAGCTTGGTTAGAAGCAATAGCAGAGGAAGCAGCTGTGTGTATTTTTTATACGAAACAAGTGAGTGAGTATAGGTCAGTTGTGCTGGTCAAATCAGTGTATAAAGAGAATGCTAGTAGACGCTGTCACGATCTTATCATTATATCTTGAACCATTAGTCTCGTATGGTTTCTGAAACACAAGTTTTCAATTAAATTGCAGCTCAGAGGTAGAAACGTGTTGCTGTCTGTGTGCATTTCCTGTATTTGGTCATTCAACACCATGTCTGGAGTGGAAAGGGTGCGTTCTTTCTGGCTTTGCTGATTTGCCTCTTTTGGGTCGTTACCAGGTGGGTGTTTCTGCCTGCAACGACGACCAGTGTCCACGTGCAGTCAAAGCCTCTCTTTAATTTTTCTTTCTCTATTTGCCTTCTGGTTTTGTTTACCTGACGAAGAAAAAGTTTGTACTTTTATAGCCTTTGTGGTATTGTCTCTATAGCAACGACTCTTTAACAACGGCCGTCAGTACTGTCGTTGAAACAAGTCGAAACTTGAAATGAGAGGCCCAATATATATCTAACACACCAACAGAGCAGGACTCAAGGCCCACAACATTCTGGTTCATTGCGCACAGTCGCATGCACAAGAGGATGAAGCTTGATCCGCAAGCATGCGTATACAATAATGCACGAACAGTTGGAATTTCATTTTCTATACATCAGTCTCTCGATTGGATATTCACGTACGGGGCTTCAATACTTGTTGCAGTCTCTTCGTAGACTTTCGTGATGAATCGATTGGTGTTGTTGTAAGTCGGGTTTCTGATTTGATCGTCGAGTTTTACTCGCGCTCCCAGCTGCTGCAGTGAATGTCACCTTGAGCGGTACCAACTGTGATGCAATTTGCAGAGCTACCCTTCAAGCAAGTTCCTGTCTATGCAACAATGTGGTGTTGATTTCACAAGCATCTAAACAATGGCATTGGAAATTCTTTTCCAGTCGACAACAAGGAGGAAAAAGAATTTAAAAGGTGGGCGTGGGCCTGTAGAGAGTGACACATATTCATTTTTGGATATGCAATCTATTGAATAGAGTGACGAGACACCAAGTATTGACTTAACAGTTTGCTCATTTGTCAGTAGCGTTGTTGTTTTGCTATAGAAAGCGAGTCATGAACTTGCAGTAGGCCAACCCCTGCAGCTGCCCTGCCACTCATGGTTTCTTCCCAATCCACACATTTGTCTTTCCACCTATCCAATCTGGTATTGTGGGCTGAAGGAAAATTAGGTATAACACTGCATTCATAGCTTTAAGACGGAGCTTTCAAGCAATAACAATGCATCAGTTAGCTTAGCTAGATGATGAGGAAATCTAACGGACACACACATGAACCATATTGGTGAAATGGAAAATGCAATAAGGATTTGTTGTGTACCTTCACTATGCTTTAGAGAGCATGTTTGGCAGCATGGAGGGTATGAAGGGGGGAGAGTGAAGATGTGGGGGAATTGGAGGCCTGCATGGCTCCCGTAATGCCAACTAGGAAGGTTGCCAAACGCTCTTGGAAAGCTCCCTAGATGGCATGCAGGGAGCCAGGCAGAAACACGCATTTTCGCTTTCATTCCCCCCTTCACAAAATCTCATCCCCGCCATGGAAATTATCTTTCTTTTTTGTGCATTTTGTGTAATAAACAAGAGTTGACACGAGGAAATAACGTAGCATTACTCTATCCTGCCCACCACAAGCTTGAACTTTGGAGAACCCATTTGCCACCATCCACCCTGCACAACCGACACAAGCTAACAGAAAGGAATCGAACATCCCTCGATCCATCTCACTGTAACTTCGAACTTTGAACTCGGCATCAGAGAAGAAGAAAGAAAGTAAGAAGGTGAAGGAGAAGGAGAATGGGGGCTTGCATCTGTTGAGTTCAGAAGTCCATGTAGGGTTGAAAGACAAGTATGGAGATTTATAGAAAGGAGTGAAGGAAGAAGACAGATGGAAGTCCATGTGGAGACTAAGAGAGACAAAAAGGGTTGTGAAGGGGATGAAATGAGAAGGGCGGCAGCTGAGGAAGGAGTTAAGAGTGTGTTGGGCAAACTATAAGCAGCTGGTATAGTAGCTAAATATGTAAGAAAACAAACTTATTGGAACTCTTTGTTTCCAACAAATAGTTCAAACCAAAAGATAAAGCCAAAAAGGGGGGCCTTTGCTTGGGTTTCTCAGTCCCCACCCTCGATAGATTCTACCTAATTTCATTTGGATTAATTCTTCCCTTTTTCCATCATCCCAAACTAACCCTTTCTCTTTTGTTCTAATCAGCGGCTACGTGCAGTTTAAGAGGGATTATAACCTCTCTCAATTTTCGTTCATATATTGAGAAAACATTAGAAAATAGTATAATGGAGGTTATTAGGTCCCTTATCTCACATTTAGGTTTAATCACACAAAAAACTATTGCAGTTTGTTATTTCCAGCCGCTGTACTCATTCTAAGTTATGGCTTCGCTACTGGTTCTAATCACTCATTTTATCTTTCTTCCCTTCAAAATGGTTAATATGACTCACATCTTTTGATATATGATGGACATGATTGTAATTGGTGAGCTAGTGTTAGTAACATTGTATTCATGAGCAATATATAACTCGTTTGCTCGTGGGTTCATGTGAGCCATATAGCAGGCATGGAAGAAGTCAAAGAAACAAGGCAAACATAATCCAACTTTTTATATATATATGTTGAATGATGGTTGTTTAATGAACATCATAACTAAATGATAAACACAGTGAAGATTCCAAAGGGAGAGGAGGAAGAAGAAAGGGACAATTGTCAATTATGTGGTGGGTTGGACTTGGAACCACTAAATAAGACAAATAGAAAGGCAGTGTTGGCCTCCCACCAAATTAAATGAATACTTTAATTGCTATTTTAGAATATACATATATGTGTGTAAAATATATACAACATTGTCACATTGAGAGAGCAATGGTATTACAATATATACTTGAATACCAACATTTCGAAACAAAATTTTATAAAATATATGTTAAAGGAATACGAGAGCAACAATTACTGGTGCCCCACTTCCTATACTAGAGCTAATTATTTTCACCGGGGAATTTTGCGTCTGAGATATTTAACAATACATAATATCATGTAAGGTTCATTAGTTCAAGGGAAAATGGATGAGCTACGAGAAGAAGAAAAATCAAATGAGATGGAATTGGATTTTGATAATGATATGCATGGTTTGATCAATTCTTCTCCATTGGTTTCATCTCCCCCTCCAATAACATTTATGGAATCTTCTTTTAATTATAAGATCTCCAAATAAAAGTTAATTAGGGCCATCCAAAAGAAAGGAAAACAAAGGATTGTTGGTGCTCGGTTTATTGGCAACAATCAACATGAAGGGAATCTTAATTAATCCTTAATCGTGTTCACACTCTTCATTGTTCTCGAAGAGTATTATTCGATCTAAGTATTGTTAATTAAATAATATGTGTAGAGCAAGGCTAACAATGATGTTTATGTTAAGTTAGTTAATTAGCATAAGATTCATCCAAAGATACAACAAGAGAGAAGATCATAATTATGTCGAGCATGTATTATGATTCAATTTTGTTTACGTTGGTACCATCTCGATCCTTACACTTATTGTTTGCTTTGAAGTTTCAAGAGGTCATAACGAATCAAACAAAAACAAGTTAAAATATTTGAGAAGTGAGAATGAATTGGATAATACATTAGTCCTAAAAGTCTCCACAGTTCATTAATATCTGGACTCATTAACTTGCCTTTACGTTTAGAGTGACAAAATGCATACGGAATACCAAGGGCTTCATTGATCGGACTGAGTCATATATGTGTATACTGTATCCAATACTTTGATTCCTAACATTTGATTTTAATTCCTTAATTATAATCTTTCATCGGATGGCTTAATCGAAATTGAATCAAACCAACCATATCGAATGCACTTCATGTCCCAATTTTCATTCTCGTTTTTCTTTCATCAGATAACTTAACGACTTGCATGGCTCAGTAGTTCGTTGTGGGAGGGTATAACAGTTAGATGAGAAATCTCGACAATATTGAGTAAAAAAGTTTAGAGGATCTAAGATGGATTGCATGTTAGAAACACAAGTATTATGTTAATAAACATATTACATCAAAATATAAATAAAGTATTATCAAATCAAAAATAGTTTAATTACGATGTTAAACTCATTATTATTATTATTATTATTAATTACCTTACTAATGGCAGGATACAGAGCTAGTATAGATTAAAAGATTATTACATAAGACAGATAAATAATACGAGATAGTGAGACTTATTAAGCAAAAGATTAGCTATAGAAACCAATCTCACTAATTGTCTCTAATTATTTGTCTTTAGTTATGAGCCATTTTTCTTGCGGTATAATTGGTGAGTGCTTGTTGAGAAGGGTACTCGCAACCGGTACATATGCCTTGGTCGCAAGTAATCCAATCTCGGCATCCATAAAATATACGACAATCATAATCTGTTGTGCAGGTTTGTGCTTCCAACATTGGTGCTGCTGCAATACACAAGTTAATTAATTGATGGGGTTAACTCACTGATGATAATAACTAAGGAAGGATGTGTTAATTAGGAGCTTGATCTTTATCGTACTTACTTGTGCTTAAGATAAGAACAAGGAGGAGGAGAGCCTTCATGATGATAAGATTGACAAAAGAGAGATTTTTGTTTTTTCCTTTCTTGGGATGAAAAATGATGAGAGAATTGAAGAGTGTGGAGTGAGAAAGAGGGGAAGCTTGGAGTGGGTTTTTATAATGTGGATTAAGAAGTAATAAGTAACGAGCTAATAGCTCGGATTAAGAGAGTTTTGTTAACAGTCTTTTCATGTTTTCTTGAACATTACAAAGATTGTTGATTTTCTTTCTTATTATTTTATCATTTAGTGTCACTTTGGCAGTTAAGAACTCTCTTTCTGCAATCATAAACAACCTTGTTTGATACCTTGACCAAAGTAGAAGCAGCTTGCTTAAAGCACAGATAGCAATTTCATCTGACCTTTGTGATTGCAGCAATAGAATTCTGAATTATCAGTCGAACAGAAGGGAGTAGAGTAGATAACTAGAGTACAGATGAACAAGCAGGACAGCAAGGACAAACATATAATCTTCATTCATGCCACACAAAACAAATACTCTTTTTGTGTCCACTATAATTATCAGAACAAAACTGCATTGCTACATCCTCCTATAAAGATTTCATCAGCAAAACTCACCAGGAAATCCATAGAGTAAGGTAGAGGGAGAAGCCTAATAGGATAACAACCACCACAGCTCACAGAAAGCTCAAGAGAAGTGGATGCCAGCCATGTTGAATCGAGAGAGCAGATACAAGAATTCTTCCTGTGACAGTTTCGATGACCTTTTGTCACAAAAATCCTTCTCCTTTAACACTGCAGCAACCTTCTCTTTGAATTCCGACCTTCCATTTGCCGCTTCTTTATCCTCCTCCATCTCCATTTCATCATCATCATCGTCGTCGTCTGCATCCATTTCCACGCTCTGCTCCCCTCCCCCTAGCTCCTCCAGTCCTGAAATATCCATCTCAGCAGCAACGGACGTATTCAGTGCTTGGAGAGTTTTGTAGTTCTTCTCCAGTAACGAAAGCACATTTTTAATCCTGAATATTGCGCCAAGAGTTTTGTTCTTTCGGATGAAACAAATTCGTATGAAGCCGTCCCACTCCTTAGGGTTGACTTGAGGGCGAGGCTTCCTGGGCTCGATTCGGACCACAGAGGAATCGACCTTTGGTGGGGGGCGGAAATTGTTCTTCCCGACTTTGAGAAGATGTGAGACCCTCGCGTAGAGCTGTGTATTGACAGAGAGACGGCAGTAGAGGTTGTCCCCTGGCTGAGCAACGAGTCTCATTGCAAATTCTCTCTGGTACATAATGACCGCACACCTGAATGAAGGCTGGTGATTGAGTAACTTGAATGTGAGGGGTGATGAGATTTGGTAGGGAATGTTGGCCACACATATGTCGAAGTATGGTAGATCGGTCTTTAGCACGTCGCCTTGAATGACCTATATCCAATATAAGAGCACGAGAGAAGAATAGGTGTGAATCATGGAAGTAAAGGTCTTAGCCACCAAACGAGCTGGAAAACAGACATCATAGCAATCATTCTTTAGGCAATTCTTGCTTGTCCCGTATGGGAGCAATCCGGAATCAGAGAAGGGGACCAGAGTCTTACAAGGTGCATCAAGAAGCAAACTTTATTATCACCATTGAAGCTTATTAGAACATAACCAACAATGACTCGCGAGTTCCTCTTAAATTTCAATTTAAGCTTCATCAAAGTGCCCATTTTCGCTCAGGAACCCAGGGAAATTTCAATAGAACCAGTTCCCTCACTAGCTAAAAAAACAACGCCACAATACTATAATATTGGAGACACCAATTCAACATAAGCTTCATCAAAGTGCCCATTTTTCACTCAGGAACCCAGGGAAATTTCAATAGCAACCAATTCCCTCACTAGCTTAAACCACAACGCCACAAGACTATAATATTGGCACACCAATTCAAAGAGAGCAAAACAATTCGAGTTAAAGTTTACCTTAAGCTTATTAGAGAAAGGAGTCCCCTGAAAGCGGCGCTGAAGTTCGAGCACCATGCGAGAGTCGAGCTCGACGGCGATGACGGACTTGCCGGCCTCGAGCAGCTTCTTGGTGAGATTTCCGGTACCGGGACCAATCTCGAGAATGATGTCGGTACTCTTGATGCCGGACTTCTGTACTATGCTGTCGACCAGCATAGGGTTCTTGAGGATGTGCTGGCCCTTGGATTTGTGGAACGATATTCCTCCTTGGTAGTGGCTCGCCGTCGGCGGCGCCTTGGTCTTCTCTTTTCTCATCTTGCCGCCCGCCATTCTTTTACCCAACTGCCGATATGAATCTAGCTCTCAGCGAGGGATGAGTTGAACGACGGTGGCTGGTGGCGGCGGGCGAGAGGGGGACTCGAGGAAGGGATTCGCTTCTGGAAGAGGGAAGCTGGAGGGAAGGGATGAGGAGGTATACGCACAGAAAAAACTGGGCTTTCTTTAGACAAAGGCCCAGAGAGCTTCTTCTATATTTAACTGAAAGCCCAAAAGTTTGATGAACAAGTGGCGTTTCGTTGGGGAGGACAGGCCTACGGCCTGCGAAAACGAGAAACCCGCACAAAATAGCGAAACGGGTTTCAGAGACGTGCGAAACGGCTGAGAAGGGATCTTCTTAATTTAATCGAAGGCACAAATGAACGAAACCCCCAGCAAGAGTTTGGACAGGGAGGGAGGCAGACGGCCCGGTAAAACTGGGCTCTCGTTGGACAAGGGGCCCAAAGACATTTTTCTCTAATTATCCGAAGGCCCAAAGAACTAGAAATGCCGCGCCGTTTCGTGAGCAGGGTAGGCCCAGTCCGGCGAAAACAGGGAAGTCTCACAAAACGAAGAAACGGGTACCAGAAACGGTCGAAACGCGAAACGTTTCGGGTCCTCAAAACCAAAATCGAAACGCGAGAAATTGACGAGAAATTGCCGAGAAAGAGAAATTGCCGATATCTCGCGATATTACGAGATCTCGCGATATTTATGCGATATATTGACTTTTTGCGATATATTGACCCGGTATGAATTTTCCAGTCGAAAAGCTGGAAAATTGAAGGGGAAAAGAGGGGAAAAATCAGACGATTGCATAAAAATACGGGTAAACAGCAGAGAAAAATATTCCAGTCATGAACTGTGCCCAGATTCTTGCATCCAATTGGGATTAATTCGATTTCGAGAATGGTTTCTTTGGCAACTGCAGAGGACTTGAACTGTGGAACTTGGGAGAATCGGAGGTTTCTGGTTCTTGTGCGATATATATGGACGATTACTGCTTTTCGCTTCGGTGAATCTGGAGCTGTGGTGGAAGCAGAACCGATCTGAACTTCTCAGCAAGCGTTTGATTGAGTGTGGTGAGTTTGACTCTGCTCTGACCATTTTTATACGGAGCTGGAGGACCGCATTGGATTGCAGCTTAATCAACATACTTAATGGATTTCTTGTTAAGGCATTCTGTGAGAAAGGTTGCTTGAAGGAAGCATTGGGTGTTCTTCAGGAAATGAAGAAATGAAGGGGCTTTGCAAGCTAGGGAAGGTGGAAGAGGCTGCTGCATTGCTGACCGGAGATGAAAGGTAAGCGTGTGGCTCCTGATGTCGTTAACTATACTACTGTCTTTAGTGGTTATTGCGACAAAGGTAATCTTGATGAGGCCATGAAACTATTCGAATCGATGAAGCGAAATGGGATTAGGCCTGATGTCGTAATTTATAATTTACTTGCTTCTGGTTTGGCTAGATTGGATTTTACTAAAGAAGTGAAGTGCTTGTTAAACTACATGAAGGACTATGGTATTGAACCTAACAATGGAACATACAGTGTCATCATTGAAGGGCTATCCACTGGAGGCAAATTGGAAGATGCAGAAGCTTTTTTGGCCGAACTGGAAACCAGTGCTTGAATATCTATTGTGTCATGGTTAATGTTTACTGCTCAACAAAAGGGTCAGAGAAGGCCTTTGCTCTTTTAATTTATCTGGCTGAAAAAGGGCACTTGCTGAAGAAACGTTCTTGCTCTAAGTGGCTTTGCAGTTTGGAACATGATATCGAGAAGTGTATTCAGCTGGTTAAGAAAGTGTTAGAGCCAAGGGCTAATTATCTGAATATTGTGTGCAGCAGAGTCATAAACATGCTTTTGCATGCTGGAGAGATGGGAAAGGCCCTGAAATTATTCAAGGAAGTGAAGGCAAACGGGATTAACCCAGATGTGTTGACATTCATACACAATGATGATGCATCTTTATTGCAGGATGGATCGCTTGAAGGGGGCCGTCAAGCTTCTCCATGATATGGAGGCCAAAGGGGTTGAACCAGATGTCATCACTTATACAGTTTTGCTGAAGGGGGGAATTGAAGGAAATAAGGTGCAAGAAAAGTAGGAATAAGGAAATCAACAGCAGCAATGCTGTAGTAGAACCTTTCTTGTATGGTAAACCTATGGTTATGGAGCCTGATCCTGTTACTTATGCTGCTTTGATAGGCGCAGGCTGCAAGGAAAATGATATGAAGGGTGCTGTGGCATTTTTCAAAGAGATGATTGATAGAGGGCTACAACCCGATTGGGGAGCTGACTTGGTCAGATGCAGTACAATATGTCAAGAGTCCCATTGTTGTAAAGAAGACAGAGAGTGAATTAGTCCAATCACAGCCTAATACAAGACTTGAGTGGCAAGAATAGTTGGGCTAAGCTAGCCTTCAACACTTCTTATGGGCTGGAGTCCCACTTACTATCTGAATGAAATGTAATTAAGCTAATTAATCCTTACCTATTCGTGTTTGTTGGTTGTAATTGTAATAGGTGGTGCATTTGGTTTGGTGGCTCTTCGGACCATGTTTCTGTCATTCCGATTGATGTCGGGATTCGATTTTGTTAATTGATTGTAAAGTTATTTATGATCTATTTCTATGTATGATGTTGTCGTCTTTGTATCGAACGATTTGTATATCTTTTCGAGTGATCTAATGAGAAGGAAAAAATCAAGCTAATTAATCTAAGCTTATTCTATTTCCCACTTGATGATTAGTGACGATTCAGGAAGTTAAATCCTTTCCAGAAAAGGTTGAGTATTGGATCTATGTGTGGAGGTGCTAAATTCCAGCCAAACCAACCAATACTTGCATTTTGGCCTAACGTTGAGTCATGCTCGAACCAACCAATTAGATTACAGGAAATTGCCAGAGTCTTCCACCTCCACCCAACATCAACAAAACTTATGCATAGAAGCTAAATATCCAATACATTTATTTGATATAAAATCAGTCAGTACCAACTATCAGCTAAGAGATGGCTTTTCCTGGTGGATTACTTTGATGATCAATCCTCGCAAGTCATATCTATCCATCTATATATATATGTGTGTGTCGTAATTAATTCATTAAACTATGCACATGATCCATTTCTCACGTCGCCTAATTACCTATATAAGCAATAATTAAGCCTGCACATAGATGATCATCAGTTGAAACAGCAAAGTATAACGATGGTGATGATGAAGAAGAAGTTTAGTCTGTGTTTGGTGGGTTTGTTTTCCTTGTGTATCCTCAACTCTGCAATGGCTGCGGACAAGGTAATTAATTAGTTCTGTGTTATATGAGAAAGTGGTTTAGAGTGGCTAATTGGGATTAAGTATTGATGAACAACATGATGACGAAGGTTTTATTATGTATGTACAGTCGTATGTTGTGTACCTGAGAAGGGATTTGCTTGGCTCATCGATAGAGGAGCTGGGTGGTGATGAGATGAGCCACACCTACCATGACCTCCTGGCTTCTTGCATGGAAAGGTAAATGGCTTATTGTCGTCTCGTGTGTTCACGTTTGGTATGTATTAATTAGCCGCGGTTAATTAATTTGATTCCTAATAATGCAGCAAAGAGAAGGCTAGAGAAGCCATCTTCTATTCCTACTCCGGAATCATCAACGGGTTCGCCGCAACCCTCGAAGATGATGAATTAGAACAACTCGAAAGTACGTAGAAAAGAGATGCAACGATCATCGATCAATTTTGTTTCACTTAACACTTGAGCAAAACAAAATTCACGATGATGATGTGCATGCAGGACATCCACAAGTGTTACAAGTGCTACCAAATGAAGCATACCAAATCCAAACGACAAGGTCATGGGCATTCATGGGGCTAGAAGACAGCAAAGGCGTCGTCCCACCCAACTCCCTCTGGAAAAAAACCGACTACGGCAAAGATCGCATCATTGCAACCCTCGACACAGGTACGTACACAGGATTTTTCACAATCGTTTTTTGGTCAACGCTTTCATATCGTTTGATTAGTTTTAATGTGTCTGGTACACGTGGCGGCAGGTGTTTGGCCCGAGTCGCCATTCTTCAACGACAAGGGATACGGACCGATTCCATCCCGGTGGAACGGAACATGCGACACCGCCGGCGGATCATTCAAATGCAACAAAAAGCTGATCGGAGCCAGAGCTTTTAACAACGGCCAGCCGGGGAGCTCGCCGCGGGACGTCAACGGCCACGGCACCCACACACTCTCCACCGCCGGCGGCGCGTTCGTCCCGAAAGCCAACTTCCTCGGATCCGCCAACGGGACGGCGAAAGGCGGCTCCCCGAAAGCCAGAGTCGCCGCCTACAAGGTCTGCAACGACAACGGGAACTGCTTCACCGCCGACATCACGGCCGGGTTCGACGCCGCCATCCACGACAAGGTCGACGTCATCTCCGTCTCCCTTGGGTCGTTCATACCGGGGGATTATTCGAGGGACGGCATCGCCATCGGGGCTTTTCACGCCGTTAGGAAGGGGATCACCGTCGTTTGCTCCGCCGGGAACTCTGGGTTCGATGGTTCCGTGACGAATGTGGCTCCGTGGATTATTACTGTCGCCGCCAGCACGCTCGACCGGCGGTTCGTCTCCGACGCCGTGATTGGGAACGGGAAGCGGTACAAGGGGATCAGCTTCAAGAGCAATACCTTGCCGTCCAAGAAATTCTACCCTCTCGTCAATTCCGTCAGCGTCAAAGCCTCCGGTGCCTCTAACCAATCAGCGTAATTAAGACTCCATCATCCATCTCGATCTTGGGGTTCGAAATAATTAATTGGCAGATTACATTAGTGAATTGGGGGTTTCTTTCTTCTTTCCTGTTAGGCTTTACTGCTACCCTGGGAGCTTGGATCCGGCGAAGGTGAAGAGAAAGATAGTCCTCTGCCGCCGGAGCGGCGTAGATGTTCAGAAAAGTTACGTGGTCTCACAGGCCGGAGGCGTAGGGGTAATCCTCGCCAACACATTCACGGCAGCCCTAGCTCCGCAAGCTCATTTCATCCCTACTTCAACCATCTCTCAGCAAGATGGAGATGCCATTGCCCGCTACATCTCCAACACATCGTAAGTCGATCCAACATCCAACTAGCTTCATCGATTAGATGTCACATGTTTGACACGTTTAAAATCACGTATTTGAGATTGCACGAGATTATCTCAAACATTTTATTTTCGAAAATCTTTTCTCAGGAAGCCAGTCGCTTACATCATCGGATACACAGAGATTGGGAAGGTTGAGGCTCCAGTCATGGCAGGGTTTTCATCCCGTGGGCCTAACCGATTGACACCGGATATCCTGAAGCCGGATATCACGGCGCCAGGTGTGTACATAATGGCCGGATGGACACAAGCAAAAGGCCCGACCGGTCAGTCTTATGACAGCCGCCGTCTCCCTTTCAACATCATATCAGGAACATCCATGTCTTGTCCCCATGTTAGCGGCATTGCTGGCCTACTCAAGACCCTTCACCCTAAATGGAGCCCCGCAGCCATAAAATCAGCCATCATCACCACAGGTAATTTAAACATATGCAGCCCGTCCGTCAGTGTTTGGTATAAGATTCATTTTTGAATCTCTCTGCAAATTTTTGACATGTTCTATCAGCCAAAGCAACAAACAACAAAGGCAAACCAATCAACACAGAAGCTGGGACCAAGGCCATCCCTTTCAACTACGGCGCGGGACACGTCGCGCCCAACCCTGCAGCATCGCCGGGGCTGATTTACGAGATGAACACAACCGACTACGTGAACTTCCTCTGCTACATTGGCTACACCAAGCAACAGATCTCCGTCTTCTACCCGGAGCCGTACCAGTGTCCGCCGAAGACCAGCACCAGCTTGTCGAACCTCAACTACCCGTCCATCTCCGTGCCTAACCTGTCGGGGAAAGTGAACGTGACGCGGACCGTGAAGAATGTGGGGACGCCGGGGGTGTACCGGGTTCGTGTCGGTGCACCGGCTGGAATCACCGTCGGGGTGAGTCCCAGAGTGTTGAGGTTCAGCAGGGTGAATCAGTCGAAAAAGTACACGGTGAGTTTGGAGGCAATGAACAACGTCGGAACCGGTTATCTGTTTGGTAACATCACGTGGTCGGATGGGAAGCATGTCGTGAGGAGTCCCCTCGTTGTGAGGAAGACAGGGAACGCCGTTGATTCGATGTGATCATGATCATCGGTTGATGCATTGACCTTTGGATCGACATACTTTTTATACGCACTATTATGTATTAAGTTAAACTTTTCGACTTGTTAATTTGGATATTTTATCGAGGAAGTGATTATTACATATTTGAATTCCAAGTCGTTAAACCATTATATAGGTAAGATGGTTTTGCGCTTGAACTATTTTTTTCTTTCCCCTATTTGTTAAAATGATGGTCTAAGTGACTAAAAGAAATGTTATTAGGCCTTTGTGATATATAAGAAACGTGTGTGCATGTCACTTGTGATATATAGCTGGTATTAGAGGTGGCAAATGGATTGGATTGGTGGATTGGTGGATCCATGGATCAAATGGATTGGATCTAATGGATTGGTGGATTCATGGATTGGATCAAGTGGATTGGTGGATTATCCATGAATCCAAATGACATCCTCAACCAAGGATCAATATGTAAAATGTAAAAAGTTTAGATACTAAAATGTCACAATGAAAAATTTTAGGTACCAAAATGTAATTTTCCAATGATATTTTTTCTATAAAAAATTAAATTTTAGGTACCAAAATGTAAAAAATAAAAATTATAGGTACTAAACGGTAATTTGCCAATGATCCATGGATCCAATCCATGAATCCACCAATTCAATTGGATTTGGATCAAATGGATTGGATTTAAATGAATTGGATTAGGTAGATATTTTTAATGGATTGGATTGAAATTGTCACCTCTAGCTGGTATACATAAATTATGACTAGCTAGGGAAATCTTTAGAATACAGCAAAGTCAGATTTCCAATATCAATGCCAAGCAATAAAGACAAGGTGATGATCCTCCATAATTATCATCATGTTACCTTTGCTAAACATCTATTTGATTAATCCAAGAGTGAAAGAGCAAAAGTAAAGGAAACATTTGATAGTCTCCTTTCTAATTCCATGGCAGATGACTTTCCATGAGCAAATTAAATGGAAAAGAGAAAGGAAATAGGGCAATTGCCAAGGGAATAATGGCTTTTGCCTGTTGGGTGGGAGATATGAAGAGTGTGATATCAAATCCTCTCTTTTGAAAAGGAGTTGGTTGTATAGAGGGAGCATATATATAATATAGGCCACATAGATCTTGAGATTCTGCTTCTACTAACCCAAGCACCAATCATGCAAATTGCAATGACCCTCTCCCATGTTGCCACCAATAATAATGCTACTATACTAGCTAGATGCTTTTCAAATTGTAACATTATTATGAAGATTCACGGTGAAAATTATTACTGAAACGATATATTAAAGAATAAGAAACGATTCAACAAGCATTCATTTCTATATTGACGATAGGTTGATTATGATTTCCTTATTTCGCCATCTTTAATTTGTTGAGCCACTAGTACAATATAGAATTTCAAACTTTTATAGTTTCGCTAATTTAACCTAGCGATGAATGCAAAGGTTAATTGAATATATTCATTCATGTCCGAACTCCTTACATACCTCGTTTCATCAATTGAATCAGCCTATGACCTTAACTCTCGTCTCGTGTAACTATGGACTCAAAAGATTTTTGAGAATCCTAGCTACCACTACAAAATTATATATTTTTCTGATAATCCCACAATGCATTATTTTTATGTTCTTCTCCTCGTGGATAAGTACTTCTAAAAACATACTTTAAATTTCGATACATAGTTAATCTAACTGGTCCAATTTATAGACGGTTAACTACACCCCATCTGTTAATTAAGTAGCTAAATTAACGATTGATGGGCGACATGCACGAATAGGGACACGATATGGACACGCAACAGGGCAGCCTGAGAATGTTATACGATTCACTTGGTTGCCAAAAGCAACAGAGACAGAGAGCACTATACTTTAAGAAAACTTATATAATAATAAGCCATGAAAAAACAGTCGGCATATACTTTGAGGAACACGTGTCTTTGTTAATATGGAAGAGGGGATTGATTGACTAATGCCAAATCGAAACGCCATGCACATGTAACTGTTTTGGAGCTTAGCTTCTGCAGCCAGCCTTATTTCCAGGAAGAGGCAGCATCATCATCATGATTCATGATAAGAAAGAAAGAAAGAAGGAACAGAGCAGAGCAGAGCTAGCCTGCACACATATGGCCAAGATGCATTCATGGCGGCCTCGTTGGCCTTTTTCTCTCATCTCATATTGGAACTTGGAAGTTGGAAGTAGTGAGAGAGAGAGAGTCGTCGGCAGGGACAGCCAAGAGGTTGTGTTGGCACTTGGCAGACCTCAATAGTCAAGCTTTCATGTTAGTTAATCTGATCGTATATTCTAGGTTGTATTAGTAGTGTACGGGGATAATTGATTATTAATCTGATGATGAGTTTAATTATATTAATTAATATTAGTGCTAGATATTGACCAATACTTTCACGTAAATAATAGATACGTATAATAACTGTTAAATTATTGTTTGTATTTCAAAAAATCCTATATAAAGTTTTGATGAAATGACTATGAAAATGATTGAAAATGATCTCGCAAAAAATACAAAAATTCTAGAGTTAATAGATAATTTTATTTTAAACAATATTAATAACGAGTCAGTGGACACACTCCGATTTGGTATCAAGTACACTATACACTCATTTATTTTATATCACTAGCGGATTAGTGATGTCATCTAGCCTAAATATATGTTTATGGTGTTCTTGAGTAATCGACTCTCGTCTCCCCCTTCAAATTAAATTACAATATAGTCAAGCTCATAGATCACTAGTTAAGAGTGGTTAAGGCTAAGGTGTATATACATGTGAATTTCAAGCTTACTCCACTAATTAAAAGTACGCGAATTATGGAGATCAATATTGTGAGTATCTTATGAGTACTCATTAAAATCACAAATTGATGATTTTAGTTCTCACATTATCGAATATAGAAGAAAAACATTCTTGTCTATGTACCTTATAATTTGTCAACTTGAGATGAATCATAAAGGTTCTTATTTCTTACAAAATCTTATCATACCTTTAAACTTTATAGAAGTTATTTACTTTTAAATTGTAAAATATCAAATAATATGTTACATGCCCATACGAATATTATAATAGTTCATAAAATAATTGATAAAAGATAATAAAAATGAACATAATGAAGTTTCCATCTTTCTTCCTAGATGACAGTGAGAGACATCTCTTGTTTGGCTTAAGTTTTGTCAAGATGCTTGTGATTAGTATCACTCTTAACTACAATTGCTTTATGCTATCTTTGTTTAAAATGAGCAAACAACAATATCATAAGCTTTGTTAGTTTGGACATGAAGCAAAAGATACAACAACTGAATATTAAACTTTATCCTAGCGTTCATTAACGAAAAGGAATAAATGATTACTTGTATTGTATTTACATGAATCAAATCGAAACATTCACTTCAAATCAATATTTTTAATGAAACATTTTACTATTAAAGACTTGAATGGAACTGGGAACAATCCTATTTATCCAAAAATTTAATTTACAACCATGAAAGTTAATTAAGTGTTCTTTAGTGAGATTACTATTTACTAGGTTAGAGAAAATGAAAGTAAAAGTTCACTTCTTGTGCGCAAAACAACAAAAGTAAAACTATCGAGGGCAATTTAGACATTATCTCGGGGACAAAGCACCATTATAGTTTAGTATTCACCGGCCAGTATCATTATATAACCTTCTCTTTCACACATTTTTCCCTAGCTTTACCCTTTTCCCCCCTTTTCCCCTATCAGCGGTTGCCCAAATCTCTCTACTCTGCGTCTCTGCCCCTTGCTTTCACTCCCTTCGTTCCGGTGTCCTTCCACCAGTTCACGACCACCAAAACATCACAAGTTTCCCGAACTCTTTTCTAAGGAAATGCTTGAAGTCCAATGAAGTAATGGGCGACACGAAGAGAGAAGATTGAATGTCAGAACACTACGAAATCAGCCGAAAAGGGGAAGCAGAAGAAGAACCCAGCGAAAAGGAGCAAGCTTTCTCTCATTCCTAATGTCCCCACCAAGGAAAGGAGCAAGCAACTTGCTTCTCCTGCTGCTGCTGGCGATTCTGAGCTGCAGATTCGCGGAATCGGCCATCGGGGTGAACTGGGGAACAGTGTCTTTTCACCGGCTGAAGCCGTCGACGGTGGTGGATCTGTTGAAGGAGAACAAGATTGGAAAGGTGAAGCTATTTGATGCGGACCCGGGTGCACTGGAAGCACTGATGGGGAGTGGGATTCAGGTCATGGTGGGAATTCCTAACGAGCTGCTCTCCACCATTAGTTCTTCGGTTTCAGCTTCTGATTTGTGGGTTCGCCAGAATGTTTCTAGGTACATGGTTAAAGGAGGTGCTGATATCAGGTACTTTTCCAGAATTCTCCCTTTGTTTCTTTGGTTTCTGGGAGGAAAGGTGTAAAGGGGTTTGATAAAGTTCGTTCCTTTTGGTTGGTTGATGTGTGTTTCTTAGTGAACTTGGCTTGATAGTTACTGATGTTTATTAGTTTTCCTGTTTTAGGGCCGTGTTTATCTTGCTTTTTGGTGTGTTTTCCCCTAAATTTGATTTAAAATGGATGAAGAGTGAAGACCAGTATGAGAGCCAGAATTCAGGAATGAATTCTGTCAAGTTAGTGTTGATTTCAAGTTGCAGCACTTGGTTAGGCAACTGTATGGAGAGATTGTCTGGATGGTAGCTCTAGGCCCATTTGCAAACTTGGAGTTCTAATAAAGCTTGCCTGGCCTCGGGATCATTTACTAGGGATTGGCAAGCAAATTTAAGTTGTTGTAAATTTAGCCATCATCGAATTCGAAGCCAGATTGAGTCATCCGTCTCTCAATCTGCAACTTCATGTTTTTATGTTTCTGTTACCGTCTATCTTCGTAGCATCGTGCTCAGCTTAAAGTTTTAATTGTGATTTGCAATTGGCAAGTGCTGAAGAATCTGAAAGTTGATAGCATTCATAAGGTTTTACTCATTGGAAACATGTTTCTCATGGACACATTCCATTTTGAATTTTGAAGATATATAGCTGTGGGAAATGAGCCATTCCTCACGAGCTACTCTGGCCAATTCCAAACATATGTCATGCCTGCATTGCTAAACCTCCAACAGTCTCTAACCAAGGCTAATCTCGCTGGATATGTGAGGCTAGTCGTCCCTTGCAATGCTGATGCATACGAGTCTCCTTCTCTCCCTTCCCAAGGAGCATTCCGTCCAGAGCTCACTCAGATCATCACTCAACTTGTCTCTTTCCTCAACTCCAATGGCGCTCCCTTTGTAGTCAACATCTACCCATTTCTCAGTCTCTACGGCAACTCAGATTTCCCCCAAGACTATGCTTTCTTCGAGGGGACCACCCATGCTGTCACTGATGGACCTAATGTCTACACCAATGCCTTTGATGGCAACTTCGACACCTTAGTGTCGGCACTCACCAAACTCGGGTATGGCCAAATGCCTATTGTCATTGGAGAGGTAGGGTGGCCAAGTGATGGAGCTCCTGGTGCAAATCTCACTGCTGCAAAAGTATTCAATCAAGGGTTGATCAACCATGTTGTGGGAAACAAAGGTACCCCTCTTAGACCCGGTTCGCCTCCCATGGATGTCTATATCTTCGGTCTACTCGATGAAGGTGCCAAGAGCGTGCTTCCTGGGAACTTCGAGAGGCACTGGGGGATCTTCTCATTCGATGGTCAAGCTAAGTATGCCTTGAATCTAGGCCAGGGAAACAAGAATCTGAAGAATGCAGAGAATGTTGAGTACCTTCCTTCGAGGTGGTGTGTGGTGGATTCGTCGAAAGACTTGACTAATGTGGCAAACCACATGAGGATCGCTTGTAGTGTTGCCGATTGCACGACGCTGAACTATGGAGGGTCGTGCAACGAGATTGGGGTGAAGGGGAATATTTCCTACGCATTTAATAGTTTCTACCAGTTGAAGATGCAGGACGAGAGGAGTTGTGATTTTGACGGCCTTGGTATGGTGACTTTCTTGGACCCTTCTGTTGGTGAGTGTAGGTTTCTTGTTGGTGTTACCGAGACCAAAGGTTCTTCATCGTCGAAATCATCTTCGAGTTTTATCGGGTCTCGTAGATGGATGATAAGTATTATAGTATTGTTCATCTGGGCAGTCCAGTTGTTAATGATGTGAGAAACTAAGTTTTGTGAGTGGATTTTGGTTGGTCCCCCTCTTACAGAACTTGGTAGCTAGAGATAGGGAGAAGCGAGAAGGATAAAAGGAGAGAACTTTAGTTTTAGTAGGTACATATATTAACATTAAAAATGATTGCAGGGTGTTACTATATTGATAGTGCGAATGTTCACTGTTGTAGGAAAAAGGAAAGGAGCAAACATACTCATTGTGTATTCGATGAATTACTATGCATTGAAATCATTTTAGTGTTAGTTATTTTTGTTCCTCTCAGGAAGCTGCTTTTACCAGTCTCCTTTCTACTCGATGGAGGTACTTGTGGTGCTTGTTCCTCATATAGACTTCAGTGTCTCATTCTTCCCATTTAGGTTACTGTATTACCTACGTGTATGCTTAACGTACAAATATGCAAGACAGTCTTAGTAGGGTCGTTCGATTATATAGAGGCAACAGTTTGGAGTTCAGATTTCAGCTTGGCTTGACTAAGAAGGATAAGCGTTTTTGTTGATTGGTGGGTCAAGTTTGCTTTATATAAGCAAGTCAAGAAGCTGGAGTTGAACTTGAATTTACCATATGAAAGATGTAACAACTTCTATCAGAAAAAGTTGTATGCTTTTGGAGTAGGTGCTGTGAACTGTGAAGTGAACCAAGCAGCTACTCATGGTTCATCAACACCAGTTTACAGGTGATCACTACGTCAGTTTAAGTCGCTCACATCTCTATGTTTGAGATCTGTCAGTATAGGTAGGGATGTTTCAGATGGTATTCTGTTAAATTGTCCGGTTCTTGAGATGCCAACATTGCAGCACGTGGATGACTTGGAGTATGTAAAAGTTCTTGAGGTTGAAGCATTTGGTAAAAATATCAAGGGGTCCTTTTCATGAAGAACCTTCCACACTTGATTGAGCTTTCATTACCAACCTTTTGAAGTTGACATATGAGTTTCATGCGTTGTCTTCCTATCTTGGCCAGCTGGAGCGTTTGTGGATTATTGTTTATCACATACGTCTGGTTAGTGTTCCAACTGGTTCCTAGTTTGATTTGGCTTTCTGGGTTCAGCTTCCAAATTCCAATTAGGACCTTAGCTAAGATGATTTTGTGCAGAATGATGAGGAGATTCAACCAATCTATAAATTAAGCAATCTCCTAGAACTGGAAATAGCACATTCGTTGTGATTATACTCTCGAAAATCTGATTCCTGCTCCCCTTCCCCACAGGAAAACCAGTCTTTTGCCTGCAAATCCATCTCCCCTCTTCCTCATTCTCTTCAAACCTTGAATAAAGGAATTACAAATGACAGCTACTAAAACCTTCCTCTCCACTTTCTATGAACTGTGAAAGTCTAGACAAGAAGTGGAGTATAAACAAACTGATTGTGTACCAGTACTACTGTAGATAAACATGGGAATACAGAAGTTAAACTCTGGAGAAGAGATGGTGGACTGATGCAAGTCTTTGCAGTTAAGGTGCCATTTAGTAGTTGTCTGTCTCTGTTTTCGGGTAATGTTGAAAATCATGAAAGCTGTTCTCATCTCATTAAAAAAACATGTGTAAATAGGCTGTGGCAAAGAAGCCCAATCCGAACAAAAAACAAGGATAAGTAAGCCTTGATGCTCTTCGTTGACCACAAGACGACATGTGAAGCACACCACACTCTTCTTTCTTCTCTCAAGTAGGCCGCCTCTCCCAAAAGCTCTCCATTTCTTTTCTTCTTCGAGCTCCCAGCCTCATCATCGATCTCAACAACCCAGCCGCCCTTCTTCTTCATCATCGCCCTCGTCACTGTAGTCATCGTCTTCCTTTCCTTTTCCCCTATCCCCAGCCAAAATCCGTTCCACTTCTGCTAAACCAAGTCGGAGGCTTTCTACAAAGTTTTGATTACTCTGCAATCATCAACCCATTCCCCTTTCTGGATTCTGCTTTGATTCAACTTTCTCGGTCCCGGACTCTGTTTTTTGTTTAATGGGGAAGATACAAGAGAGGTTTGCTCTGTTTTTCAACAACAGATGGCTGGTGTTTGTAGCAGCAATGTGGATACAGTCGTGGGCTGGAATCGGGTACTTGTTCGGCAGCATATCCCCGGTCATCAAAAGCTCACTGAGCTACAATCAACGTCAGCTGGCTAGCTTGGGAGTGGCTAAGGATCTTGGGGACAGCGTAGGGTTCTTGACTGGTAGCTTGTGCGAGGTTCTGCCGCTTTGGGGCGCTTTGCTAGTTGGTGCTTTCCAGAATCTGATTGGGTACGGTTGGGTTTGGCTGGTCGTCACGGGTAGATCTCCTCCTTTGCCGTTATGGGCTGTGAGTATTTCTTTCGCTGATTTTCTTTCGCCTATCTCTGTTTATTTTAGAGAACTTTTGTTGAAGAACTTTGCTGCTTGAATTTAAATGGTTTTCTGAGAGTTGTATTGTATATTTGCTATTTCTGAAAGTCAATCCACGGTTTTGATTGAGAGAAACAAGTGAGGAATCTATGATTGCCTGATGTGTTGATTTGTTATCTACAGATGGCTTGATCAAGTCCAAAGTTAATTCTGTGTATGATAAGTTCTGTAAAAATTCTCTCTGCAACGAGTTTTCTTACCAGATGCTCAGTAATGTTCTGTGTATGATTAGAAACTCATTCCTTTCTGAATTTGATTCTTAACTGTTGCTTGAAACCTTCATTTCCTAGTTCTCATGAAAACCTTTAACCTTCCTGTGTGTCTACAACAGATGTGCATTCTGATATTCATAGGGAACAATGGTGAAACCTACTTCAACACAGTTGCTCTAGTCTCATGCGTGCAAAACTTCCCCAAGAGCCGTGGGCCAGTCGTCGGAATCCTGAAGGGGTTCGCTGGGTTAAGTGGAGCAATCCTGACACAGATATACACCATGATACATGCCCCTGATCACGCATCTCTCATCTTCATGGTTGCTGTTGGACCAGGAATCATAGTCATCACACTGATGTTCATAATCAGGCCAGTTGGCGGCCATAGGCAAATCAGACCATCTGATGGCACAAGCTTCTCGTTTATTTACAGTGTCTGCATTCTCTTAGCTGCTTACTTGATGGCAGTCATGCTGCTTGAAGATCTAGTCACTTTGAGTAAAACAGTAATCGTAACTTTCACGGGCATCTTGTTCGTGCTCCTTGTGCTTCCGATTGCAGTACCCATATGGTTGAGCTTCTTTTCTCCTGACCAGAGTGATCCATCAGTGGAGGCTCTCCTTTCCCCTCAGAATGAGAAAGGACAACCGTCACAGTCTGAGCAAGATGGGCATGAGGTGATACTGAGTGAGGTCGAGGACGAGAAGCCTAAGGAAGTAGACTTGCTCCCAGCCTCAGAGAGACAGAAGAGGATTGCACAGTTGCAAGCAAAGTTGTTCCAGGCAGCTGCAGCAGGAGCAGTGAGGGTGAAGAGGAGGAGCGGTCCTCATCGAGGAGAGGACTTTACGTTGGGGCAGGCATTGATCAAGGCAGACTTTTGGCTCATCTTCTTCTCGCTTTTGTTGGGTTCTGGATCTGGGTTGACCATCATTGATAACTTGGGGCAGCTCAGTCAGTCACTAGGCTATGACAATACACATGTCTTTGTGTCCATGATCAGCATTTGGAACTTTCTGGGCCGAGTTGGTGGTGGCTACATTTCCGAGGTAGTTGTCAGGTACAGATCAGCCCTTTCTTTTTGCCATGAAATTATTTTTTGGTAATATGCTGATAACTTTCGTTGTTTGCTCTTAGACTGTTGGTTAAACAAATATGTTGTTGTAGTATGATAGGTGACAATCACATCTCTATGCTTGACTGCTAGAGATCCATTTGTTATGTAATGACAGGGACTATGCTTACCCTAGACCAGTCACAATGGCAGCTGCCCAGTTTGTCATGGCAATCGGACACATCTTCTTTGCCTTTGACTGGCCTGGGGCAATGTACATTGGCACTCTCTTGATAGGCGGTGGCTATGGATTCCACTGGGCAATCGTCCCAGCTACTGCTTCTGAGTTATTTGGTCTGAAAAAGTTTGGAGCTCTCTACAACTTCCTCACACTAGCAAACCCTGCAGGCTCACTCGTCTTCTCAGGCATGATTGCAAGTGGCATATATGATCGAGAAGCTGAGAAGCAAGCCGGAATTCACAATCCGAATTCCCAGTTCTTCCTTTCAGGGAGAAGATTCTTCACAGACTTTTTCAGTGCCGAAGATACATTGAAGTGTGAAGGCTCTGTGTGTTACTTCCTCACTTGCATGATCATGTCGGGATTCTGTGTCATTGCAGCTATCTTGAGCTTGATCCTCGTGCATCGTACCAAGGTCGTCTACAGGAACCTCTATGGCAAATCCAGGACCTGACCTGAGTTATGTAGGATTACCCTTTTCGGGTTAGTTCACTATCAGGAATGGAGTGTTTATATACTTGGAGCAATGGAGTTTCTGGAATCATGAAGATGCTTTTACTTGGAGAAAAGATGCATTCTTTCAAGAGATATTCTCAAGTAAAGGCTGTGTTTTTTGAGTTATGCCCTTCGTCATATTTTCTTGTGCAACCATTTTTCTGGATTTTTTTTTCTGCAGAATGTTGAATTTGCTGCACATTTTACTCCTGTCTCATCAATTTCTATTTGTTTTGATGGGTTGTTAAGCTATCCAGAGTAAGGAAAAAGGCAAACTGCTCTCTTTTGTCAACTGCAGAGTGCCCTACATTGTAGTGTTTTCTGCCTCTTCTTGTGTGTTCTTCAATTAAGATTGGCATTTGGCAATGAGAAATCAGCAGTGTATCTGTCATTTACTCTTTAGATTTGTATTGTTGATGAATATTTATTAGTGCCTGTTCTTTGATCGTTTTAAATAGTGCATTTTTTAATGGAAAGAAACGACATATGGAATTTCAGTAAAAGAAAGAGTTGAAGCACTTGTCAAATTGGTCTCTAAAACGCCAGGGACTAAACGGTTAAGTCTATCAAATACAAAGGCTAATGACGAGGTACAAACCAGGGAAAGAAGTTTGTGATAGTATTGTTATACATTCTACTCCTGTAAATTGGATTGCTATAATCCTGATAATCAAATCAGTCAGCTGCCGGATGAAAATCCTCCTGCATACTTGGTCTTTCCTTACAATCCAGGAAGCAGCCGTTACTAGTCTCCTTTCCCTTCAATGCCTCACTCTAGACTTAACTTACAAATATGTTCAAGTAGTACTGTGATTGTTTTTCTATCTAACGGATGACCAACTCAATTCTAGGAGGTATGATCCCTTGAAGCCACTCCTTAGCATGTTGCCTCACGTAGCCTTCGACCTTATGAATCTCATCCAACTTCGATTTTTTTTGGTAAGAATTAATATGCCACTTAGGCTTAGATTGATAATTCGGGTCTATGATAATGGTCTCAAGTGCTGTGGCATTTGTAATGATGTAAGAGATGAAGTCGTCCTCATTTGGATGTCGGCGATACCCGGCCAATTCCAGCACCTTCAGGTGTTCAAGGCCATTAGTACGTCTCTCGGCCTCCTTAAGCTCCCTACTTTCCCATTCTTCTACCGATAATCTGGCAATCATCTGCATAACGATATGATCAATATGTATACATATAAAGAAACCTAAGATCATAATCCACGTGAGAGGATAAGTGGAATGCCCATACAGAAACAAACAGTCAAAGTTGAAGGCAAAAAGATGGTCCAAACAAAAACCAGAATCTAGAATCTAACCCGTATTGTAATATTTTCCAAATAAGGTGCTGCTTCCAAGAGGGGCACCAGCTTAAGGAGATCCTGATCCGGCGGCGATACCCAGAACACTTCCAATTCTAGCAGACCATTAAGTTTGTGGATAATTGGATAGTCTAGATCTACCTGCAGACAACATCAACTTAGCCAGGGTGCTAATGTGAATGACCAAACAAAGCAAGAGCAATTAAAGAAAGAATCAGTTGGAACACTAACCAGAGGTCCCGGGTAAACAGCCACCTTCAGATGCTTCAGCTGGGAAACAAGGGAGGAGAGCATACGAAACTGATCCACCAGTTTTGAAATTATTGAAAAAGATACATCCACTAAGCCTGGAAGGTTCCTCAGTAAAAATTTCTTATCAGACCAGCCTGGCAGCAGCACATGAAGACGAACTCTTTCATCATATAACACAAAAGAAACGATTGTTACAACATCATATAACTCGATTTTGTCCAAATCACCACATCCGACTATCTCCAAGTGCTTCAACCTCAAAGAATGACCAGCAATTTTCAAACAGGCCAAGTCATAGACATGATGCAGAGTCAACGTTTCAAGAATAGGACAAGTTGACAGAAGACCCTCCAGAACATCCCCAGTCATTCTGACGGACCTCAAACATAGAGATGTGAGCGACTCAAAACGAAGGAATGACCTGCAAACGGGTGATGATATATCATGAGTAGCAGCTTGGCTCCCAGCTCCTACTTGAAAAGCATACTTCTTTTGCTGATCGACGTCCTTGATAATTACATTATATATTCTCATGTAGATGAGATGCTTCTCATAGATATCGTTACCAGCTCCAAATGGTAGATTGAAGTCCAAATCCAGCTTCCTGACTTTCTTAGATAAAGCAAACTCGATACACCAATCAATAAAACTTTTATGCGTCTCAGTCAGGCAATACTGAAGTCTGAACTCCTCCAAAATCTGCCCTTTGTATGATTGAATCACCTTACTAACACGTCTAACATAATCTTCCCTAACATAATCTTCCCTCGCGTACGGAGGCAGGTGGGTAATGCCTTTGTTAATTGGGAACAATGAGGCATTGAAGTCTAGACGAGGAATGGAAGCCCCCAAGTCCCTCCATTGAGTGGAAAGGAAACGAGTCATGGCCACCTCCTTAATTGTCAGGAAAGATAATATAAACAACTGGACGTCCTCCGGAAGCTGACTAATTCGGTCTTCGTGATTATAGCTATGCAATTTATCAGAGGACCCCTGCAAAACCCGAAACAACCAACCTAATTGGTTTACCAGTATCGTATTCACAAAGGCAAATCAGAGCCAACAAGAGCAAAGTACCAAAAGAGAGACTACTGTCTATGTTTTATAGTGAAGTTTCTGCAGTTGAATGTGTAACTTAGTAGATTAAGACTAGTGTTCTTCAGTGAATGATCAAGAAATTTCACTGATAAGAGTTTAAAGAATAATGTTCGCAATTAGACATAATTACTGGATTGAACTACCATTCCACTCCCAATCTCAATGTTCCATCAAACTACTAGAGGTACAGAAGAACAGAAACCCAGAAATTTAAAGCAAAACATAAGAGTGAAGAAGGAAGAAGGCCAAGAAGGACCTTTTTATGTCGCTTCAGAAACTTGGTACTGTGTCGGGAACGAGAAGCAGAGCCAAAGACCTTTCTCTTTCTCTTCGTCAACTTCGAACTGCGTCGAGAAGGAGAAGCAGAACTGCCGACGTCTCTCTTTCTCTTCATCGTTATTATCGAAGAACGGCGGGATCCTCTCTAACCCACCACAAAGATTGAAACTTTCAGCAGATTGAGCACCAGTTAACGAATTCTGGAACCCTTTGTCACCCTGCTCTGAAAGCGGCAGGAAAATCAAGACAAAAGAAGGGAAAATCGAACGCGCCGGTCCGAATAGGATTCGGATTTTGAGCATAAACCCTCGCGCGGTAACTTTTCTCTTATTGGCCTCTCATTTATATTCCCTTTTAGTTTTCGCGGGGAAAATACGGTGCCCGCTTTGCCTAACTACGATTATACCACTCAAAAGTTAAATAATGAAACTCTAGTCTCCATATTTTACCAAACTAACTATTCAGTCCCTGGCTTCTCGGGAGCTAATCCTAGAAGATCTTCAATTCTATTTCTAAGCAGATCCTTCCATTATGGTTTCCAGTTTCTAATTGCACGCCACAACACCTGCTAAGCTCAATTCAAAAAAGCAACAATGTTATTCTATTTAGCTCGTAAGCAATAGCCCAAATGACCTAGATCGTTGCAATTCCATATGAACAGAGTCACTTGACTCGATCCCTTCATTAAGAACATCCGCAAGAAGAGGTGCATAATAGCTCAATAACTGACTACTACATCCGAGTATAACCAAGATCAAAGCACCACCACCAAATAGGGAATTGGGGAAAGAGTAGATTGGCCTTGCAAAACCAGTACTCATATTTGATTAACGAAGCCCGTCTATCACAAAATCAAAACTCTCAGTACAAACTTTTCTAGAATAAGTGTCTCCAACCAAAATACCAACCGACAACAAAAGATTTAAGTTTCTAAAATACTCTTCGCTTAGAAAACAAGCTCATGAGGCTTCATCCCCGCCTTCAAGGAGAACCTGGCAGCCAAGTACGACTTCAAATCTGGCACTGCCTCAATCGATTTAAGCAATGCTGCATCGACAGCCTTCTGGTCATCCTTCTTGTCTTGTGGCAACTCGCTCTTCTCCTGTTAAAGAAGAAAAAGGTTTAACATCAGAACGATATTGAGAAACTATATCATTTGTCAACAAAACAAGGGAGCAAATGAGAAAGATAGCTTACCTCTTTGTCTGCCTCAAAGAACTCTCCCTCTCCCTTCTTGTTCTTCTTCTCCGCAGCCTTGGCAAAGTACTTGTCATCGAACTTGTCAACATTGGTGCCAGAGATATCAACCTTGGTAGAGGTTCCAATGACATAAGCCTGGTTCACACGCCTGAGAGGGACACCATTGACCTTGAATGGCCCTGCCAAAGATTACAACACAGGTTACAAACCTGACATCAGAATTATATAACAAACAAGAAACAGTACTACTAAGACCTTTTAATCATAAGGAACTAGCTAAACCAACTTAATCAATGATACAAGTTCCAACAAAACACAAATTTATACACATTGTTGAATACGAAAGTGAAGTGGAATGAAAGACACTCCATTCTCACTATGAATGCTGAAAACAGTTGACAAATTCACATCAAGTAACAATCAATATAGACCCTATCAGAAATGAAACTGAGAAATACCATTTCATAGACAAACAAGCAATTGGATATAAAAAATACACTGACCAGTAACCAAAAGCAACCCAGAGGTTAGCTGCTTAAGGAACACAACTCTCTTGCCCTTGAACCTTCCAGCAAGGAGAATCAGAACAGTCCCAGGAGTAATGCTAGCCCTGCATCAGCAGAAACCAAAATAAGAAATTGATATCTGCAGTCTTACAATTTCAAAATCCCATTACAAACAACAGATAAATAGTCTCAAATATATCACCTTTTACATAGAACCAACTAAACACAAAGTCAATTAGGAGCTCAAGAGCCCACAACTTTAACAAAACTGGAACGCAGATAAATTTCCTCACAACGAAGATTAACAAAAAAATGGTAAAACTACAGATCTAAACCCAACAAAATAAGCCAACCACATCAAGAGACCTAAATAGTTCCTACATCCATCAATCCAAGGCCGGCAATGAAATACATGACAAGAATTGGAGGGTGGGAAGAAAATGATACCTGAGCTTGGTGGGCTTAGCCTTGCGCTTGTTGGGAAGTGGCATCTTGATATCGTCGGCCGGGTAGAACTTTGAGGGCTTCACTGGGGTAGCGGCGGCCTTAGGTTTAGGATCGTGCTTGGGGAAAACACCGCCATTTTTGGCCTTGATAGCCCAGAGACCTCGCTTATGGTACATCTTGGACCTGGAGTACTTGCCAACTCCTCTGATGAGCTGCGGGTTCCTGGAAACGACGGGAGTCTTCCTCGGCGCCATTGCTGCAAAACTGTTTTGGTTGCTCTCCGCCTCTTCTTCTCTCTTTCGCTCGGAAATATGAATCCTTAACAAGCGAGCAATATATGTAAGGGGGAAGGGAAACCCTAAAAACCTAGCGGAACTGCAACGGGCTCGGCCTTTTCGACAAAAAATTTTGCTTGACCTGGCCTTACAGGATTATTTATGGGCCTATTGGCCCACCCATCGAAGAAACATAAATTCGGCCCAAGATCAAACGAATAAGCTTAGCTGATAATTATGTGTAATCATAATACCATTAGGAGGAGTGGCTTAAAATTTTAACAAAGTCTGGGATTGGACCTAATCGCTAAGAAATTAACCCTTCAAATTGATCCAAGATCAAACCTAACAGCAAATTCAATTCAATTCGTCTGTTCAATTATATGTAACGAATAAGCGGATAAAAAACGTGTACATTGATTCGTTTCAAGTGTAACCCGAATGTGAATTCAATTTACAGTATGTACTTAGCCTGTATGGCAACCCCATTAATCAGCTCGATTCAACAGCATATTATGATAACCAAAACCCAGAAATTTCACTTGCTCTTACAGCTGCTTGCAGAAATCAAACACAAATACTTTTACACTAAGAATAATGTACGGAGGAACAGCATTGTGGCATCCCTCAACTGTTGCTGTACAAAATCAAACGCCTACTACAACAAATACTACACCATTCATCATTTCCATGAACAACAGCAACCAAACAGAGTTAAGAAATTACCAGCTAAGTTACACATTAACAAAGATGAAAACAACCACGACGACAAGGACATCCTTACAAAGACTACAACGATGAGGATGATTGACTGCACAGCTGGCTAACCTGGGGTAAATTACAGGGGGAGGGGAGCGGGCACTAAAATCTCTATGTAAGCTAGGTGAGGGATGCCCTAATTAGTAAATTTTACTTTACAGTTTTCTTATCATCTGGTAAACCGACGAGACGAAACCTCCCTAGTAAGTTTATCACTCTCTTCTTTACATCTGTTTTCTTGGCTCTCGTTTCTTCATCCACCATCTACACCACCACCAGCTAAGGTACAACAACCAACCAACTTACTGAAGCAAAGCACGGACTGTTCACTTTGCTCAGGTCAATAACCCTTCCATGCTTCTCCTGTTTCAGCTTGCTGGCTTTGACGCAGGCTTTTTCCTAACCTTATCCTTCCACAAGCTCTGCAAAGTACAAAGTTCCATAAGTTTGACAACCATCATGTACTAAAAATGCCTGGAAATAAAGTGAGAGGAGGTTGAGAAGAATATACAAGAGGCTCATCATCCGAGAGTTCAGGAATTTTTGGATCGGTTTGATCCATGTCGACATGGCCAGAATCTTCACTCTCTTCTGAACCTGATTCCTCTCCTTCATCTGACTGATCTCCTCCCTTCTTCTCCTCTTCTGAATGAGATTCTTCCACGTCAGAATCACTTTTCTCCTCTTCATGTTTCATACTGTCCTCCTTGCCAGAATCATTATTCACTTCTTTGTGCTTTTCACTTTCGATATCATCAGAATCTTTGACTTCAAGGCTTTGTGCACCTTCTCCATCATCGTCAGAATGGTTGGACTTATTCTCCACTTCATCATCCGCTGAGTGTATAACAGGGGAAGTTGACATATTTTCTTTGTCGGATTCCTCGTCCCCTGTAAGAGACAGTGTTTTTTCATCCTTGCGTTCAACTTGAGAGTCATCTGTAGGGAGAAAGATTTCATTAGTCCTTAGTACTATCAAAGTATGCCCAGAGTAGATCAAGTCTAATGGGACCCGTTGACAGTACCAGATTTTGTTTCTTCGTCATCAGATGGCTGGGCAAGTTCTGGCTTAGACACATCAGAATGCTCGCTCTTTTCTAGCTCGTTCTGGACTTGTTTGGAGTTTTTCTTTGGTGTTCTTTTGCCCTTAGTTCTACGAGAAGAAGAAAAAATAAACGCACTATGGTCACCTCATCACCACAAAAAATAAAAGCAAACTTTAAAATGCAACGCAAATTACAACAGGAGTTCCACGATATTTAAAAACATACATCTTTGTGGAGGTCTTCTTGTTCTGCTGTGAACTACCTCTACTCCTTTTCTTCGGTCTGGGCGACCTGTAAAGGCCATCCACGGAAAAGAAAAAGAATCTTAGTTGTTTTCACTCTAGCTGATTTTTCTTCTGAAATATTCATCAGAAATTATACTTACTCTTCCTTAGAAGGGGCACGCTTAGATGAACTCAACTTCTGCAAAGAAATAAACCATCAAAACAACTAATCACAAAACTGGAGTAACAAGCAAACGATCTTTTTACTAGGAGAGTAGAAGACCTTTGCAGTATTTCTGCCCTTGTCAATCAGTTCCCAACGCTCCCTATCTAAACGAAGAACTTCGATATCACCATCATCATATAGAATCTATACAAACCCAAGAACCAACAATTTCATCAAGCAATGGTCATAAGATATATACTATAATTCACAATCTTTGGGAGAGCAGAGAGACGGGTGCAGCATACCACATGCTTCCCCTTTAAAGGGTCGTAAGACTTGACCGTGCCTGCATAAAATCTGTAATGTTTGCCATATCATATCAGTTTCCTTACAAAATATATTCAATACTTTTGAAATCTCTAAAACCAGGCAGCAACTGACTATACAGCAGAGCTCAGAAACTACACAGTTGCAGATCAAACTAAAAGTGGGAAACACGAATATTCTCAGTAAATAACTTGAAAACAGCAGTGGAGTGCACCAATGGAAATACTAACTATTAAAGAACACCACTTTATCCAAAAGGTCTAGAGAGTGTACTTACTTCTTATCCATTGGCCACCAGATCTTTATTCTATAACCAATCAATTCGTCGAAGTCCACTCCATTCTTCTTCTTTGCAAACTGGAAAAAGCAAAATTGAGGCGTATGAGCTACCTTACAAAACAAACCCTGGGCAAATGGAACTAACATAACAAACACATTCATCAATAAGTAAACTAAAAGCTTATCCTAAAAGAGCAAGAATCCATGTAGAAACTACAGGGGAAACCAGTTGGCACATGAGCCCCACAACTGTTTACCAAAATTTCTAACGTTTGCGGAGAGGAAATACAGAAGAAAACATAACAGGCTGCAGAAAAAGTGTGGTCATGAAATGTTAAATAGAAACAATGTGTTTCAGAACTTAATTAAAGAACTCATAAATCAAGATGGCAGTTAATTGATCTTCACAATAGTCAACCTTCACCAATCCTGAAGAACTTTTTCTTTTCCGATTCTTCACAGATCCAGTCGGTGACTTTGTATTATCTGCTTTCTTGTTCTTACCAGCCTCTGCATGACAGCTTGGGCTCTGCAGCATAAATTAACATTTAATCAAAACCATATATCAGAATAGAGATCTGAGATAAAGCACATGCCTATTGCTTGCATAATATATTGAGGAACAGAAAGAGTTTACCGTCAGATTTTCTTCATCAGAATCTTTAGCTTCATTCTCGCTACCACTGTCATCCTTATCAGCCTTTTTGAATTCCTTCTTTGGTGTCGAATTTCTGCTCTTTCTAACGCATGATACCAAAAAGTCAGAGTCCCCGCTTTTACCCATCTTTCTTGGAAAAGAAACTATGTTCTTAAAATCAGGGCTTGAGTCTTCCACTAAAGCTCTAGAAGGAGTCTTCATTGGACTCTGGGATAATCTAACAGCCGCTGACCTCCTGCGCTTAGGTACTGGGACAGATTCTACCTCAAGTGCCTTTCTCTTCTCCCCTTTTTGTTCTGATAGTGATTTCTTCTTCTCAATTGGAGCACGCTCATGACCGTTGCTTGACTCAAACTTACCAGATGGTACCACAGCATCCATATTTATTTCCCGTACCATACTCAAAATATCAAAATCATTCTCAATGCTTTTGGCTTTAGCTGATGAAGACTTCTCTTTCTTAGCCCTCCCACTTTTTGCTCCCTTACCCTTCAAATGTTTTAACATCTCACCAAGTGGCTCTTCATTTTCTTCTATGTTGCTGTCTTTTTTAACTTCCTCCTCAGTGGTAGCTGGGGCTGGAACCAGTTTCTATGAGGGGAAAAGAATACAATTGACAAACCAGAGTTAACAAGGAACATGGTCTCTCTTCTTGCAAGATAAATTAATAGACTGGCAACTGGAAACCGTACTGTTTGACTGGTTTCTAACTCAAGTGACTGAAAATGAGTTATGACACTCTCATCAGCCAACCATGTCTTCTCTTCATCTGCCTATGAAAGACACAAAAGGTAGAAAAGATCATGAGATCACACTTGTGGATAATATATGGATAAACTAAGTGAGCAACTGAGACACAGAATGAACAAAAGAATAAATCCAAATAAGATACCTGAGAGCCATCTTCTTTCTTCTCATATGGTTTGTACAGCAATGAAGGCAGGGTAACAGGCGAAGCCAACACCTGTACGTCATCCTCTTTGGAAGCCAAGCGCTTGACGATCATCAACCCAAGTTCACAAACAGCATGTGAATTCTGTGCATTACAATAGCAAGGTGAGTGAGATTGCTATTCTACATTTCTCCAACTAAGCTGTTGTCTACATCGGATGGGCCTTCCGTTCCATACCCCTCAAAGACTTGGAGAGATATTATATTGCTCCATAACCAAATTTTGTGAAGATCTATAACAGGATATAGCTAAATGTGGGTGCCTCTATTACCTTTGTTTTTGCCATATCCACAATATCTTCTGAGCCCTTAATCGCCTTAAACAAAGAAGCAATCACAGAAACATTCTCCTTCTCCTTGGTCCCAGTCTCTGACTTGGCTTCTTCCTCTTTATGCATCAGCAAAGAAAGAAACAAGTATAGTTGCCTGAAAAATATGCAATGTGCTTTTAGTTTCACTTACCAGTCCCAATAGTTGAGAAATATATCTGACTACACTAAGCATAAATGACAGAACCAAAGAAATCAGAGGGGAAATTGGATGTACCGGTATATTGGCTCAAATGCTTTAACTTCTTTGCATTCATCTACATCAGGACAAGATATATGGGCAAGTGAATGGACCACGTGTGGCAGAATGTATTCAGGAAAAGCTGTCAAGGGACTTGCATCATTTTGTAAGGACACTTGCCGTGCCTTTGCTTGCAAATGCATTTGAATAATATCAACAAGGTTTTGCTTTTCCTGCAATATCATGCCACATACAAGTTCAAGACAAGTAGCTTGTGAGAGCATCAACCATGTAAAACCACATAACTATCAACCAATAAAGGTTGAGCCATAAATACCTCTTCAAAATCAAGCTGCTCAGATTCTATCGGATTCAACAAGAACGCACAAGCATATTTTGCATCAACAAGGCGGTCCTTTATATATTGATGAACTTTGCTAAGAAAGATTTTCCTAGCTTCTGGGAAAGAACTCTACAAATGTAAGACAGAAAATAAGGAACCATTTGCGAAAACAACCGATTATGAAAAGCAATTCTGAATGATATGAGGGATGAAAAGTGTTAACAAGGAAATTTTCCAAGGAACCACCTCGGCTACTCTCAAAGTCAAGTGGAAGATATCAGTAGGAATCTTATGATCCCAGTGCTTCGACAGACGAAGAACTGCCTTTGCAGCAGCAAGCCTCAGATGTGCCTTATCGACCAAGCTGTATATGAAAAAGAAGACACAATATCAACAGTGATGCAATAATGTCAAAAGTTCATGGATATGCTTGGGATAAGCCGATCAAAGCACTACCTTGATTCTGTTTCCTGGGATGTTTCACCATGTCGCAGTAAGTTCCTCATTGTTCCTAAAAGGTCGTCAATACCAGGACGAAGGTGCCAATCTTTAACAGGCAAGTGGCTTTTGACAAAAACCTTGAGTCCATATATCTGCATCAATACGCACAAAGTTAGAAAAAGCTTTTATTGATGTACCACACTCTATCAATACTTCCCGAGAGCGAGAGAGAGAGAGAGAGAGAGAGAGAGACAGACAGACAGACAGACAGACAGACAGACAGACAGACAGACAGACAGACAGACAGACAGACAGACAGACAGACAGAAAAACACACCAATCCGAACAACTAACCTTCATTAAGCTAGCTTCAGTTACATCATCCCAACGAACTTTTGCATTACCCCCTGGTTGCGGCAACGGGGAAGCCTACACATGTTACAGTAAATTAATAACTTGACAAAGGGAATAATATGCACAACAACAAGATGCCAGCAGCATACACTTTTGCAATTCAGAATTCTGCTTTTCACGAATTCTTGAATTTCGGTCTCTCTAGTTTCAAAAACTGGCATGGCCGTCTGCGCAATGCATCCCAGAGACTGGAGAACAGCAGGCAAATTTATCCTCTCTTCTAGCATGCCAACAAGCTTCTGCACTTACGAACAAGCAACAAAATGTAGGTCAATTAATGATTTCAGCGAAGGTCTCCCTCTGTAGACAGATCCGATCTTGTAAAATGAAAACTGTCAACTGAAAAAGAAAGCAACCTTGTATAGAACAGAGAGGGACTTGAGCCCATCATCCTTTGTTATTGCAGCAAGAGCATGCACCGCGTACTTTGCTTGCCTTCGACTGCCTTCAAGGCACAACTTTTCCAATATGAGGTCAATAGAACTGCAGCAGAAGAACACAAATAGCATGATAATACGCACAAAGGACCATTACAAAGATGCTAGCAACAGAAAGTTTTACACCACCTTGATGACGCTGCAAGTTGTTCTTTGATGGTGCCACCAGCCTTAGACAAAACATGTAATGCACCTTCTTTGATTATTTCGTTTTCATCCTTTAAGCAACTTATCAATTCTTCTTCAGCACCCCCAAATAGCAATGGCCCAAAACGTGCAAGCATCTGAGAGTTAAGAGACCAAGCAGTTACCATCTAAAATTGAAGAAAGCATATACACTTTCGCGATAATGGAAGATAAGAGTTCAATCCACAATGTCATAGAAAGCCAAGAAAATCTTCATTCAAAATAAGGAAGAGAAAAGTACCAACATTCGAACACGTGAACAAATGTATTCGGCTCCATAAATAATGAAGACCATAGATTGGAATAAAAAGAGCCAATGAACGTAGCTTTTGGCAAATGACTTGCCAACCGCAAACATAGGACATTGCAAATAATGTACCATGGTTGAAACACAGGAATCTTACCACCAATACATCCATGCATGAGCGAGTGAGTTCTGTGTTCCCCGCAGACTTATGTGCCCCGGCCTCCGAAATAATCACTTTGACGTACTCCTTATTGAAAAGTAAATATGAACACTTCACAGACAGGCTGCTGAGAAAATCATAGAGCCGATGCTTTTCACCAAGTATTTTTAGCATATCATCCTGAAAAGAAGGCAAAAGATTCAATCTTCAAGACAGCTAAAGGCGTCCTTAGGTAAACCAACCCAACGCATCAAAACACATAACAATTGATATTTTACTCCACTGATCAAGTTTTCCGGTGTTCCGTAGATATCCCTTGTCAGTGGCAATAATGGTGGTGGAAAATGAAATCAAACGACCAAAGCAATTGTTGGGCAATAATCCAACAAGACGGAATGATGAATTGATACCATCTACTAGATTAAAAAAAATAAAGTCTCGAAACACGTATTAAGCAGACACTCTAGAGTCTAGACCAATAGCCTAGAGATCTTCATTCCTACTGGCCCAAACAATGCACCTTGCCGACCTATTTAGACCACAAAGATTCCCTTGCTTACCCGACTAGTGCAAGCTTGTTGGAAGCTAGTATTTACATCAAGCAGGGATGATAAAATCTTCCAGATATTTGCATCTTTCAGTTGATCAAGTATCAAAAAATTCTCCTCAACGTTAGTAGGGTCAGCAAAGGAACGAGACATAATCCGGAAGCAGAGCAGTTTTTTCTTTTGGATCTCAGGTGCATCACCTTCCTGCACATAGAAACAACTTACATTGGCATAGGTTTTCCTAATTTGACTGATATAGACGGAAAACACATTAGCTCCACAAGTTTCCAACCTGATCCATCAGCCTAAGAGAGATATACCTCTGCATCTCTTGCTGTACTCTGCAATATAACAAATCCTAGGAGACTCAGTGGACTTGAAAATAGATGGAAGTTCAAACTGGGCTCCTTCAGCACGAAAGAAATCAACATTCATAACGCACCTTAGCTTTTGCTCCATTAATTTCTCGAGAGCTTTAACCTCAACTTTGTCAAAGGTACAGAGGATTCTCAACCACAGCACAACTCTATCTATTGTAGAGAGTTCACTTGGAAACAAAGACACAGAGAGAACATACTCAATTGCATCTGATCTGCAAAGGCAGTAACAGGTTAGAACACAGTATAGACATAAGATCCCTCAGACGTATATAAAGATTCAGACCGCAAACCAACAAATAGTTGCAACAGTAGAAAACTGTACTGACGTTATTGGTAAAGAACAGAAAGTACAAGTAGCCAGCCAGAACAACAACAAAAAACTAGCGCCTTACCTAAAATCTTTATCATAAAAGCATCTCAAAATCTTCCCAGGAACCCATTCATATTCATGGTAAGTGATGGAGCAATCCGGAGATTTCGTGTGATAAACCTTGAAGAATTCAGCTAATCTCTCCATGGTACATCTTTTAACAGTAAGCTGGAAATTTAGAACACAACAAAAACACATAAGTTGACCACCAAAAGTTCCGCCTAGTAAAAATGAATAACAAAGCAAAACTGTAGGAAAACCCTTGGTCTGAATCACACATACAGATTTGTCCCGAAGACGATCAGCGACAAGCTTCATAGTTTCAGAAGGAACAGAACCCGGGGCATGACAAGCCACATCACAGATCACCTCAACCACTTGCTTTCTAATGTTCTCATCATAGTCCAGTAATCGTTCACATAAGGCAGCTGGAAGATTGACACCATGACAAAATAAATTTACGGAAGAAAACAAAACACACATGAGCTCATTAAGCCAGTCAACACTCTTACATATAATTTGAGGGGCCTCTGCACGAAGAGGGTTTGAAAGCAAACAGCCTTTTACATGCTCTAGGACAGTCATTCTAACTTCAACTACCCTGTCAGTCAACCTTTTCAAGAATTCCAGAAAGATTGGCTGAAACGTTTCAGTGATTGTAGACCCTGGCAAGGAAAACAAACCTCCAACTAGCCCCAGTGCTTTCAAACGAGTGTCTAGCTGATCATTCTGCAGATTTTGGTGATCCATAATGAATATTCAGGAAAAACTGGTATTGAAGGAAAAAGATACCCATAAACTTGAGAAAGTGAATCTGCAATTTACCAACAACTCTCCTGTGAGGTAAGGGACAACTCCTGACAATATCTGAGGGGCACTACAATAGATATCATAGACAACTTCATGGTAGTCAATTTTAATATCTGACAGCCTGTTATCTCCAGACATTAACGATACCAGGACCTGTTTGATACCAGATTCAAGTTTTACTGCACACTTCTCTATGATATTCATCGCAAGCCTTCTTGCAGCCTTAGAAACGTCCTGAAGAAGAAATTACGTACAGTAATTCATACTACGCAACATCAAACAAGTAGGGGAAAAAAATAGAACAAGAATATATGCACCGTAATGGAGAAACAATACTCACACTTCTGTTACGTCCCAAAACTGATAATATTACAAGTAACAGATCCTCTTTAATTTCTTCACTTTCTTCTATCAGAACGACCATGATTGTTTGCATAGATGAAAGCACATTTTCTTGATGGTCATCCCTGTATCAGTGAAAAACAGGCATGAGTAAGTTACCTGGTCAAGTAAAGTGCCTCAATTACTGTAAGTCGGTAACCAAACATAAATCAAGAGAGCCATTATGTGCAAACACTTAACACAATCTGGACAGCTTCTATATTTGAACAAACAGTGTGAACTGTGCTGTACAGTCAATTATTCCTTCCCTCAATCAACCAGCAATCATGTCAATGACTACCAATTCATTTTATACAAACAGTATACAGCATATTCAAGAAGGTTCTCCATCATAAGCACATGAGCATGTGAAAGATCTGGGAGGAGTCCTCAATAGCAAATCCAGGGCAATATAAGAACATTAATTTCTCTTAAACCAGACACAGCCAAGCTTCCTAAAATCACTTAACAGTTTTTCAATTAGTCAATAGCTACTCACTAGTCAAATTTTAGCTCAAAAGATAAATGAAAAACGCAAAAAAAGTTTGGATCTTAACACCAACTTAGTTAACAGATGCAGAGACTTTATTTTGACGACAACAATTGACATAAAGCAGGAAATTAAATGCCTATCGGGTCAACAAAATGAGTCAATCAGCAGATCATCGGTAAGCTAGTTATAGTAACCCAATCGATGCACATTCCTAACTCAAAGTGAAAAGCAAAAAAAAAAAAAGGGCAATCAAGAGAATCAAACCTGGCAACAGCAAGAAATGTAGTGAACATCTCTTTAATGAGATCATCACATTCAAGATCCAACATCACAACAAAGGACCGGTATTTGGCAACAGTATCCAAAATGACAACTCTCCTCCCAAATGATGGGCCACCAGCAGTATCACTTAATCCACTAAAGGTACTCACAATCAAGTGAAATATATCCTGCACAACAAAACTAATCAGTAAGATTTAAGAAGCATATGTTGCAGACAATATGAGATAAAAGTGGCACCATGCCTATGAGTTTAACAAAAGGAACCACCTTTAGAACGTCATCACTGTAAGGAGCAACAGGTGCAGTGATCCGGGTTATTTCACAAATGCAAGTAGCAACTAGAAGCTTTGCATCCCTATCTTGATGCATCAGCAGTTCTGGCTTCACAATTGCAGTAAGAAATTGCTGCATGGACTCCAACATTGTAGGGGATGGTGATTGATCCATCTCACAAAGACATGAAGCAGCTTGCTGAAGGAAAACGACAAATTGTCATTACTCTAGATACCGGTGAGTGCCATAATGACATGATTGAGTGCCATGTTAGATAATGAATTTGAGAGATCATAAACTGAAACCAATATTAAGGAAATACCAAACACAAATGCATGATGGATAGGAAACATTTATGGTGACTTTGAAAACTAAACTTCAGATAATTATATTCGAACCTAAAACGCAGAACCAGCGAGCACAGCTGGTGAGAGAAATTACAAAACCATGTAAATTATCTCAGTGATATTTAAAAATTTCAAACAAGCATTTAATGTACCAACTCTTTTAATTGGAAAATTTACTAGCTAAAATGTTTATCCATATCCTGATCATGCTTTTTATTTCCTGGTGGAAGTTCCAAATCGTGTTCAGAAAAAGAGGTTTCCATTCTTCCATAAGTTTAAGGGAGGAAACGACTTCATCTACAAAAGGTACCCACCTCCTAACATCTTTACTGGAGAACTAAAATTCGGGCAAACATAATTTCCTAAGAAGGCAGTTTGTGCTACACGTGGGCTGAAGAGGAACGACATACTTTACCTCTAAATAAAAGCAGGGTTAGTTTCATCCTACAGAGCCCTGGATGAGTCAGGAGATAACACTCATATTGGAACATTGTTCACAAATTTTTAACATGAACAACAAGACAGAAAGCTAACCACTTTCTCATTGATTTCACTGGACTATACAACTCATCATGTCCACTTGTACATGTGTCTCCTGCCACATCTGAGACCTCCATAAGAACGTAAGAGCCTTCCCAATGTTCTTTCCCTTCCTGCTACTCCCCAAACTCCACTGACATCCTTTTCTACCACCTCACCGTTTCTCCAAATCCCAATAGGTATCAGGCCTCTGCCTCTCTAATTTCAGTTTCAGTTTTTTCTAGAGGCTAGTTCTCCTTGTCGCTCTTCAGTAAGGACTCAGAATTACCCCAGTAATGTTTATTTCCAGACCTTCTAAACTTATACCAGAAACCACTCAACAGGATACTACCCTTCACTCCTAACTCCTAATGGAACGAGACTAATTCCATGAGCTGCAACAACACACGCATAGAATGCCACACTGGTTCTCAGCACCAAGCCAAAAATTTCCCATCAAAATTCTATACAACAACAAACCCTAATCTCATCCTCACATGCTCACCACCCTCCACCAATGTATCAAACTAACGAAACAGCCTAAATCAACGCCAACTATCATCAATTGAGCCTCAAAGTTGATAACTTTCACGTTCCGGAAAGTCAAGAGAACAATTCAAACAAACTGAAGTCCACCACTTGGTCGAACTCAACAAGAAACTGCCACAATTTCGCTCAATAACCAACAAGAACCCACCACAACGCGAAGCCATAACCCGAAATCTTGTTACTCTCTCACTTCTATGCCCCCCACAGTTCCCTCGGAGACCAAACATGGAAACTGATTAAATGAAAAAGAGGGCGCCTTTTACCTATTTTTCAAACCAAAACCCGCGAATTATCTCCCGAACTAAATTCAGACAAACCCACCAACAGGAGGGAATTACTAACTAGGAGAAATAAGAATGGAGAAAGAAAGGGCGCCAAACCTTCAATAGCTTAACCAGCGCATCCTTTGAGGAAGGAAGAGGCTCCAGCTTCGATCCTACTTCCTTCAGCTGCTCCTCGAGCTTCTTCTCCGCCATAGTCTGAGAGGAGGTGAGGAAAGACAACGTTTCAAGTTCCTAACTTTCGACTGCAGTAAGCAAAGAACTGGAAGCTCTCTACTTACATCGAGCAAACAGACAAAGCGTTGCTTGCTCGCTTTCGATAGGGTTAAGCAGAGAAGCAGAAAGAGAGAAGAGATGCCAAAGAAGCAGATGAGAGAGAGAGTTTCGCTTGCCTTGCGTCCTTTTCTCTCTCCGCCTCTCTTTCAGGTCTCTTTTTTACAAAGCGGAAGAGATGCAAAAAAACTGAAATTGAAATTCACGGGAAAATGCAGCTGACTTTCGAGAGTTCGAATTTCCGAACTAGTTTGTTGCTAGTGGTCGGAAAGAGATCTATATCGAGACATCGTTATTATTATTTCGAAGTGACCAACAATTATTTAGTATGAAAATGCTAACAATTCCTATACATATCGTTAATAATATTTAGCATACACATGAGACATGACTAACTTTACATAAGATAATTAAAAATATTAACAATTTGATTGGTGATAATTGTTAGCATTTTATGATACAATGTTTACGTAACTAACCTTCTATTTAGGAAATATTAACAATGATTGTGTATATCATTAATGATGTATCGCTTAAACTATGATAGTAAGAAATTGCGACAACTGTATGCATGCATGATAACATACACGATTCTCTCATGCAAAATTTGAGCATAATCAAATCTCAAACAAAAAGTCATGCTACAAAGTACAAACCACTCTTGCGTCCTAATTACCCGACGAGAATAAAACTACAAATTAAATTATCAACTTCGTACTGGTTTAGATTTTGAATTTAGGAATTCACTGACATGGAAGCACAAAATCTCATTTTCATGTTATGGTAATCCAGGCGCAGAGACGGCGGTGATGAAGCTTTCCCGGGGATGGGTTTTTAGAATTGTAGCATTCCCAGAGATGTGTGCTGATTGCTGAAGAACTCTTAATAACATGTATGTATAAGCTCCCTAGTAAAATCAATAAGATATATAGACCCCCGTTTGGATGAAATGGATTTGGCTCCAAAAATTCTCCTCCGTTTGTATGACCCGACACCCAATCGACCTCTCAAGAGTACAATGATCCAGCATAATAATGACAGTAAGTAAACCAGAGCGCTGAAAATTCATCTCAAACATCTTCAAAACCTTCTATAAACACACAATAACAAACTGTTTGTTTTCTAAGTACAACAAAAACTCCATCCTTCTCCCAGAGTAAGTACAATTCAGGTCTTGCTGGTGTTCAGAAAAGCCAATTAACAGTGATGTTGCCAAGCCACATGAAAAGTGGGAATTGAGCCAAAGCAATGAAGAGCAAGAGATAGTGATGCCTGCTCGAGTCGTAACTCCTCACCTCGGCAAAGAGGACGCGCTTCATTGTCTTGACCAGAAAGACCCCCATGCAGACACACGCCCAAGGCAGCACGAAGTAGTACGAGTAACCGAGCAAGATCTTGCCAAGGACGGCGAGACAAAGGCCGGTGAACATGTAGCCTCCATATGCGACAATGTCTAACAAGGGAGCTTCTCCACTGCCTAATGAGAGTAGAGCCATTTTCAGCAGGGCAACCTGCATGAACCACCCGAGCAGTCCCTTGACGAACAGCCAGTTGAGATTTTCAGGGCTGAACCTGTCATTAGTAGAATAAGTGGAGATTCAGTTGACTGAAGCAGCAATGAAAATGCAAGTAAAAGGCCTCAAACGAATAAAGTGGAAGAGTTTCATTTGCATGATTTAATAAGATTGGAGCATAGGGCTACTAGCCAACTTGTAGTCTTGGAGCACTTCCAGGCTTACACTATAAATTATGAGTGATAACTAGGAAGCTGACATTCAAACCTCGACAATTATGGTCAGAACTAATCTCTTAACGATACATATTTGTAACTAGATATTTATGTGTCCAGGGACAAGCTAAAGAGATAAAAGTCTTCTAACAACAACAAAAAAAGAGAGATTAATTTCATAAGCTCAGTTGAGTCAACAGTAACACTTACTTTCCATAGAGTCCCAGTGACATGCCGGCAAGAATAACATAGGTGCCGAAAGCCATGAAGGGAATGTACAAATCAGGTGCATTTATATCATAAAGAGGAGGTTTGTACGATAAGCGGCCTCCAACTGGCTCAGTTATTCGTGTCCAGTGTCCCTAAGCAAAAGAATAGTATGAGGCCAGCAGATGAAAAGAACACGGAATAGCCAGGGAAACAAAGAAGGATACGGGAGATTACCCTGTGCAAGAACGGGAATAGAACAACTTTCAGTTTGTTCCTTACATACTGGTCATTCACTTGAAAATAGTACTGAGGATCAGAGAAGTATCGAGTTATCTGTTCATTTAAGAGAAACGAGTCAATTAGAAAACAGGCATCCAACAGACGATACTCATCAAAACTCATAACAAATTTTGAAGTAACATTAGGCAAGAATCTATCTCTCTCGGAGTAAATTTTTTAGCAATTATGTTCAACATCTCCCTTCAACTTATTCATTACAATGTCATGCCAAAGTTGAATCAACCAGATTTACATTCATGTTCATCATTTCACTGGGACTAGTGAATGCAATCCTTATTCGCCATACACAAGCAATAATGGGCCTATAAAACTCCAAGATTTTTGCCATATATAGATTCTATTGCACAACTCTATGAGCACTTACCTTAAAAAAAAAACTCTATGAGCACTCGGAAATACTATTTTCCGGAAGGTGATTTTGAGGTGGCGAGTAGTGTGCAGGAAATTGATGAGACTTCGTGTAGACAGGTGCATGCAAGTTTTAGTTAAGAGTTAACAAGCTCAAGCAAAATGCCTTGTCCCATAAAGGGCAGACAGGCCAACTATACTGAAAATTAACCATAATGTGTCCATATCATATAGAGTTAGCTTAAAACTTACATTGCTTTGGACGTATTCAGAGCTTGATCCTAATATTTTCTCTCCATAAGCACCAAGACCACCTCTTATTAAGCCAGAACCAGCTCCATAAAATGCATTACCAAATGGATTAGCTTGAGCATTTGCTGAAGGTATTTGACCTATTGGCACTCCAGGCATGCCAGGCTGCTGGGTTCCAACATTGTTGTACATACTGTAAGCAATTCGAAAGAAAAAGGAGAAAATGAATTAGACCATCTTTCGTTAGCAGTAATGCTAATATAGAATAAATCAATCGCAAGCACACATACACTACCACATAATTACATATCTTCAGAGCATGCGAGAATCACTAAATAGCTCATAATGAACTAAGTTGAAACTTCCAACTAATATTTCGGCATAATTTTGACCGAATTATTTTCCAGTATAACAAGTAACACAAGAGGCTAGTTCCCTATCTATACCAAATGCACAATAAACAACAGCAGAAGCTGAACACAAGCCCAAAGCAGACCCTTGACAGTGTGCAATCATATTCCAGCCGGAAAGTACAGTAACATGTAATATCCCATTTTCTCTCGATCTCTTACAATCACTTGCACCCCGCCAACCAAGGTGATGAACCCAGAAGACAGCGATTCCTTTGATTTCAAACAAAGTTACCATGTTCCACTAGAATTTGACAGCATGAAAAAGTTGTCAAGTTTAGCTTTTGACTACTTGCAAGCTTCTATACGAGAACTTCAGGAACTGTCCACATCGTCCAAACAAGTTAAACCTCTATTTCAGTAATTCATGTCCGAACTTCTATCAACCAGAGGATCTAACTCATTCCATAAACTATAAGAAACGACCCATAATGTCGCCATTCAGAGGGTACCCAACAGAGTAATTAAGAAATGCCATTGACCTATCATCACAAACTACCAAACAATGGCCCCATCGAATGCACCCCCTCCCAAAACTCAAACTTCATCCTTCACAGCTTACGAAATCCAATCTAACCAAACCAAGAGCAAGAATTCCGCACAAAGACACAATCTTTGCAGGAAACCCAAGGCCACCCCTCTCCCCAAAACTTGCAATCCAATTCCCCGAAAACACTAGTTCAGGAAAACCCCAATTCATAAATGCATTTACCGAAAATCTCAGATCCACCAAAACAATAACCTAACTGACCTTAAAAGGTAGATTTATCCTAACCCTCGCCGCTTCCGCACCGTCAAATGTAGCAACCACCACGTCACCTCGCCGCTTTGCTGACCGTCGACCTTTCCCCTCCTTACCGTCACTTACGCTACCTCGCCGCCTGTTCAATGAAGAATAGAGAGTTGAGGAAGGCGAGGAGAAGAAAAGAAGGGAAGTCGCCCAAATTATGGTTCGGCCGTGTTACCGTATTTTATGTACATTTTGTTTTGTAAAAATTAAACTGTTAGGGGCGGGTTTGTGACCTGACCCAATGTTCAGTGACTATTCATGCAATTGTCATTGATCCGTTAGTTGGTAACGGTTTTCACAGTAACCGGACAGGACCAGAGGCCCGGGTCTCTGAGATTTCGGTCCGATCCTCTTTTGACAAAGACGAATCACAGAGAGTGAAAATTTTGCCTAAATGGTGGGTGGGTTCAAGCGTGTTCGTTAATTGATTGATCCCTTCATTAGTTGGTGCGAGCTCCTCGATTCCTACCCCTTCACCCTAGCCGCTGCAATCGCCCCTTTTCCCTAGCCGATTAGCAACTTATTCCCATCGCCGACATCGAATAGGCGTCCTGATAGAGCGAGAGGAAGCAGATACAGCCGCCGGCTTACGACGGTTGCTGTTATTATCTTTACCGGCCACCACCGCCAGTTGCGTAACTCCGTTCGTTACCTTTGAAGACATAGCTTGGTGGCGATCCCAGCTGAATAAAAGGAGCAATCAATCTAGACAGTGAGTTGGGCGCCGGTTCGGTGCGCTGCAGCTGCTACCCCTGGTTTGAAGCTTGCTGGCCCGCCGTCGTCGGGAACTGTCCTCGCTCGACGTTACCATCGTCCCAGCTCGTCCTCTCTGACTGTGAGTGAAAACTTCCGATGAAGAATAGCGTGTTTCATACTATGAAACGATGAGGCAGCTAGGTGTTGTTGATTGTTGTTTCTGTTAGTGGATGATAAGTTGAAGCTGGGAAGCAAAATGATAGTGGTTCGCGGCTGTTGCGAGTGCTAGGGGAGTGATTCAGAATTCAAAGCTTGGTTCTTTTCGTTTATCTTCCATTTTTCTGATGGTTAGAATGTGAAGATTGCTAGGATGTAGTTGTAACTTGTAACTATAACCTAGGGGCAGAATGTTGGTAAATGGTTGTGTTCTTTTGGTCGAATGTCTCCTTTCCGCTTCATTATTCAATCTTCATATGCTCTGCAGGTGTTCGCGTTTTGGAAGTTTGGCAAACCATTTGGGTAACTAGTGCGGAGTAAAGAAGGGTCAGGATAGAGGAATGGATTTCTCAGAGCAAGATGTGGATATCTTTGGGGAAGAATATGAACAAGATGACAAAGAAGAGAAAGAGGACAACGGGACCCACCGTTCTTCCTCATCTTCCTCTTCATCCTCTTCATCCGCAGCATCCGGATCATCAGGTTCTTCATCGTCTGGAGCTTCCTCTTCGTCTGGGGGAAAGAGCAGTGGGAGTGGCAGTAGCAGTGGGGAAGATGAAGACAATGGTGAAGAAGCGGTGGAGAGTGATAAGTACCATAATTATAAGGATAGTAACAATACCGATGACTATAATGAGGAGAAAGATCTCTTTGGAGAAGACAACCTAGAGTATATGAAGACCACTGCAATTAGCCAACATCCAATTCCTGGTGACTCTTTTTTTCGTGTTTGTTTATGCTTTTCTTGTTCGGGTTGTACAAGTATTATATATTCTCTTAACCCTTTCCATTTAATTGCTCACTCGATTTGATAACTTGAAAGAAAGCTCTTCTTTTTGTTCTGTTTTCATGTTAGCGAAGATCTTTCTCTATATGTTACATGTATTGAGAGTGTTAGCATCATATGCAACTGTATTGATATGGATGCTCCATTATGAGTAGGAAAGTAGTCCTATTTGAGTGTTACATTTTCACCAATTTGAGAAAAGGTGAGCTTAAGAAGTTTTATTCTGCATAAGAGTAGTGATTAAACTTGAAATGCATTTCCTGTTTATTTCTGACTTCCTCTATGCATATATTCCTCAGTGTTGCCTGCTATACGTGCCCCCAGTAATCCGGGTAGAGGGGGATTTGGACGTGGTCGTTGGCCAAATGACAGAGGAGCTGGGCTCCTGCCTAGACCGGGTTATCCTCCTAGGCAGGGCTATGGCGGATATGGTAATAAATTTCAAAATGGTCATCGTGATGAACGGTTTGTCTCTGAACTGAAGTTTTCAAAGAGTGAAGAAACCTTATCAAGAAAGCAAGTTGCTTTTCAAGCGGTGATTCTCTCTTTGCCTATCTTCCTTGTGGAGATCTTTATCTTCATCATAATGTCATTTTTTAGATATCATGTTGCATCTTTCAGCTCTTATTTTCTGATCCCTTTCCTACTTTCTGATTTTTCATTGCCACTCTGTCTACAAATTCATGATATTTTGTTTGAATTTGATCTTTAATCTGAAATCTTTGGGGATGCAAATACACTTGTTCCTTTCTGTAGCTTTCAATCAGAGGAGTATAAGAAAAGTTTTCACCAGAAAAGTCCTGTAAAGTCTAGTAGATACAGTTTCTTTTTGCTGTCAGTAGCTGCTAATGTAAGATAACTATGCATGTCTGTTATGTATCAGCATGCTGTGCTAATCCTTTTCAGTGGAATGTTGCACTTCTAGATGATGTTTTTGGTTTGTTTTAGCTATTAATGGTATTTCTGATGATCATGTAGCCATGTGAGCTTGGTTGCTATAGTCGCATTGAAGGCGGAGAAGTCATATTTACTGATCGCAACTTGGTAAGCTCTTCAAATTGCTTTCCCAAGTTTGTGTTCTTTTTGCTGTATGCAATTGTTTAGCTCTAATTAACTCCATCTTAATCCTTGTTCTTTTCAGAGGCTCTTTAAGCGTCTAATATCTGAAGATATTGGAGCGGATCTTAATCAAGGCTTTGATACTTTCATTGAAAAGAAAGGTAGTGCTCTAATATATTTGGTTAATATTACCCTTTCCTGAATACACATCCTCTGGTTTCTTATGGGGTGAGACTTTTTTTCTGTTTACCTGTTCTGTTGCAGATTTGGGCTCTGAAGGGTTCGGCGACCTCCTTGGTTGTATAAGGGAGAAAAATATTCCGCTGCAAAATATGCATTTCGTGGTATGAATTGAATTTACTTGTAGTCTATGTCGTTGTCTCGTCCAAATCAGTTTGCCAACTAATATTATTATTCTTTTCTTGTTGTAGACTTTCCGGAACAACCTAAATAAGGTAATGGAGGATATCTAATAGTCAGTTACTTGTCATAATCATATTTTTCTGTAATGCTCAGAATCATTTGTCTGCCTTTAAGGTTTGCTGATTCTTTACTGTGTCTCTCTTGTGAAAATAATGTTCAGCAATGATTGGTGATATATTTCTAGAAGTGCGAGGTTGTCTGAAATCTTTTCATCATCTGCTATTATCTGCCGTGTAGAGTAGTTGAATATTTTGTGTCAACACTGAACCTTTTTGAGAGAAACTCGAGTATGGGGTGTTGGAGCTTCATAATGCCCTTCAATGCTTGATTGCAGATCATGCAAACTGCTTATATTCGACACGAGCCATGGGAAATGGGGGTGCATAAGAGGAATGGAGTTGTGTACCTTGATGTACATAAACTTCCTGAACGACCCCAGAGTGAGTTCGAAAGAAAGAGGTAACAGACTGGCTTCTAGTTTACGATTTCATAGGCATGTTAGAGTGTCTTGATCTAATAGGAAATACCTAATAATATCTAGGTTGGGTACATCGTCAATGATACCATTACTCGACTTTGCACTAGGTTCCCTTTACTACTATTTGCAATATGTTGGAGAAGAATAATAGGTCCCTTACTGCTAAGTTCCCTATTGATGAAGTTGAAAAATATTTGCATTATGCTGGATGAAATCACATGATACGCCCTTGGGATTAAATATGTAATGAAGCACTTAATTGGCCACCTGTATAATTTTCTTCAGTTGGTCTAGTTTCTCTTGGCTGTTCAAGTTTTCTTAATTGTTATTCTTAACCTTTTTCTTTCATTATGTTGCTTTTAGGTGTTACTGGGGATATTGTTTTGAGACCTTAGCCACTGAAGATCCAGGAAGAGCTGATGGAGAACCTATACATCATGTTGATGCCAACGTGGAGTATTGTGCTATGTTTAAAACCAAGTTAGGGGCTCATCGCATATTGATGGGTGCTGAAATGGATTGTTGCGATTCTACTGATGATGGAAGGAGGTTTTATGTGGAGTTGAAGACAAATCGTGAGGTTGTGTATGAAAACTCTGGTTTAACCCTTGGCCTTGTATTTCTAGTTTTGAACTTTTCATAATAAAATTCCCTTGCTGTGCAGTTGGAGTATCATACAGAGGAAAAATTTGAGAGGGAGAAACTGCTCAAGGTTTGGGTATGTATTGAGAGTAACTCTTTGAAGTTTGAATACTGTTACAATCAGAAGTATTAACTTGGGTTGCTGCCTCCTTTTGTCCAGCACATGCTGTTTGAGTTGTGGCATATCTTATTTATGTACAAGGATATTTTTATGTATTATGGTTGCAGATTCAATCATTCTTAGCTGGGGTTCCTTACATCGTGATTGGATTCAGGTAAATTTTAAGCTGAGGCATTTTCCCCCCTTTTTATGGGTGGTTGATATGGAGTTCCTGAAATTTTGTATAACTGTCAAATTGTTTCTGGAATCATGCAATTGATTCTAGGTTATCAAGTCAATACCATCATTTGGCTGAAGGTCATTTAGCTTAAATCAGTATGGCCTAAATAAGGACAAGGACCAGCAGAATGTATCTTGGAGATTGGAAGATACGCTGCAATAATGGTTGCCTGCTATACATTTACAAAATATATGGACTAGGTTGCAAGTCCTTTTAAGAAGTCTGGTAATCCCTGCAGTATTATGTTAGAAACCTATTTCGGTAGGGTTTCTATATTTATTATTATTATTACTAATAGGGTAATTCTCATTAGGGTTAGTAGTCATTTAATAGAATTAGGTTTATTGTTAGGGTTTTTCACTATTTCCTATATATATGTACTTTGGGCTTCCATTCAGAATCAATAAGAAGCATATTAAGAAAATCCCTAAACCCTATTCTCTCCCCAATCCTCTCAATTTCTCTTCTTTCCCTAATCCGGCCGCCGGCCATTCTTTCTCGTTCTTCCCCAAATTCTACTTCTTAATCCCTAATTCTATTCTTCCAATCCCTAAATCCCAATTATCAAACCCGTTAGAACCCTTGTTTCTAACATATTATATCCCGTTGTTTATTTACTTGCAGGGATGATCACGGCCGACTTGTACGAACAGAGAGGCTAAGAACTAAAGATATAACACAAAGAGTGAAAATGAAGAACTACTGGCAGGTTAGTATGCTGCATCCCTCGTCTAACTAACTAGTGATCCTGTTCATGTGCATTTGGTTATGATGGACTCCATCCGGCTGTTCATTGAAATCACCCTGTGTATATGCAGTTCCTTACGTGCATAAGATTCTGACTATCTGGTAAAATGGTTGGCAGGGAGGTGTCTGTCTAGCGTTTGCAGATGAGGTACTATGCTGGCTCTATGGAACAGTGAAAGAAAGTAAGCTTCTTATTCTCATTATCTATTTGTTTTTGCATTGAAACAACAAAGGTGCAAAGAAGAATTCATACGTCTAACCCTAATACATGTTCTAGCCAGTTTTCCCCCCAACCGCTTGCACCTCTTCTCTAACTTTCCTTGCTCCCGTATCATTGCAGATGAAGATTACATACTGCAGTTTGCGCACCCTTTCATGCGGTTAGAGCTTCTACAAGCGCAATCTTGCCCCGAAGCTATCACTAACCATGTTAGTCAGCTGTGAGAAGCTCGTGTATACATACAGACCCTTTGTACTTTTGTATGGCCTTCAATCTGAAACATCATCCATACACGACTAAGTTAAGTCCGTAGGATTCAGACTACTGGAAGTTGGTTGCCAATACAATTGAGACAAGACTTGTTACTTAGTCTGTTTAAAGCTAAAAACAGGTTACTTGGGAAAATCTCCCTGTGGGTGTGGGGGTGGCTTTTGCCCGAGGTAGCAAATTGGATTGTCGAGTGGCTTTAGGTCTGGGGGAATTTTGTTAATGGGCTACGTGAATTGCAAGTTATCCCAATTTCATTTTTTGCTAGTAAGACCCACCATTATCTATGGCTTCTTTTATAAATCAACACCGTAATACAAGTGCATCAAGTTTCTTGAACAATATCGAAACTAAATAAGAAATTGAAAACCATAATCATATGAAAAGTACATTTGAATTGATGACGAACATAATTGGTTAGAACTTAGAAGAACACATGTGATCGTGTTCAATTCGATCATCCGGTTTGATTCTAGTTTGTTCTTTTAACTTCACTTCAACGTAATCATATCTCTAGAACATAACTAACCAACACATTACATTCATTCAGGATAAGGAAGCAAAATCTAGCAAGCACGAGCAAAATGTCGATTCACGATGTTTTACTTCATCCATCACACACTGAATTCAGTCCACCGACGTACCACCCCAACTCTCATTTCTGATCATGGTGATCGATATTCGGACAGTGCCAACGCCTGCATCCACGGCCAAGGAGGAGCTGTTGTCGGTGTGGTAGTGGTTGTTGTTTTTGATCTCCGCCAGCAGCTTCACTACACTTGTGACGGAACACAAGTAATGTAAACAATATAATTCTTATCTTAATAACTTGAGTTATTGTATTAAAGCCAATGACTATATGTATCTAATTGGGCCTTTCACTGCATTTCCCATGGGCCCATCTCATTGATGTATATCAACATCCTTGTGATTAAGATCATCTCATTGATGTATCTATGATGCCAATCAACATCGAATTTAATTAAACTTTATAATCCATCGTCTTTTTTATTGTCCGTGTTTGCTTTTTAAGATTGTAGACTTGTTGTTCGTCAAAGATACTACTTCTACAATAGGTAGGTCATCGAGTTGTTCAAATATTTTGGTGTCTTTCTCCGTGTTTACTCATGTTACACCATCTTTTCAAAGTAATTTGTACGTCCCATATTATGGTTTTGGAGTTACAACTAACAAGAAATCCATATTTGGATTAGCAAAACACTCGGAACAAGTCCCAGAATGTTTTCTCTCTCTTTCCTATTCTAGTGAGTTCCCAAAACTGCTTTTTACTTGAATGAGTAGAATTTTTCATGAGAAATCTGATGAAATCGGTTAAAAACAGGAAGTAGAGAGCCGAGAAAGGGAATCTCCATATAATCCTTTTTTGGCTCGTCGGTGTTGTGTCCTTCGTCGTGGTTTCTCATGCTCGTTATGGTTATGATGTTGGTCGCCCTACTCGCCTCCCTTCACATCAACGCTTCATCGTAGGTTGCATGCAACGGGATTTGTAGAGAGCCGAGAAAGGGAATCTCCATATAAACACAAAAAAGAGTATAGTAGAAAATCTCATAATAACTAGCTACTTACTAATTATGTAAAAAGAGAAGAGTATCGCTTCTGCCACATACACTATTACTTCTGCTACGACTGCAACTACAACTACTACCCTACTAGTGCTTAACTTATAACCTCAAACCAATACATACTTAGCAATCCAATTCTTCAGGCATGGGCATGAAACGAGAACCCACGTTTGACATTTCACATTCAGAGAAGAACGAATCGCTAATTAGGGGTGGCTGGGACTTTGGCTACTCTTCCTCTTCCGAGGTTGAGGTCCACTCATCATATTCAAATCTTTCATGGTCCTTCTTCTCACTTTCGCCAAACTTGCAAACTCCCTTAGGAGGATGGTGGAAACGCAATTTCCCTCCTAGTCTCCACGGGCAGTAAACACAGCCCTTGCCATTATCTGCGAGCAACAAAATCATGGTTTTCATCATCATCATCATCATCATCATCGTTAACTCACACATGTCTATTTGTCCCTAAGCAAACTACTTACTGCATAAACCAAATTCAAGCTAAAATACTCAGAGGATGTGTAGAAAACAAATCACCTGTTCTAGAGAAGTCAATGGGAACACAGCAAAGAACACTATAACCTTCCCCGTAGATTGACTCAGTCTCAGCGAAAAACAATCGAATGTCAGAAGGGTTGTATTGCCCGGCGGCGGAGGACGAACCATCAATTACATTGACAGACTTGGCAGTAAAGATGGCGTGGACGATAAGGGTACCAGGAAACAGAAAACACTTGCTGAAGATGGGTTCATCCAGCTCAAAGTTTGAGCCCTAATACATCAAATTAATCGAGACCCGATTATATTTCGACGATTAAGAAAGCAATTATTATTATTTCGATTGAGAGGAACGTAAACCAACCTCATTCATCTCATTGTAGTATTTCAGACCCGCTGTTCCAGCACGGGTGACTTGGTTCTTCATGATTCGTTCTCGTTCAGGATCAACATGGTCCTCATCCTCGGACCACCTACAAACCCAAAAAAACATACTCTCAAATCAAATGATGAACCGCAAAACCAAACAACAGCAAAACTTACAACGCATCGATGTCGGATCCTATCTCCACCACGCTGTCCTCGTCATCAGAAACCTCCCACGGCAGACGAGCCGGAGCCGGTTCTCCCCCACCCACCTGTTGATCCGACGCTGAAATTGGCATCGGCGGTTCTCCTCCGGCAGGCACTTGATCATCATGGTCTCCCTCCATCTCCAGATTTGATCTTTTTGCTCAGCTCACGGTTGTTTTTTTTTTTTTTTTTTTGTTTGGTACAGCTCCCGATTGTTTTGTTGTGAACGGCAGCAGGCGTAGAAATAAGAAGTTAAAAAAATAGGGTTCGGGTACGCCCTTTTCCTTTTGGAAACACAAAAGAAATACATAAGCCCAGCCCATTAACAGCCATCCCAACCAAGCCCACACCTATCTTTATCGGGTCATATTATCAAGGATAAATACAATTTAATATCCAAACCTTTCATTTTAAACAATATAATAACCAAACTTTTTCGAAAACAATCTAATATCCAAATCGTCAACTTTTCGTCTTTTGACCGTTAGTTGACACTTCAAAAAAGTTTTGTTTAGGGGAAATTGTCACAATACAACTTTGTTTTCTTGTTTTGGCATTGCAGATGACTGAATATTTAGATATTCTATACCATCATGGTGGAGTCGTGGACTTCTCGGGTTTGGAACCATGATATGTTGGTGGTTTTTCAGAGAAGATATCGATTGATATTGATGAAGTGTCGTACTTCGATCTTTTTTGAAGTGTCAACTAACGGTCAAACGGACAGAAAGTTGACGTTTTGGATATTAGATTGTTTTCGAAAAGGTTTGACTATTATATTGTTTAAAATGGAAGATTTGGATATTAAATTGTATTTATCCTATTATCAGGTGATTTTGACTTTGTGAGTAATCTAATAGCAAACTGCAAAAGGAAAAAGAGTGTTGTTGTATTAGTGTTACTCTTTAATAATTTGCGCTACCATCTAAAACTCACTTAAGATTCACATTTTGGTAAACTACAAACATGATCAATATTTAGGGTTGTTATATGATTCATGGCATATCCAAAAATTAAATTAAAAAGAGGATTATTTATCGGTCACATCAGACACAACATGAAAGAAGTGTTTGATGCGTTGAAGCATAACTCAAGGATAACTTGATGAAATTATCACTAATTACATGATTTAAAAAAATATATGATGATGCTTAAGTAGACCAGAATTGTTTTAGATTGTGATTTGTGTTGAAAATAATTTGTAATAGTTTAGAACCTTTCACCATTGAACGCATATCATTGAGGTTTGACTATTGGACAATTTGAAAATGCAAGTTTGAAATAAATTTCAAACCCATTCGATTAGTCTTGATTCCAAGTCCAAATGTCTTTCCATTATGAATGTCCAATATGCAAATGTTTAAACTATACAATCAACATATTATACAATCAACATATTAACTGGTAGTTCAATGAGGGTTGCAAAATTCTCGATATGTTTGATAATTGGAAGTATCACAACTTTTACACATTTGTGATTATGGGTTAGTCAATTCTAATATGATTCGTGTACAACCAATATCCAATTTAGTCGTATAAGATGGGAAGAGGTCATACTATACCAATAGCTATGCTCTAGAATGAAACGACAATCTGCCACAAATTACCATATTTTCAAACGTACTTCAATCTAACTATTCTTACCAAGCTAGAACACGAAATAAGGACTTTTCTGTTCCGGTTAAAATGACTCGCTGTTATAGTCCAATGATAATTCCCGCAGCTTTTACCCATCGAGACTTCCCATCTTCCCCTCCCGCTATAAAAGTAATGGCCGCTTTCTCTCCCTTTACAGCACTCAGCACTGCGGTTTCTCGTTGTTCTTCTTCTTCTACATTCGCTCGCTCGCTCTCGCTCTCTCGTTTCTCAATCACTTTCCATAATCATTCCCCAGTTCTCTGCCCCCGTACGCGCTTCTCCCCTGTCAACAGGTACAAACTCCCCGCCCTTTTTCATTTCAATTTGATAGTTTTGATCGCCTTTGTCATCTCAGAATGACGATTTCCCATCTGGGTATCCCACATTCGATGCTTTCCCTACTTGGGTTGGTGTCATTTTCATTATTAATAATGGGGATGGAGTTCCGTCAAGCCTTTTGTCAAATGGTGATTTTTGACAGTCGTGGGGTTGTCTGAACTTTGTGTGTATATAAATTATCTTGATTGGAGTTAATGGTTGTATAACTTTAGGCCTACAGTTTCTCCCAACGTCAGGTGCTTGTCAAACTCGGTGAATCCACCAGCTGCGATGGAGCAAGTGGCTGCTACGATGGAACAAGTTAAGCTGCTTACTTCAGTTAACGATCAACATGGAGGAGTCATAGTGGAGTTGTCTGAACCAATTGACTCAGGGATCTTTGCTTCGATGCTCAGAATTTCGATCAGCGAATGGAGAAAGCTGGTAACTTTTCTGTGGCCAATTCTAATCTGCTTCCTTGTGTAGATAATTCAGATTGTTTTTATAGAGGGAGTATGAATATCAGAAGTGAATTGTGTGATTTAAGACAAAGTTTCAAACTTGTTGTGCAGGGTAAGAAGGGGGTATGGATCAAACTTCCCATTGAGCTTTGCAGTCTTGTTGAAGTTGCAGTCAAGGTAAATTAGTTATCTTCCATAATCCCTCATTAATGACTCAAAAGTTGCAATACAATCGAGTTATATACGTTGTCCTGGACTGGATATGCTTTGTGGACTACTAACTGAGAATCTGTTGTTCAATGGGCAGGAAGGATTTTGGTATCATCATGCAGAGCCAACATACTTGATGCTTGTTAGTTGGCTCCCTGGAGGTGCTCATCCTCTTCCACCAAATGCCAGCCATAGAGTCGGAGTAGGTGCATTTGTGATGAATGAGAAAAGGGAGGTAATTCCATAAATCTTTATAAGTCTATCAGCTAACTTTCCTTTTTGTTTTCTCATTGATAATAGACATTATGATTTTCAATAAGAGCTGTCTTTTTGGTTAAGTATTTGAATGTAAACTCTTCATAGACTGTGAACAAGCTCTAATCCTTAGTTTCTCAAGCTGAATGTTCATTTTCATTATAGTTATCTTCCCGTTACGATAAGTTCCTGCTTATGCATGAGAGGCTTTGAATTGAATAAACTTTATTAGTGCATATCCTTTACCATATCTCGGGATCACAAAACGCATCTAAAACTTTATTAATGCAGGTGCTAGTCGTCCAGGAGAACAGTGGAATATTTCGAGGAACAGGAATCTGGAAGTTCCCTACTGGAGTTGTTGAAGAGGTGTGTTCATTGTGCTGCAATGACCTCTTTTTTCTATCTGGCCTAGCAGCAACTCTGGATTAATACTGAATAGCTTTATCGTCTTTAGGGAGAGGATCTCTGCACAGCTGCTGTAAGGGAAGTCAAAGAGGAAACTGCTGTAAGTCATGTTGAGCAAATCTTTCAACTTTCCTTTTCCCTGACGTCGATTATGATTTAATCAGCTTTATTTTTCTTTACCACATACCAGATCGATGCAGAATTCATGGAGATTTTAGCTTTCAGGTATGTTGTAACCAATTGTGCTACTGTTACATTTTCGTATGCAACTGATACTAAACACTCTTGATGCCCATCCCATTCTTCTCATCTTCAGGCAAACCCACAAGGCGTACTTTGAGAAGTCGGATTTGTTCTTCCTGTGTATGCTGCGACCCATCTCTTTCGACGTCCAGAGGCAGGAAGCAGAGATAGAGGCAGCAAAGGTTAAACCTTTCTACCAAAACTAATTCACCAAACAACCAGTTTAAGTCTTTTCTCTTACAGTATTGCTTGTAAATTTGCATTGCAGTGGATGCCCTGGGACGAATATGTGGCTCAGCCATTCGTGCAAAAGACTGAATTCGTGAAGCACATTAGTGACATATGCTTGGCAAAGGTTGACGGGGACTACACCGGGTTCTGTGCCATTCCCACTGCTTCTTCTGGTGGTCAAATGGGCCATGTGTACCAGAATGCACAAGGCCGGAGAAGGTAGTACTGCAGAGTCCTTTGAGAAGGAAGGAAGATGTCAAACTTCTAGTTTATAGAAGACGCAGTATTGGTTGGTTCTTGATTGATTGGGAGTTACTCATTCGGCAATAAGTTCATTTCATTCCAGTTTGCGGCAAGTGAAGGGGACAGGGTATGTCAATATAGTTTCAGGATCATTGCAGATTAAGGAAGTAAGATGGAAAAGAAAATTGGCATTTTAGTTTATAAAAGTTAATACATATTGAAGGGAATTCAAGTTAATACATATTGAAGGAAGTAAGATGGAAAAGAAAATTGGCATTTTAGTTTATAGCTATTAATGGTATTTCTGATGATCATGTAGCCATGTGAGCTTGGTTGCTATAGTCGCATTGAAGGCGGAGAAGTCATATTTACTGATCGCAACTTGGTAAGCTCTTCAAATTGCTTTCCCAAGTTTGCGTTCTTTTTGCTGTATGCAATTGTTTAGCTCTAATTAACTCCATCTTAATCCTTGTTCTTTTCAGAGGCTCTTTAAGCGTCTAATATCTGAAGATATTGGAGAGGATCTTAATCAAGGCTTTGATACTTTCATTGAAAAGAAAGGTAGTGCTCTAATATATTTGGTTAATATTACCCTTTCCTGAATACACATCCTCTGGTTTCTTATGGGGTGAGACTTTTTTCTGTTTACCTGTTCTGTTGCAGATTTGGGCTCTGAAGGGTTCGGCGACCTCCTTGGTTGTATAAGGGAAAAGAATATTCCGCTGCAAAATATGCATTTCGTGGTATGAATTGAATTTACTTGTAGTCTATGTCGTTGTCTCGTCCAAGTCAGTTTGCCAACTAATATTATTATTCTTCTTGTTGTAGACTTTCCGGAACAACCTAAATAAGGTAATGGAGGTTATCTAATAGTCAGTTACTTGTCATAATCATATTTTTCTGTAATGCTCAGAATCATTTGTCTGCCTTTAAGGTTTGCTGATTCTTTACTGTGTCTCTCTTGTGAAAATAATGTTCAGCAATGATTGGTGATATATTTCTAGAAGTGCGAGGTTGTCTGAAATCTTTTCATCATCTGCTATTATCTGCCGTGTAGAGTAGGTAAATATTTTGTGTCCACACTGAACCTTTTTGAGAGAAACTCGAGTATGGGGCGTTGGAGCTTCATAATGCCCTTCAATGCTTGATTGCAGATCATGCAAACTGCTTATATTCGACACGAGCCATGGGAAATGGGGGTGCATAAGAGGAATGGAGTTGTGTACCTTGATGTACATAAACTTCCTGAACGACCCCAGAGTGAGTTCGAAAGAAAGAGGTAACAGACTGGCTTCTAGTTTACGATTTCATAGGCATGTTAGAGTGTCTTGATCTAATAGGAAATACCTAATAATATCTAGGTTGGGTACATCGTCAATGATACCATTACTCGACTTTGCACTAGGTTCCCTTTACTACTATTTGCAATATGTTGGAGAAGAACAATTAATAGGTCCCTTACTGCTAAGTTCCCTATTGATGAAGTTGAAAAATATTTGCATTATGCTGGATGAAATCACATGATACGCCCTTGGCATTAAATATGTAATGAAGCACTTAATTGGCCACCTGTATAATTTTCTTCAGTTGGTCTAGTTTCTCTTAGGCTGTTCAAGTTTTCTTAATTGTTATTCTTAACCTGTTTCTTTCATTATGTTGCTTTTAGGTGTTACTGGGGATATTGTTTTGAGACCTTAGCCACTGAAGATCCAGGAAGAGCTGATGGAGAACCTATACATCATGTTGATGCCAACGTGGAGTATTGTGCTATGTTTAAAACCAAGTTAGGGGCTCATCGCATATTGATGGGTGCTGAAATGGATTGTTGCGATTCTACTGATGATGGAAGGAGGTTTTATGTGGAGTTGAAGACAAATCGTGAGGTTGTGTATGAAAACTCTGGTTTAACCCTTGGCCTTGTATTTCTAGTTTTGAACTTTTCATAATTAAATTCCCTTGTTGTGCAGTTGGAGTATCATACAGAGGAAAAATTTGAGAGGGAGAAACTGCTCAAGGTTTGGGTATGTATTGAGAGTAACTCTTTGAAGTTTGAATACTGTTACAATCAGAAGTATTAACTTGGGTTGCTGCCTCCTTTTGTCCAGCATATGCTGTTTGAGTTGTGGCATATCTTATTTATGTACAAGGATATTTTTATGTATTATGGTTGCAGATTCAATCATTCTTAGCTGGGGTTCCTTACATCGTGATTGGATTCAGGTAAATTTTAAGCTGAGGCATTTTTCCCCTTTTTATGGGTGGTTGATATGGAATCATGCAATTGATTCTAGGTTATCAAGTCAATACCATCATTTGGCTGAAGGCCATTTAGCTTAAATCAGTATGGCCTAAATAAGGACAAGGACCAGCAGAATGTATCTTGGAGATTGGAAGATACGCTGCAATAATGGTTGCCTGCTATACATTTACAAAATATATGGACTAGGTTGTAAGTCCTTTTAAGAAGTCTGGTAATCCCTGCAGTATTATATCCTGTTGTTTATTTACTTGCAGGGATGATCACGGCCGACTTGTACGAACAGAGAGGCTAAGAACTAAAGATATAACACAAAGAGTGAAAATGAAGAACTACTGGCAGGTTAGTATGCTGCATCCCTCGTCTAACTAACTAGTGATCCAGTTCATGTGCATTTGGTTATGATGGACTCCATCCGGCTGTTCATTGAAATCACCCTGTGTATATGCAGTTCATTACTTGCATAAGATTCTGACTATCTGGTAAAATGGTTGGCAGGGAGGTGTCTGTCTAGCGTTTGCAGATGAGGTACTATGCTGGCTCTATGGAACAGTGAAAGAAAGTAAGCTTCTTATTCTCATTATCTATTTGGTTTTGCATTGAAACAACAAAGGCGCAAAGAAGAATTCATACGTATAACCCTAATACATGTTCTAGCCAGTTTTCCCCCCAACCGCTTGCACCTCTTCTCTAACTTTCCTTGCTCCCGTATCATTGCAGACGAAGATTACATACTGCAGTTTGCGCACCCTTTCATGCGGTTAGAGCTTCTACAAGCGCAATCTTGCCCCGAAGCTATCACTAACCATGTTAGTCAGTTGTGAGAAGCTCGTGTATAAAGAACCTTCGTACTTTTGTATGGCCTTCAATATGAAAGATCATCCATACACGATTAAATTAAGACCGTAGGATTCCGAGTCCTGGAATCCAGATGTGTTTCTTCCTCAGTTTAAAGAGGAGGCACATAGAGCTTAATAAAATTTTTTGATATTGCCCATCAAAAAAAAAAAAAGAAAGTTAAATAACAGGTTACTTGGGAAAATCTTCATGTCCTTTCCTGATTTTCACCAATTGGGGATGGCTTTTGCCTGAGGTAGCAAATTGGATTGTCGAATGGCTTTAGGTCTGGGGGTTTTGTTTTTAATGGGCTACATGAATTGCAAGTTATCCAAATTTCATTTTTTGGTTCGGACAAGAAACAACGTTCTGACGAGAATGAGTGTGGTGGTGGGGGTGTAAATGGAACGACGTAGTTCCGAACTCCGGCGATGGCCTTTTCTTGTATTAGAGTGGGGAACGATCTCAACGAGGCCGGTGATGGCTCAACTTCAACTCGGCTTCCCCGCTCCATCTACTTTTATAGTGAAAGTGTGCTTTAGTTAATCGTGTGATTCAACAGAAAAGTTTAATGTTTTTTCGTCCGAACCATCACGATATGATTTCACATACACTAGTTCGTCGAGAGTGGAGAGAGGTTATAGATTGGTTTTTTCCCCTTCTTTTCTTATGAGAACCTAATTCGTTCCGTGATCAATCACTTATAATTATTTTGTGCAACCACGTTAGTAGTTATTATCGTCAGCCATCGAGGTCTTCATAATACATTGAAAAACCAACTATAAGAAGTCTATACTCTATATAATGCCAATCAAATCGAATTTGAACTTTATGATCCATCGTCTTTATCGATCAATGTTCGCCTCGGGAGATTGTGGACTTATTGTTCGTCAAAGATATACTACTTCTACAATCGAAAGTTCGTGGAGCTATTGTTACACCTTCTTTTCTTAGCTTCTAATTAGCTTGGCTTGTAAAATCACAAGTACTCCATATTTGGATTATCAAAATACTCTGAACAAACTTCTCTCTTTTCCTATTCTAATGAGTTCCCATAACTGCTTTTAGTTGAACGAGTAGAATTTTTCACCAAATGAAATTGGTTAAAAACATAGAGAGAGAGTATCGTACAGATGATAAAAACATGTATGGCATTGGCTATACTACATTTGATACTTACATTTCGTGTAGGCAGTTGTTTGGCGCTTAATAAGATTCTTGTTCATGTTTGTCCATTTTCTTACTTAACATAATTGTGAAAATATGGTGCTAATTAATACATTGTATCGTCTCGAAAGTCTTAAGGCATTAACCTAGACGATGGTGTAGGACATCAAATATTCAAGTCTTTACTTAGACTTCCTAATAATTAATGTGAATAAAAGCTAAGATAATTACATATTAAGATTATCATTTTCCCACTCTACATTTTCCTATCTACTCCTTCATCCTTGCCCTTTTCCTATGGTAGGAGATCGGCTGAACCGGCTCGTTGCATCAAGCTACATTGCAAGAAACTCTTAACACATTAGAAAAAAAGATAGAAAGAATAAGGAGAAAAAGAAGGAAAGAAGAAGAAATTATCCATCTTTCATAAGTTTTTGTGGTTGTTCGAATCTTGTTTTTATCATCCCGATTGTTGAAAGGGTTTTATTTTGTTTTTAGTTGCAAAATAGCTAGTTTATTTGTTTCTCTCTTGTATCTAGATCTTGTTTCGAATGAAAAAAAGTTTATAAACTAGAGAGAGATCTAAACCGGCAAAACAACCATGGAAAAGGAGGGAGAGACCTGCAATGAGATACCAAAAAAAGATCTATGTGATATTTTAATTTCTTTTTATGAATAATAGTTTATATAAATTGACACGCCAATGAAGAAAACAATTGAATAGGCTCATTATTAATTTTGTACGAGTTATTTTAAATTTTAATGACAAGTTCATTAATACTTTAAGTTAAGTGACTGAATTGTTTGTAACAAAAAGTTTAGGGACTGTTTATGTATTTGACCGCTAACTTAACCTTACCTGCTATGCTAAAGACTCCTCAATGATTAGGGGTGTGCAAAGGTTAATTAGAAAGTTTTTAGGATGAGTTTTAGTGAAGCGGAAATTTCTATTTTCTCGATAGATGTTTGATATTAACAGTCGGTTTAGACATGATAAAAATCTTGGTCAGTCACTTTCGTCAATAGATTCATGGATAAAAATGAGAAGCAAGAGCAAGTGAAATCGAACTTGACAATAGAAGATAACATTTAACTTGAGGATATTATGATAACCCCTAACGGGTTGATTTTGGTTCAAAGTTGCATAGCCAAGAATTCAATTTGAAGATTGAACTCGAATAGGAAGAACACCAAAAACAGGGTTGGTGTTTGTGTTTTGGATGGAAAGTTCAGTGCAAGTCTCACACGGGTGAAAGGCTCGATCACTAGGTAGAGGCTTGGTCACGAACAACGTGACTAACTGATCGATACAAGCTTGGACCCCTAGTTGCGTTAGAATACGAAAACAATACACAAAACCAAAAAGAAGACAAAATCCTAATCCAATAAGGATTCAGATTTCTTGATTTCCAAAGACAGAAAACAGGCTCGACATGATCTTTGGACCCTTCTTTCGACGCCTTCGAGGCAAACCATTATTCATCCAATGCCTTGTCTTTGTACATTAACAAACACACGTTCATGTGGTATGAAGATCCTGACTCGATTCTAAATCATCTTCCTTGAATGGAGCTTCAAAGTAGCCTTCATGAACACGGATTTATACTTAATCAAATTCTGATAGTTTTCACGTGTTGAGGTAACATTTTGGTGAGCTTCAAAAATGGCCTTCATGACTTGTTCCTGGCCTTCCAAGCTTTCACACACTTAGAACAACACTTCTACTTCAATTCTATACCCTTTCCTTGAATTTCCATCGAGCCACTTGGGACGAACAAGTTTGCAAAGTAGGTAACCTGAAACAGACAAAACAGTTAACCAATTTCTAAAATTCTTGTTAGTGATTGAGATTTCTTCTCGACCAAGCAATTCTGACTTGTAAATTGAACCAATTAGGATCATATCATATTAGCATGACATCTTCTCAACATTCATGAAAAAATGATGGTCACGGTCGTGAAACGATCTTGGAGACCCTGATTGACCAACAATTGTCCACAAACCTAAGCTAACAATGAAACTTAAGTAGAAGGATCAAGCCATGAACAATAGAAGATAACGTTTAACTTGAGGATATTGACATGACATCTTCTCAACATTCGGAAAGAAGTGATGGTTACAGCGGTGAGACAACCGTGGAGACCCCGATTGACCAACCATTGTTAATCTAACAAGGAAACTTAATTAGAAGGGCCGAGCCATGAATACCTGATTCCATGTTTTGGCTATCGTGATGGTAAACTTAAAAGAACCTTTTGCAGGCTTTTTTTTTTTTTTTTTTTTGGGCTTCTTCTTTCACAATCAATGACTCTAGCTTAGCTTTCTAACAGTAATTAGGTGTGCGCTGCATCTACCACACATGATCAAGATGAGTCTTTTTGGCTTAGACCCTGAAGACTGCATTGGGGAATCAGAGAAGGAGTCGCAGTGTATTGAAGCACAATTGGAAACTCCAACACCAGAGATAGTAAACAATCAACATTGATGGTAGCTAGCCTAAGGATGGAGGGGATTTGGGGTTATTATGAGAAATGAACATGGCAAGATCATTGAAGCTTTGACCATACCAAGCAGGAGGAGACTTTGGCAGATTGAAATAAAACCCAAATGAGAAACCTACTGACTACTGAGTGAGAGAGGAGAAGAGTAAAATAGTCAAAAGTTTATACTTCCACTAATCAACAGATACTATATATATAACATATAGCCTTAATAGTTCATACATAACAACACACAAACAAACAACACACTTTCTAATCTTAGTCAGTTATTTACTATATCTCCACTACTGCCTTAGTTATATCATATGAACTCTTCCATTTGCTTCCACTATTCAAGCTCCAGCTCCTTGACCACGGGAACATAAACAGCCTTCACTGCCGAAACAGCTACATCTCTAAACCCGTCATCGAAGCGATGCTTGCCCTGATTCTCCTGGCACTCAAAACAATCGACCCCTTGTACCTTCCTATACCCAATCACACACACAGCATGAGATGTGAATCTGAGCTTCTTCACCATGTCCTTCTCCCCAGATCCTTGAGCCTTCTTCTTCTTCTCCTCCTCCTCCTCTTTTCCTTTAGCTTTCTTCTCAGAAGGCGGCTTTTCACCATCCGATGATGAAGTGGTATCGACATCGTCCGGAGGTGGGGGCACATTCAAGCTAGGGTCCTTTTCTTTCAGCTGTTCTACTGTCGTTGGTCCCCCACGAGCATAGTATATCCCACCATTCAAATAGTCATCCCGCAGCTCCATAGTACCAATGACTGGACCGTCATCCTCCAGCAGCTTCTTGACTTGTTTTACTTTCTCTTCAGTGTTGAGCTCTAACATCTCACAGCTTGCTAGGTGGTAAGTCACAGGTTGTGGCGTCTTCTCTGCTACCAGGAGTGGAAGTTTGTTTCGAACAAAATGTTCCATTACTTTCCTCCTCCTTCCACCAGGTACGTTGACCCAAGCTGCCTCCTTCTTCAACATCCTACGAGCGGAAAATCTGCCGGGAAAACTACCATCCGTTGCTATCCGCACCCGAGCGTCCATGGTATCACAAAGTGCCCTGTAAACACATGTATCTGGAAACATACACACTGAGTTAGTCCTATAATTAGTAAACCCTAAATCAAGATTTAACTAACTAACTTACTTACTGTCCTTATTTCTCCTAACCGGAGACAGGAAACCACTATCTTTCCAGGACCACTGCGCCATCTCCGTTCTCTCCTGAGAATTGATCGAGGAATACAAACCCTTGGTGAGAAAATTAAAAACTGGAACAGAAAACACAAAGACCATGTTCCACAGGACACAAAATTAAACCCTCTGCCCTCTTCATTCCCACTGTATTTCTCCCTATCTATCAGATTCAGAAGGGTTAACAAGAAAATAACAAGGAACAGCGGTGTAGAGCTGTGGTGATCGGATTCAGAAGAGTCAACAGAAGAAAAAAGAAGAAGGAAACAGAGGAGTAGAGGAAGACAATGGAGTCGTGGAGAAGAAGTGAACAGGCTTGGGGCTTTTCCATCGAGGCTAACAAACATTAAACCATTATCTGATCCTAACCAACCTATTCACCTCCCGTTTACTAAGCTAGATCCACACCATTCTGGCAAACAAGAAGCTTTCCAACAACAACAAAAAAAATGAAAGTAATCATCATAAAAAGGGAAATGCGTCAAGACTTTTGGCAGATTCAACGTTTACCTTGAGGGGTAGAACAGAGTAAAGGAGAGAGGGTGAGCAGCAGAGAGGAACAGGATCGGAGCAGCTGCTGCGCCGACTTAGCACTCCGCTTACTGTGCCCTACTGAAAGAGTGAAGGGAGGGAGTGGATATATACTAAACCTTTTTCGGTTAGGTCTTTCCGGGTGTCATTCGGATTGGGAGAGTAGGGTAGTTTTTCCACCGTAAACAAACCAAACCAGGCCTGTAGCCCATTCACCCGCCCAGCCCAACAGATCCGGACCGAGCTGTAAGAATTTTAATTTGTTAGAAGGCCGAAAAAGAAGGAAAACGAATTCGTGAATAAATAAATAAGGGAGGGAACTTCAATATATAAAAAAGGGAAAATGATGCAAATTGGATTCATTTTTGAGTTGATAGTTTGTTTTGGAATTTATTTTCTTCATAGATTCTGATGAAATTTTAGGGATTGATTTTGGTTCATTTTAAGAAAATGTTTCAATGAGAGTAATTGTGAGAGGAATAAATTAGACATTTTCAATAAAAAAATTAAATTAAATATAACTCAATCTTCCAACCAACCAAAACGATCCACATGTCAGGCTCCCTCTCTTCATTTTTTTCTCCTCCAATCAAATTAAATTATTCATATCTTCTTTTTTTATGGTCGGTTCTTCTTTATTACAACTTGAATTTTATTTTTGTACTTTTTAGTTTGTTTAAAACCTTTTTTTTTTCCATAGATATAAAAAGAGATATAATTGAGTTTCGTATAAACGGGCAAACGGCCACTCAAGCTTAAAAAGCAAATGCCCGTAAATTTTTTACAAAATGACCCAAAAAAGAAGAGTTTTTGTTGCCACTTTATGAGTAATTTTATTGACGATTCTAGAGATCGGACTAAATTGTAGAGATAGCAAAATAAATCATTGTTGTGGGTACCCAATCGAATTCTAATCGATTTTCTTGGAGGAAATCCAACCGATATTATCTTTTGGTGAATTTTATCCAAACCCGACAAAGAGGGTAGTGGGTTTGGTGTTTTTGTTATTTTAAGTATTCGTACCGAACCCACCCGAATATGTGTTATAACTATGTTCTAGACTCATTCACTTTAACATTTCGTTCATTCATATTCCTGAAACATCATAATTATCTCTTAGACCCGAAATCTTGTTCATTTTCTCTCAAATTTACAAATATACAAAGAAACTTCATTTTACATTAGCATTCGAAGGAAAAATTAAGATTATAAAACTTTATACATTACTGATGAGTGATGGTACAAGTGGGTTTTCCCCGAACAACATACTTGGCATGACATATTACATCCCGTCATAGTTTTGATTATATAGATAGTTAAGATTTTAAAATTATAATTCAGGTATATATATAAAAATTGATCTCACTCAAACTCGTTGCCTCGTTGCCATCCTTAGTCAAATGGACATAGTCATCAAAAAGTAACCTAGCACAGGGAAGCAATCCCAAACAAAGCACAACTGAAGTTTGAAATTAGTGAATGACCGGCTAGGTATCGCTCAAAATAACAACCAAAAATAGATGGAATCAGGCAACTAGATGAAGTACCAGCTATGAATGATTATGATGATGAAAAATGATCAGTCATTCCGACTGGATCCAAATTGAGCAGTTTTATAGTTTAACTGTTTATAACATCGGGTTCTTCTGACTGTTAAATACTAACCGGACCATTTCTACAATTGGTTGATGGTTTATTGGTCCACCCAGAATCCCAGATGGTTCGGTCTGATTCTAGTAGCAAGGATATAAAGGCAAAAGCGTCTACGGTAACTAGTATTTACTAGTTTTTCTGCTTCTTCCCCATTCTTCGTCTTCTTCCTCCCCCCCTGTTAAATTCCTCTCATCTTCCACCTTCCCCTTTATACTGTCAGGTCCTTTTATCCTCTCGTGCTGCTGCATCCTCAGTAGCTGCCATTACTGATGGTGCCACCTGCTTCCCTTTGAAGGACAGTTCCTCAGACAACATTTCGTTGTTTGAACCACCAACACTGCCCCCACCTTTGATCACCTGTCCAAAGAAGAGAAGTTGAACTACTGTTCTTAGTGGCAACCTCTCGTTCTTGACGGCATGGGCTCAAACTTCTGGTCAGTTTCTGGCAGTCTAACATCCTACAGAGGCTCTTCCTTGCTCAAACCAGGATTCTCCTGTTTCAACATTGGTAGAAAGTAATCGGAAAGTTAGAAACTTACAAGATCAGAAAGTTTTTGTTCTTAAGCATTTATAGGCACTTTTTGAAATGTGCTAGTGAGGATGAAGATTTGATATGATCAGACATTTATGGGAAAGGTTTGTTTCCTCCACATAGCTAAAGTGCAGTTCATGTTTGAGATATGAGCCATACCTTCAAATAGTTGTTGATGGCTGTGTAAAGCTCATCTGTGGCTTCTTCTCGCAACATCCGGCAGAGCTTCAGCAAGAGAAACAAACTTAGGCACGGGCATATCCGGATATTTTGCCACCACTTGAATGTAAGAATCAACAAGCTTTCCAATCCTCCTAATCGATCCCACAACCTGAATCTCGTCCCCAGAAGCTTCTTGCAACAAACGTCTCCAGACCACCAAGAAACTCTCAAGCACATCTGCAACTGAGCCAATGTCATAACCTTGCTGTCCCAAATGTGAAGGGAACAATAAGTCACTCAAAGTTGCCTCCTGAAGTTGCACTGTTGATCTCCTTATGAGCTCTGCCATTGTAGCTGGAGACGTGGCCAGGTAATTTACAGTCTTAAGAAGCCTGAGAAGAAAGCCGATGGAGAACGAGCCTCTGTCGACAGGGATCATGCTCATGACGGTTTCAAGGAATGTTCTCTCACCTCCCTCGCTTTCGAAGGGGTGAGTTTTCGTGGCGTCTGGAAGCCAATGAGAGGCGTACACGTGTAATGCTTCTGCAATGAGCTGAGGTGGCAGCAGGTACGTTGATTTCAGAGCTGTGATGATGCATCTGAAGAGGTCTATGTCGAGGTCTGATAAGTGATATGTCTTCTGTCCATCAATCTCTTGGGACAGATTGCTCGAGCTTGTTGAACCCTGGTGTTGTGCAAGTATATTACCATCTGACCTGCAATATTTTCGTCACCAAATAGTGGTAAGCAAATATGGAGAAAGTTTTTGAAGGTCTTAAATGGTTGAATGGTCACTAAAGCAACTAGAAGAAGGGGAGATGATCATGATGGGATGGAAACCTGCCAGAACAAAATCCAGGAGGCGAGAGGATTTTATCAACAATGGAGTCGATGCATCTCCTGATGATCCCGAGATTCTCGGAGCATTCATCAGCTTCACCGTTCTGGAGAGCCATGGAGTCCTTCCAACCTTGAAGGATGCACGAGTTGAAGAAAGCCTCGAGCTTAAGCACAAAATTGCCTTGATCGACCTATTCTGTCACGCGACCACAGCAGTACTAGGCACAGAGCTCGAAAGCTTCTTCCCATTCAGGAATGTCGTGGAGTTCAATTGTAATAGTGGACGGTTTAGGTGTATCAGAACAAAACCTTTGTAAGAGCCTACATCTTGAAAGGAGTATAGGGATACCAAGATCAAGAAGATAGCGTTGGATTCTTTTTTATCAATTCGTACCTTGTGAAGCAAGTAAGTAATGCTGTTAATTCTGATTTCAAGGTCACTGGGGATCTCTGATGCTGAGGACCTGCATTTTCAAAGGTCTTGGACTCAAAAGAGTGGTTGACATACGCACGCATGGGTGTCAAAAGAAAAACTCTATTGAAGTTGGGAGGGTTGGGTGAAAGCTGCCGATTGCCTAATCATAGACTCACATGAAAATTGTAGCCCTACCAACCAAGAGTCTTCATCTCCATGGCGTTTGGTGCCTGCCAACCCCTACAGAGTTGCTCTAGCACTAGCAGCGTCGCTTGCTCCAGAGTAAAGACCTTCCCGTTGCCCAGCCTCGCTTCCCATGTCCGCTTTCATCCTTCCTCTGGGCCCAAAAATCCGCATTCGCACGCCACCCCTTCAATCATCTCCCATCCCCTCATCACTCCGGTTTGCATCTCAATATAGAGGCCTCTGCAACCAAACCTACTCAAACACTTCACCGCCCATACTTTTTCTAGATCGGCCCAGCTCTCTCTCTCTCTCTCTGTCTGTCCCGCCAAGGAGGGGAAGGAAAAGAACCCGAAGAAGATCTCTCGATCATCACCGCCTTCCCACAGAGCTCCGCTTATCCCAGTGAGTGAATACTCGAAGCAGCGGCGCTCGCTGCGGGGACTCGAGGATGAAATCCGCCGCGCCTGATGCTTCAATACCGCTGAGTCGACCCGAATGTCGCCGCCCCGAAATACCAGGAGCAATTTCAGGCCTGTGGGGACGCCGTCTCCGCCCGGTGATACTTGATCGGAGATCCAAATACTCCAAACCCGAAGATCTGAAGACAACCCCCAGGTTTCCGCACAGCCTCAACCCGTCGACCAGACGGCTCAACTCAAGCTCGGCGAAGATGGGCTCTCTTACGTCATCGAAAGAGCTCCGTTCGAGTTCAAGAACCGCTACACGGAAGCGCCAAAGAAGAAGCCGCTGAACTTATGGGAGGGAGCCTGTACTGTACTGTAATGAACCCAAGTCTACGACGAGTTAATTTGTAAACGTGAGAAATGTAAGGACTGCTTTAGATAATTGAACAAGCTATAAAATCTCTATCTCGTTCTACTGTAAACGTCTAGAAAGTTGAGAAAATAACAGATTACAATTTTCCTTCTAATCTTCCGCAGAAGTTAAACTGCTAACAGGTGTTTCTGTTAGCAGATACTAACACGGGCCGGATTTGAGCCACGTCCCCACTGCTGCAATCCAAGGGCCGAGAATCGCGGGCCTATTAATTGGGGCTGATGGGCTGAGAAGGAAGGGGTTTTGGGCGGGAGCAGCCAAAAAAGAAAAAGTGGGCCCGCGTGGAGGGTTGGGCGGGAGAAGGAAAATGGGGAAAGTGGGCCCGCTAGGGGGTTTGGGCGGGAGAAGAAGAAAGGAAAAGTGGGCCCTGCGTGTTATATTAAAAATAGGAATAGAAAATGAAAAAATAGAAAGGAGGGATGCAATTAAATGTCCAACCACCCAACTCTCTTTCTCTCTTCGAAAATGGTATGTTGTGATCTGATATTGACATGTGATAACATGATATGCTTTTGTAATTGGAAGGATATTAGTCCGTCATTAAGGGATACTAGTCTGCGCTTTACAGATATTTGTTGACATGTGTTGGCACACTAGCAAGTCCTAACACATAAGGCTTGCAACCTTAGTTAGGGCTGCCCGCCGAGGGCCCAGGGGCCGAAGGCCCATGAAACAATAATAGTATCGCTTCGGGGATTGGTGGATGAGTTCGAATATGATGGTGTTATACTCTGTTACCATGGTTAGAGAGCCGCTAAACGACTTGTTGTTGATGGAGTCAACCCACCGAATAAGTATTTCTGATGTTGGATGTACATGTACGAGTACGACAATGATAACGGGTGTGGTTTTCACATGGATTGGGACGAAGTAATGTTCCCCGCTTTTTCAGAGTCGTATGATGAAGATAACACCGAGGAGACCGTGAAGAAATGAATTAGTATTTCTTGTCATCAATTTGTATTGTGTTGAGTTTGTTTCCATTTCTGATTCAAAGTGTTATCCATCTTTATCTACTATTAGTTTGGGCTCCAAGGATATTAGTCTACAAAAGAAGGGTATAAGGACATTAGTCTGGGCTCTATTGATATTAGTCTGGGTCTTTCGGATATTTGTTTAGGTCTTTCGGATATCTGTCTGGGTCTTTCGGATATTTTTCTATGATTTGTTGATATTTGTTTAAATAAAGAAGGTATTTGTCTGTTCTTTAAGGATATTAGTCTACAAAGACATTAGTCTGGGCTCTATTAATATTAGTCTAGGTCTTTCGGATATTTGTTTAGGTCTTTCAGATATCTGTCTGGGTCTTTCGGATATGTGTTTGTTATTTGATGATATTTGTTTAAATAAAGAAGGTATTTGTCTGTTCTTTAAGGATATTAGTCTACAAAAAGACAGATATTTACCTGGGAGGTTACAATATATTTTTCAATCAGAACTTATATTAGTAATTATATCCAACATCTGGCAAAATATCCTTCATCCTGCTACAAACCATGGAGTCAACCCACCGAATAAGTATTTCTGATGTTGGATGTACGAGTACGACAATGATAACGGGTGTGGTTTTCACATGGATTGGGACGAAGTAATGTTCCCGCTTTTTCAGAGTCGTATGATGAAGATAACACCGAGGAGACCGTGAAGAAATGAATTAGTATTTCTTGTCATCAATTTGTATTGTGTTGAGTTTGTTTCCATTTCTGATTCAAAGTGTTATCCATCTTTATCTACTATTAGTTTGGGCTCCAAGGATATTAGTCTACAAAAGAAGGGTATAAGGACATTAGTCTGGGCTCTATTGATATTAGTCTGGGTCTTTCGGATATTTGTTTAGGTCTTTCGGATATCTGTCTGGGTCTTTCGGATATTTTTCTATGATTTGTTGATATTTGTTTAAATAAAGAAGGTATTTGTCTGTTCTTTAAGGATATTAGTCTACAAAGACATTAGTCTGGGCTCTATTGATATTAGTCTAGGTCTTTCGGATATTTGTTTAGGTCTTTCGGATATCTGTCTGGGTCTTTCGGATATGTGTTTGTTATTTGCTGATATTTGTTTAAATAAAGAAGGTATTTGTCTGTTCTTTAAGGATATTAGTCTACAAAAAGACAGATATTTACCTGGGAGGTTACAATATATTTTTCAATCAGAACTTATATTAGTAATTATATCCAACATCTGGCAAAATATCCTTCATCCTGCTACAAACCATCATCTATCCCTAAATATTATCCAACCCTAAATAGCATCCATCCCTAAATATTATCCAACCCTAAGTTCAATTTTACAAACCCATATTACACTACACAAGTCTACAATCAACTTCTCTTCCTTTTCCCTTTTTCTTTCTTCGCATTCCAATCTTTTGCACCTTGAATTATTTCACCGGACCGGTTGTTATAGTCCCATAAAATCATATTCTTCATGCTCAATTTCCGCATCCCCAAAATCATATTCTTCTTCCTCCTCTTGCTGTTGTTGTTTAGCACGTTTAGACCTCGAGGTTTCAGCTTCTGTTCTGGGCCTCATTGTTGCAGCAGCTTTAGTTCTTGCCATTGTTGTGTTTTCCCTGTACAGTAGAATATCCAAATTCGTCAAACAACTATCCAGACAATTCACAATTGATATCCAGATATAGCAAACAGATATCCAGCCAATTCACAACTGATATCTAGATTTACCAAACAGATATCCAGGCAAATGAAAACAAATATCCTGCTGCAAAAGAATTAATATCGAATCCCAGATACACAAAACCCAGAACAATAGCAATCCAGATCCAGTCAAATAAGCAAAAAAATAAAACTGGGTTACCCAAAATAGTAATCATGCACACCACGCAATACCCAAACCCGTCAACACTCGTATCCATCGCACAACCATGAAAACGAATCCCAGACATCCAGACAAACCCCAACGAATCATTAACATTAATCTGGGTCTTTCGGATATTTGTTAGGTCTTTCGGATATCTGTCTGGGTCTTTCGGATATTTTGTCTGTGATTTGCTGATATTTGTTTAACTAAAGAAGGTATTTGTTTGTTCTTTAAGGATATTAGTCTACAAAAAGATAGATATCCAAATTGTTGTGATTTCCCTGTACAGTAGAATATCCAAATTCGTCAAACAACTATCCAGGCATTGATATCCAGGCAACTCACAACAGATATTCAGATATACCAAACAGATATCCAGGCAATCCACAACTGATATCTAGGCAATCCACAGAAATATCCAAACCCGTCAACACCTGTATCCATCACACAAACCCCAACGAACCATTAACAAGCAGAGCCAGCCAAAACCCCCAATCCATGAAACCCAAAATCGATCCATGCCAAAACCTAAAAACGAACTATGAAATAAAACAATCTTAAGTTCGAATGAAGCAAGGGGAAGACATACCTTATCGGCGTAGTTCTTGTCTCGCTGCCGTCACCGTCGTGATGCTGTCAAAACCGCCGTCGCAACTTCACTGCCCGTCATCCTCGCCACAACCGTCAAAGTCGCCGTCGATTCCTCGCGCCACCGTCGCTGTCGATCCCTCGTGCCACCATCGCAGTCGTCGATCGAGTGAGTAAAAGGAGCGGCCGCAGCAGAGAGAGGGAGAGGGAGCGGCGGCAGAGAGAAGGAGAGGGAGCGAGACAGATGCGGATGATTTTAGAGAGAGAGAGAAAATGGTCGAATGAATGGCTGAGGAAGCAAATATGGGGCTGGGTTTTTTGAATTTGGGGCTGGGAATTCAAATTTTTGGTTTTTTGAATTTGTGGGCCCTGCGGGCCCATTTTTCTTTTTAGGGCCTTGGTGACGTGGAGGCACGTCCTGCTTTGTTAGTATCTACTAACAAAAATGCTTGTTAGCAGCATAGCTAAGTTGCTAATCTTCTTCTTCCTCCTTCTCTTCTCTGTATCCTTTCTTCCTTTCTCTCCTTCCTTCTGATCCTTCCTCTCTACTCTTCCTTTCTTCTTCTCAAGCCCTTCAATCCTTTTCATCAATTCCAGCTTGTGACTAAGAATTCGCCGAGACAGACATCACAGAGCCGCCATCCTCTCCGTTTGGCCCGTCCACAATTCCTCGGCCGCGGACCAAAAGAGCTCAGCTGCCTTCAGTAAAAAGAAGTTGAAGAAATTCGATTCGTTTCTGTCGCCGCAGGTGGTAATAAAGGGGGTAAAGTCGGTTCAAGCACCCGACCCGTTTCAGCCCGGGACGGCCCCAGGTCTGTGAATACGCGGGAGGAGATATTGTTGTTCGACTGATTGATACGTTGTGGCCAGTGTTTCCCGTTCTTGCATTTCATTTAATCAAAGGCTCCATTGCTTCCCGAAAGAGGAGCTTCAGGAGGGTCAGGTGACGTGTTTACAAGATTATATTTGTCTATTTGTTGACTATTGGATGAGAATTGGCTTTGCGATATGAGTTTATGGCTATGCATGCACTTGACATTTTAGGGATGTCTTTCAATCTTAGCATCTGGTTACGGTAATATAGCCGTTATCATTCTGGTAGGTGACTGAAGCTCTTGCACGAGCTGGACTTGTATCATCAAATCTCATTATTGGAATTGGCTTTACGAAGAGCAACGGGTGGACAAGTATATGTGTTTGTTGTCTGCTTGATATATAAATTAGGATGCATTGTCAAACAGGCTGCTTAATATGGTTTGATCACTACGTGCAAAGTCTTGCAGCACAAGAAGTTTGCATCACATTGAAGATGCCTTGAATCCCTGCGAGCTAACGATTTCGATTACGGGGAAGACTTTAGTTGCCTTCAATGAGGATAACTTGATTACGTGCTACAGATTTGGAGGCTGTAGGATCTCAAGTTCTCAACTCTAAGAATTGTTTTCGATTATTGGATTACAAAGCAATTTGTGTTGCTGAGAGTTAATACTTATCCATTTGCCAGCTCCAACACTCGATCAGTATGTCTTCAGTTTCTATCCAGACGAGAGGTTCTGTAATGGATCCGAAGAAGTTTTAAGCCGATGTCGAGGAATTGTTCCGAGCCTGAGACTTGCTGGTTTGGTTTACATGTTCCTCGAGTCTTTTTTTTTTTTTTTTCCTTTCTTCCATAGAATTACCACACTAAATTATTTTTTTGAAGAATATGCATATTTTTTTTGGTAGGTCCAGCTTCATTTGCACCCGTAATTGAGAAGGCAATGACGAATATTGAGGAGCGTGGTGGACAGTATCATGTATTGTTGATAATAGCAGATGGACAGGTAATTCGGCTCAGTATATGATAAAATTATATAACACATAAATTGTCAATGAGAATTTGACGTTTATAATCCCGTTCTTACCATGTCACAAGCAGAAGGTGGAGAGAGTTTTGACCATGCGTTAAATGCCTGTGATTAATTTGAATGCGAGTGACACTTGCTTTTGATGACTGGAGGGTGAAGTTGTCGTAGTGGAGTGTTCATGTTCATGGTTACTGATATGCCAGAGGGGGGTAAGAACCTTGAGGGCTGGCCATTCAAGTGTATCCTTCATCAATTCGTTGACTTTAAAATGTTAGATTAACTATTGTTGATTTCAAGGTTCTTCTTCACCTTCAAACTTAACTGTATCTTCGATCTTTATCACTGCGTTGTACCTTGGAGACCATGGGAAGGTATTTTACCTGAGCTTTTATGATATTTGAATTGTTTATAACCATGGTTCCCTCCACTTTTCTGGAAAGTCTGGAAACTGCCTACCCCGTTCTCTCGGCTGCCTGTTCTTCTTGTTGTTGTGTTGTTTCCGTGTAGTTTTGTATTCTTAAGTTACTTTAAAATTCTAATTGAGGTCACCAACTTTCAAAAAAATAAAATAAAATTTACATAATTTACGAGCCAGTAATCACTGGAGGTCTTGACTCAAAGCTCATTTTGTGGGACTTCTCAAAAGGGTGCCCCAGCCAAAATTATTGATTTTGGTTTGTAAACCCACTATATGCTTCCTCTACTTTAACACTACTATTGAGTCTTGACTTGACCAATCTTATTATAATCTTTCCCTGACTGTAGGCTCTAAAAATATCAATAATACAACAGTGTCTTAATCCTGCTTTTGGTCTTGCAATTGCGGTTTCAGATGTTGGTATGGTTGATAATGCAGGCAAGATATGTGCAGTAGCTAGGGGTGATGGTGTTGTATATGTGATAGATATTGAATTAGAACTTGCTGCTGCTACTAGGTTGAAAAGTTTGGCACAGGCTAAGAAAGGGTCTCAAGTAAATCCATTAGAGAGGCCGAATCAAGCACAAGGGGCGAAACAACGGCCAGCACGAATCGAAGCATCAGGTTTCATTTGGATTACATGTTGGGGGCCATACGGCTGCAGTATCATGCGTCGGGTTTTCATCTATCAGTATCATTCAACTTAGTTTCTCGCTAAGGTAAATGCCATGTTTTTGTATTTATATATGTCTTTGTGCCTCTACTTATCACACGCATGGTTTATAACTTCATCTTCATGTGCATTCTCCTCATTTAGCTTTGTTTCATCAGACGTGTTACGTTCATGTTCCTTTGGTCGAGGATGAACTAATGTTTTGTTGTCAATTTTCTCAGTTTCTGAACCTTTGCTCAAGCTTAGGTGATATTCTTCCTCGTACTTAAGTGATCAACTCAACCTCTGAATAACAGGATAATCTAGCCCGAACAAAATGGCCGGCTATCATTGCCAGCAGGGATGACGACTTGGCAAGGGTACGAGCTGCATGAACTGAAACCAGCAGGTACTATTCTCTGCTACTGGTGGGGTCTTTCACTGTATTCAGTGGTTGCTAACTATAGAGAGCTATAATCTATCAGGTTGAGATAAATAGTTTACTCGAAGTGCGTTGAGCCATAAAGTGCACCAACTAAGCTGCCAAAACCCAAAAGCAGGATGATAGCGGCAGTAGAGAATTCAGGAGAGATCTGCTGAGCGGTTTTTCAAACTACCAGAGCAGCAAAATGGTTGGAAGGTGAGAAGCGTTAGGTGTGAAGCCCTTCTTTCTTCCGATTCTGATTTGGGGTTTTTACAATTCCGTGTCAGGTCCTTTATTATTTTCTCCATGATTGCTTTTGCCAATTCAGACTTCTATAGCGTAGGAAGTTCTGAGTTTTTCCAGGCTCTGAACAGTTCAGCCTCCACAGGCTTGCTGCTGTTAGCCCTATGCTGTAGTTCGTTCGTTACAACCTCGATCACATTGTGTCCAAAGGTGTTCTCTTTTTCTTCTGCTATAGTTTGCATAGGCAAGGAGGTTGATGAGATTATGCATGCTAAAGAGGTTAGCATGCAGGTCAGGATCGTGGATGGAAGGACACACAGAAGAAAGAATAGATGAAGTTGAACTTGGAGATGTGAAGCCGGAAGTTTATGTTGCTGCAAATTTTGGGACAGAAAAAAAAAAAAGAGAACAGGTTGAAAGAAGAGATGCAGGTGTATCTCCTAAGTAGAACTATGTCAATAAAATGGAATGAGTAGGAAACTCTTTTAGTATGCTTATTTTTCGGTTATTCATTGGATTAATAGGAAGATTTTTGTTCAATGTTGCCTATCTTTTCAACACTTAATCATGAGCCAATTAGAATAAAGGTAGACAAAAAATTTGGTGGGAATAAATTTCTACAGCTCTAGACTCACAAATCGTTGTGTCTGGGATGAAATCCTATGCTGAACTTATAAACCTTCACTGTTGATGTTGCAAATTTAGTTTCTCGTGGCATATCTCGTGATTTCAAAGGGAATGGCACTTGCATTGCCCTACCATAAGATTTGATTAGTAAATGCAAGGAAAAGTAGTCATTACTTGAGTTAGTTCTTTGGATGATTGAAGCCTTCAATAATAACCGTCACTTGAAAAAGTATCTACTCTACTTTGGACAACATTGGCTAACCAGTAATCCCTCACCACCATTATCATATCATACGAAGTGGTAAGTGGGTGACGATAGAAAGAGTTATATTCACACAAATATAAACTGACCTCAATCCTAGCCTTGTAATTGAAAAGCTAGACAATCAACCATCTCGGCAATCATTATCATGGTAGAATTTTCGACCATTAGTGAGCTAGACAATCAACAATCCAAACCTACAACTGGCAACACCTCGACCAAACAACTCACAAACAGCTGCAATGGAAGTCCTGCGCAGTATAGTAGAAAATCTCATCACAACTGCTTACTAAATATGTAAAAAGAGTACCGCTTCACAGCAAACAGCACCCTGCCACATACACTATTACTTCTGCTACGACTGCAACTACAACTACTACCCTACTAGTGCTTAACTTATAACATCAAACCAATACATACTTAGCAATCCAATTCTTCAGGCATGGGCATGAAACGAACACATATAGAACCCAAGTTTGACATTTCACATTCAGAGAGAACGAATCACTAATTAGGGGTGGCTGGGACTTTGGCTACTCTTCTGCTTACTCTTCCTCTTCCGAGGTTCCTCTTCCTCTTCCGAGGTTGAGGTCCACTCATCATATTCAAATCTTTTATGGTCCTTCTTCTCACTTTCGCCAAACTTGCAAACTCCCTTAGGAGGATGGTGGAAACGCAATTTCCCTCCTAGTCTCCACGGGCAGTAAACACAGCCCTTGCCATTATCTGCGAGCACCAAAATCATGGCTTTCATCATCATCATCATCATCATCATCGTTAACTCACACATGTCTATTTGTCCCTAAGCAAACTACTTACTACATAAACTAAATTCAAACTAAAATACTCAAGAGGATGTGTAGAAAACAAATCACCTGTTCTAGAGAAGTCAATGGGAACACAGCAAAGAACACCATAACCTTCCCCGTAGATTGACTCAGTCTCAGCGAAAAACAATCGAATGTCAGAAGGGTTGTATTGCCCGGCGGCGGAGGAGGACGAACCATCAATTACATTGACAGACTTGGCAGTAAAGATGGCGTGGACGATAAGGGTACCAGGAAACAGAAAACACTTGCTGAAGATGGGTTCATCCAGCTCAAAGTTTGAGCCCTAATACAACAAAAGACCCGATTATATTTCGACGATTAAGAAGCAATTATTATTTCGATTCGATTAAGAGGAACGTAAACCAACCTCATTCATTTCATTGTAGTATTTCAGACCCGCTGTTCCAGCACGGGTGACTTGGTTCTTCATGATTCGTTCTCGTTCAGGATCAACATAGTCCTCATCCTCGGACCACCTACAACCCAAAATAACATACTCTCAAATGAACCGCAAAACCAAACAAAGGTTAAAAAAAGAATAAAAAAAAGAACAACAGCAAAACTTACAACGCATCGATGTCGGATCCTATCTCCACCACGCTGTCCTCGTCATCAGAAACCTCCCACGGCAGATGAGCCGGAGCCGGTTCTCCCCCACCCACCTGTTGATCCGACGCTGACTTCTCGTCTCCAGATACGACAGTCGGATTATCACGCGAAAGTGGCATCGGCGGTTCTCCTCCGGCAGGCACTTGATCATCATGGTCGCCTTCCATCTCCAGATCGGATCGCTTTGCTCAGCTCACGATTGTTTTTTTTTTTTTTTTTTTTGTTTGGTACAGCTCCCGATTGTTTTGTTGTGAACGGCAGCAGGCGTAGAAATAAGAAGTTAAAAAAATAGGGTTCGGGGAGAAGGGATTGGGGTACGCCCTTTTCCTTTTCGGAAACACAAAAGAAATACATAAGCCCAGCCCATTAACAGCCATCCCAACCAAGCCCACACCTATCTTTATCGGGTCATATTATCAAGGATAAATACAATTTAATATCCAAACCTTTCATTTTAAACAATATAATAACCAAACTTTTTCGAAAACAATCTAATATCCAAATCGTCAACTTTTCGTCTTTTGACCGTTAGTTGACACTTCAAAAAAGTTTTGTTTAGGGGAAATTGTCACAATACAACTTTGTTTTCTTGTTTTGGCATTGCAGATGACTGAATATTTAGATATTCTATACCATCATGGTGGAGTCGTGGACTTCTCGGGTTTGGAACCATGATATGTTGGTGGTTTTTCAGAGAAGATATCGATTGATATTGATGAAGTGTCGTACTTCGATCTTTTTTGAAGTGTCAACTAACGGTCAAACGGACAGAAAGTTGACGTTTTGGATATTAGATTGTTTTCGAAAAGGTTTGACTATTATATTGTTTAAAATGGAAGATTTGGATATTAAATTGTATTTATCCTATTATCAGGTGATTTTGACTTTGTGAGTAATCTAATAGCAAACTGCAAAAGGAAAAAGAGTGTTGTTGTATTAGTGTTACTCTTTAATAATTTGCGCTACCATCTAAAACTCACTTAAGATTCACATTTTGGTAAACTACAAACATGATCAATATTTAGGGTTGTTATATGATTCATGGCATATCCAAAAATTAAATTAAAAAGAGGATTATTTATCGGTCACATCAGACACAACATGAAAGAAGTGTTTGATGCGTTGAAGCATAACTCAAGGATAACTTGATGAAATTATCACTAATTACATGATTTAAAAAAATATATGATGATGCTTAAGTAGACCAGAATTGTTTTAGATTGTGATTTGTGTTGAAAATAATTTGTAATAGTTTAGAACCTTTCACCATTGAACGCATATCATTGAGGTTTGACTATTGGACAATTTGAAAATGCAAGTTTGAAATAAATTTCAAACCCATTCGATTAGTCTTGATTCCAAGTCCAAATGTCTTTCCATTATGAATGTCCAATATGCAAATGTTTAAACTATACAATCAACATATTATACAATCAACATATTAACTGGTAGTTCAATGAGGGTTGCAAAATTCTCGATATGTTTGATAATTGGAAGTATCACAACTTTTACACATTTGTGATTATGGGTTAGTCAATTCTAATATGATTCGTGTACAACCAATATCCAATTTAGTCGTATAAGATGGGAAGAGGTCATACTATACCAATAGCTATGCTCTAGAATGAAACGACAATCTGCCACAAATTACCATATTTTCAAACGTACTTCAATCTAACTATTCTTACCAAGCTAGAACACGAAATAAGGACTTTTCTGTTCCGGTTAAAATGACTCGCTGTTATAGTCCAATGATAATTCCCGCAGCTTTTACCCATCGAGACTTCCCATCTTCCCCTCCCGCTATAAAAGTAATGGCCGCTTTCTCTCCCTTTACAGCACTCAGCACTGCGGTTTCTCGTTGTTCTTCTTCTTCTACATTCGCTCGCTCGCTCTCGCTCTCTCGTTTCTCAATCACTTTCCATAATCATTCCCCAGTTCTCTGCCCCCGTACGCGCTTCTCCCCTGTCAACAGGTACAAACTCCCCGCCCTTTTTCATTTCAATTTGATAGTTTTGATCGCCTTTGTCATCTCAGAATGACGATTTCCCATCTGGGTATCCCACATTCGATGCTTTCCCTACTTGGGTTGGTGTCATTTTCATTATTAATAATGGGGATGGAGTTCCGTCAAGCCTTTTGTCAAATGGTGATTTTTGACAGTCGTGGGGTTGTCTGAACTTTGTGTGTATATAAATTATCTTGATTGGAGTTAATGGTTGTATAACTTTAGGCCTACAGTTTCTCCCAACGTCAGGTGCTTGTCAAACTCGGTGAATCCACCAGCTGCGATGGAGCAAGTGGCTGCTACGATGGAACAAGTTAAGCTGCTTACTTCAGTTAACGATCAACATGGAGGAGTCATAGTGGAGTTGTCTGAACCAATTGACTCAGGGATCTTTGCTTCGATGCTCAGAATTTCGATCAGCGAATGGAGAAAGCTGGTAACTTTTCTGTGGCCAATTCTAATCTGCTTCCTTGTGTAGATAATTCAGATTGTTTTTATAGAGGGAGTATGAATATCAGAAGTGAATTGTGTGATTTAAGACAAAGTTTCAAACTTGTTGTGCAGGGTAAGAAGGGGGTATGGATCAAACTTCCCATTGAGCTTTGCAGTCTTGTTGAAGTTGCAGTCAAGGTAAATTAGTTATCTTCCATAATCCCTCATTAATGACTCAAAAGTTGCAATACAATCGAGTTATATACGTTGTCCTGGACTGGATATGCTTTGTGGACTACTAACTGAGAATCTGTTGTTCAATGGGCAGGAAGGATTTTGGTATCATCATGCAGAGCCAACATACTTGATGCTTGTTAGTTGGCTCCCTGGAGGTGCTCATCCTCTTCCACCAAATGCCAGCCATAGAGTCGGAGTAGGTGCATTTGTGATGAATGAGAAAAGGGAGGTAATTCCATAAATCTTTATAAGTCTATCAGCTAACTTTCCTTTTTGTTTTCTCATTGATAATAGACATTATGATTTTCAATAAGAGCTGTCTTTTTGGTTAAGTATTTGAATGTAAACTCTTCATAGACTGTGAACAAGCTCTAATCCTTAGTTTCTCAAGCTGAATGTTCATTTTCATTATAGTTATCTTCCCGTTACGATAAGTTCCTGCTTATGCATGAGAGGCTTTGAATTGAATAAACTTTATTAGTGCATATCCTTTACCATATCTCGGGATCACAAAACGCATCTAAAACTTTATTAATGCAGGTGCTAGTCGTCCAGGAGAACAGTGGAATATTTCGAGGAACAGGAATCTGGAAGTTCCCTACTGGAGTTGTTGAAGAGGTGTGTTCATTGTGCTGCAATGACCTCTTTTTTCTATCTGGCCTAGCAGCAACTCTGGATTAATACTGAATAGCTTTATCGTCTTTAGGGAGAGGATCTCTGCACAGCTGCTGTAAGGGAAGTCAAAGAGGAAACTGCTGTAAGTCATGTTGAGCAAATCTTTCAACTTTCCTTTTCCCTGACGTCGATTATGATTTAATCAGCTTTATTTTTCTTTACCACATACCAGATCGATGCAGAATTCATGGAGATTTTAGCTTTCAGGTATGTTGTAACCAATTGTGCTACTGTTACATTTTTGTATGCAACTGATACTAAACACTCTTGATGGCCATCCCATTCTTCTCATCTTCAGGCAAACCCACAAGGCGTACTTTGAGAAGTCGGATTTGTTCTTCCTGTGTATGCTGCGACCCATCTCTTTCGACGTCCAGAGGCAGGAAGCAGAGATAGAGGCAGCAAAGGTTAAACCTTTCTACCAAAACTACTTCACCAAACAACCAGTTTAAGTCTTTTCTCTTACAGTATTGCTTGTAAATTTGCATTGCAGTGGATGCCCTGGGACGAATATGTGGCTCAGCCATTCGTGCAAAAGACTGAATTCGTGAAGCACATTAGTGACATATGCTTGGCAAAGGTTGACGGGGACTACACCGGGTTCTGTGCCATTCCCGCTGCTTCTTCTGGTGGTCAAATGGGCCATGTGTACCAGAATGCACAAGGCCGGAGAAGGTAGTACTGCAGAGTCCTTTGAGAAGGAAGGAAGATGTCAAACTTCTAGTTTATAGAAGACGCAGTATTGGTTGGTTCTTGATTAATTGGGAATTACTCATTCGGCAATAAGTTCATTTCGTTCCAGTTTGCGGCAAGTGAAGGGGACAGGGTATGTCATTATAGTTTCAGGATCATTGCAGATTAAGGAAGTAAGATGGAAAAGAAAATTGGCACTTTAGTTTATAAATGTTAATACATATTGAAGGGAATTCAAAGTTTAAAAAAAAGGTGGCCCATACAGGTCTCGAACCTGTGACCTTCGCGTTATTAGCACGACGCTCTAACCAGCTGAGCTAATAGGCCATTTTATGTTTATTGTTGTAAGCAATGTAATATATTTTAAGCCATTGCTTAGAATTTCGACTATTTATTTTCAATGATTAACACCAGGATATCCACATAAAACATTAGTGGTATCATATCAAGTGATTTGTTATTTTTTTAAGGATCTCCTCATAAGGTAATCAGGTTATTTAAATTTGAGCAGAAGGCAGAATAAATAGCGTTACATAAGATTAATTGCGTTTTCTCTTATTATTGTTAATAATAAAGTTCATCATTCATAATAAAAAAAAAAGACATGAGATCGGTGGTATTGACATGGTTATGACTTGGTGTACCTCATTATTTGTTCCATTATACCCGTAATGACATCATGCCTTGTATTAATTTGCTCCTGATTATCAGTAAATTTCATCCATTTCAACATTCCATCATATTTCAATATCCTTTCATCTACACGACCCTACCTATAAGTTGAACTTGTATGTAGTTTATAATAATTACATTCCTACTAATGACCTTATTATCCTAATGTAAAATAAGGAACCACAATTAAGGTGCATGTTGAGTCAAAATGAGCTTTCATTTCATGTTAGCCGATAAGGTTCTATGTGATATTTTCTACTGACATAATGCAAATAATTATCTTTTATGCTATGCTAATTTATGTAAGTTGACACATCAATGTGGAAAACTTGGATGTACAAAAATAAATTTACTCATTATATGAGTAATTCCAAACTCTAGTGACAAGTTCGTTGAAGACGAAAGTTAAGTGACCGATTCAGCTTGTAATCACAAAGTACAGGGACCATTCATGTAATTTGTTTTGTCTGCAGTCTGCTTGGAAATTGGAATAAGCGGGGCCGTTTAGTCAGTTAGGGTTCTTGTGCTTTTTTGCCTTTTGTGTTCCAGGGTTTTGTGAGGACTGCTGCGCGAGAACAGAGTCCGCCCGAGGAAGAAGGACGGTTCCTGAGGCTCGAGGTCGACGTCCGCCGCCGGCCATCTGAGAGGAAAGACTGGTGAAAAAGAAGCTCATAGTTTAAAGAGAATCAAAGGGCAGCCGGTGAGGTACTCGCCAGACGAGGAAAAAAAAAGAGGCGGCCTGGGGTGAATGTGGATTTCTGGAATTGCAGGTCGAGGAGATCGGTTCGCCATTTCAGAAGGACTCGGAGAAGAGAACGAATCTTTGGTTGAAGAGTATAAAGGGACTTCTGGGGCAGACGAGGAACCTTGCTACATGCACGGTTCTGCCACCGCTGCTCTTGCTACCGTCTTCGCCGTCAAATAGAACTGTTCCTCCGATTCAATTGTTGCATACTTTGCTTAGGAAAGTTAAAAGTCTTCGTCTTGGAAGTTTTATCGAAGTGGGTTATAAGGGTTAAGGAGGCAGAGAGGGATGGCTCGTCTACGAAATGTAAGCATTTTTATGTCAACAATTCAGTTGGTTGATTTCCTTAGTTTTGATGCTTTGTGTACTGTAAGCAGCTAATATCTTGCTGACTTTATTAAAAGCAGAAGAACAGGAAGGTGTTCTCCAAGCCGAGTTTGAAAAAGAAGGCAGCACCTACTGTCGATCATGTCACTGGCGACAAGATTCCAAAGAGCTTTGTCTTTTCCAGAGGGAAGATGCCTGGTTCTCTGAGGCAGCTGCAGATGGATTTGAGAAAGTTAATGCTGCCATTTACAGCTCTTAATCTTAAGGTAAAACTCAGCTTTGTTTGTTCTTCCTCGATGCCTCTTTTGTTATGGATTGGATGTTGTTGTTCTCTTTAGTTCCCTTAAGATCATAATGGCTTGTTCGGTTTGGCATCTTATTTTTGCTTGCAGGAGAAGAAGAGGAACAATCTTAGGGACTTTTTAAATGTTGCTGGCCCAATGGGTGTTACACATTTTCTGATGTTGTCTAAAACAGATGCAGCGCCGTATTTGAAAGTTGCTAGAACTCCACAAGGGCCAACGGTTACGTTTAAGATAAACCAGTATTCACTGGCATCTGATATTACTCAGTCTCAATTGCGCCCTAGATGTCCAGCAGACCTGTACAAGAATCCTCCTTTGGTATGTATTTAATCTTTCAGCTTCCAAATGCATCTGCACCTGTTGCTTCTCATTGTTTTGGTTATTGGACATGTGTATATCAGACTGAAATTCTTTACGCTTTTGTGGCAGATTGTTCTTTCTGGCTTTGGGTCTGGAGAACAACATTTAAAGCTGACGACTATAATGTTTCAGAATATGTTTCCAGCTATTGACATTAACACCGTGAGAACTCACTCATCTTACCCAAGTTAAATATCTAAATCAACGTATTATTCCTTCTTGCTTACCGTCTTTGCTGAATGTTTTCAGGTCAAGCTCTCTTCTTGCCAAAGAATTGTTCTACTAAACTATAATAAAGATACAAAGCTCATTGACTTTAGGCATTTCTCTATTCGACTCCAACCTGTGGGTGTGTCCCGCCGAATCAGAAAGTTTGTGCAGAATCATCAAGTTCCTGATCTTCGGAGTCTCCAGGACGTGAGTGACTTCATAACAAAGTAAGGCCCTTGTTGAAGTATCTTAGCACAGTGGGTTTTTAGAAAATAAGTCTGCGTGCTGTGTGTCTGTATGTAACAGCAGTACCCACTATAGGTGTCGGTCAGATGCTAGGGGTTCATACTGACATTGCTGTACTAGGTCCTGGGCATTCATTCTCTTGATTGTTGTGGTTTAGTTTATTGTTCCTTTTTTTTTTGGTGCTTGAAGGGCTGGTTATGGATCAGAGAGTGAAGGAGATGAGGAAGCAGCAACTGTTACCCTTCCTTGTGATCTTGGTAGAGTCAACCGGGCGACTTCGAAAAGTGCTGTCAAGCTTCAAGAGATTGGCCCAAGGATGACCCTTCAGCTCCTCAAAGTGGAGGAGGGCTTATGTTCTGGAACTATCATCTTCAGCGAATATGGTACCTATCTCATATTTCAAACGATATTTATGAATAAACAATTCATTTTTCGAAACCACTCGGTTGTTTCCCCATTGCCTTTGTCCTTCATGTCCCTTTGTTATGATAAGCTCTACGTGCTTCCTTCTCCAGATCCTGGAGAATTGTTCAAGGCTATCCAAGCCATTAATCTTAACTTTATGTTAGAGCAATCGCCATTGTGGGGATATCTGGTGTACAACAATCTCTTGTTTATTTCCTACTGAATAACCCATTCATGAGAAATATGTCTACTTGCTCCAAGCCCATCTGAGTCTTCCATTCCATTCATGAATCAGAACTAAGCTCCTGTTGTGGTATAATCCCCATCAGCTGTGCCATTGCTTTGAATGTTATCTGTAGAACCATATTATATGAACCAGTCAGGTCTCTTGCCATGATCCCTGATGCCCTCCTGTTTATATCTAAATGGTTCAGGAACTGCTAACGACAAGAAAACACCTGGAAAAGAGAATCAGAAGAATCAAGGTGGTGAAGAAAATGAAGACGACGATGGAGATGACGATGATGAGCAAGAAGATGATGATGAGGCCTCTGAGTAGAATCAGCCGCTTGAGAGGCGTTGACCCACCACCACCGGAAGTGTTTTTGGTTTCTTTTATAGCGGGAAGGAAATGCATTCTTTTCTCCTGTCAAAAGTTTTTGCTATGCAGTGTTAGTGAGTGGAACAAATAGAGAAATTGAATGGACTCGTTATGTTAATTATTTCTAGTCTTATTGACAAGTTTGTTAAAACGTAAAATTAAAAAGGACTGATTTGTTTGTCATAAAAAAGTTAGAAGGACCATTTATGTAAATGACCCAACTGTACCTTGCCCGCCAAGGAAGGAGTAGGACTCCTAACTCCTGAGTACTTCTACTACTTCCCGCCTCCCCCAACCCTAACGAAAACGCTGGCCTGTAACGCCATTCTGCAGGAACTCTTCTTGGCTTAGGGTTTCCAGTAGAAAAACATCAATCTGCTGCTGCAATTTTGTTCATCTTATCCACCGAAACCAGCCAGGTATTGCGTCGAGTTTTTCCCCCTTCATCTGTATTCCTTCTCCATAACTTGCTGCTACCAACCGTATTAGACATATTTCGACGCACTAGAAATTGTTGAACTCTGTTCGTTATAACAGAATTTGCATGCTACTCTTTGGATGGAACATTCTACTGTAGTTTAGCTTAGTTTGCTTGGAAGACAAGGAGAGGCAGAACGAATCGATATGGCAGGGGTGAACTCTGGGAGGTTGAAGAAAGCTCCCAAGCTTAAGGGCCATGGTGGCATTGTTGCAACTTCTCAAGGAATCGACAGGATGAGCTATCTCCCGGACAACATTCTGCATCACATTCTGTCGCTCCTCGACACGAAATCCCTCGTTCAGACCAGCCTCCTGTCCAAGAGGTGGGGACGCGTGTGGAAAGAAGTTCCCGTCCTCAATTTCAGCAATGTCTGCTTCAAATGCTCGTCGAGCTTCGAAGAACACGTAATCAAGATTCTGTCTCTTCGATCCGACTCTGCAGCTGTCTCCCGCGTGAACTTCAAAGTCTGGAGTTGGATAGACTGTCAGTACGCGTTTTCCTGCTCTACAGACCTGTTCGATAGGGTCATGAAGTATGCTGCCTCCAATGGTCATCGTGGCAGTCTTCACCACTTGTCCATCACCCATTCCGGGAATTACCTTGTAGAACTGGCTCTGGCTGCCTCCATTAAGGCTCATCGCCATCACCACCAGTCTCTCAAGACCCTCAATTTGGAATCATTCTCTCTGGAGTTGGAATGTGGTTCTGGTTCTGGTGCAACACTGTTCTCTGGCTTCAATCAGCTTACGAATCTTGAACTGCACAACTGTTGTATGACATCTTCTGTGTCGAGTGTCGTCGAGCCTTTCGTCGATCTCCCTTGTTTGAAACACCTCAGACTAGTCGATTCCTATGTATCACCGCCTTGCTTGTTGAAAGTGTCTGGACCCGGGCTGCTGGACCTGCAAATTCACAGTACGTTTGTGAGGTATCATAAATTTGAAGTCTTTGCTCCAAAGCTGAAATCCTTCTGCTTTCGGGGCGGTCTGGAGCAGCTCGTCCGGTTGAATCTTCCTTCTCTCGGCCATGCCAAATTCGGAGTCCGGATCAAGCTGCAGAAGGAGATAAAAGATATCCATGGAGCTTGTATGAGACTGTTGCCTCAACTGCATAATGTTGAATCTTTCAACTTAACCTGTTTTCTCCAGGGGTCTCCTAATACCATAATAAAATCCTTTGAGTTTCGCCGAAATTCTAAATAAACAATGAGGACATGAGATCAACTATAGCAAGTAGTAACGATATGGTCGATTATTTAACATATCCAATTTGATCGTTATATTGTAATTCTTTCTTTTTACCACTAATGACATATCTTGAGTTGATTTACCCTTTCTTTTTTTTTTTTTGGTGAAAATTTACCCTTTCTATATAGACATGGAAGAAGAATAGTACACAGAATGTTATGAAAAGTAGGTAACCTACCTACATTTAACTTCCCTTTCCAACTTCTCTAAAAAAATTTACCTATAACTCCTCCCTTAAGATTTTATGTTCTTGATTTCTAAGCTAATTACCTATTTTGTCCCTTGTTTTGGTGGGAAACATCAAGCCATACCCTTCCTTCCACGTGCACCCTACCACCACCATCAGGCTATTAAGATGAATTATCAATATATGCTAATTAATAATCATAGTGATATTGAATAATTAAGGTGTGATGTCACACATTGATCAACCCACACAATTCCCATTCATGATGAGTCACCATACACGTATATCGCAATTGTAACCTTTTTTGTATTTATTTCTCTTCTCGTATGATGTAACATTGTCATTTTGAATACACATTGTTATTTCGATCATGGTACATACTTAAGAACGCTATCAAAAACTAACTTTCCGAGTGAGTTCCGAAACCGTCTGTAACTATCGGAAGGGACAGAGAAACTTAAACAAATATTGAAGATTCAAATAGCCAATTAACATTACTACATCCGTCATAATATAGGATTTCATCGGGGTGAACATATTTTCTAATTGATAATTGATTGGACAGAAATGATCTTCATAACTATACACATCAGAGCTAAATATCATTATTAACCTACCCTCTCACACAGAACAAATTAATATTCGAAACCATAATCATCTATGTAGACGAATGTTTAAAATTTCTCCTCCTCATTAAAACATAAATCATATGATCAAGGGGCAAAATGGTGATAAAACCCCCAAAACAAAGGGCAAAAACACCAAGATGAGAACTCCCCACTACAGTAAAGAAAACTTCTTTAAGTTCTTGGTCGTAAGTCATAACCGTACACCTTCCTTCTTCCTCCTCTCTCACTCTCTTTGTTTATATAAATACCTCTTCTTGCAAATTCTAACCCCTCACGAAACAAAAGAGACACACACACACAAAGAAGATGAGCTACTCCAGCGGCCGCAGTTGCCACCACCACCTTCTTCTCTTCTCCTTCTTCCTCCTCCTCCTCCTAACATCTCCGGCCACCATGACATCCGTCGAAGACGATGGTGCCACGACGGCGGTTACTGTACCCTCTAGCAGGGAAGAAATGATGCAGTTGGCTGGTTACGGGGAAGAGAAGCTCTCAACCGTTTTGGTCACCGGCTCCCTCGTCTGCCACGCTTGCTCACCACCACCATCTTCCCATGATCCTCCTCGTGCTAATGAGAATCATGATCATGGTGACGATGATCAGCTCCATGAATGGCCCATTCCAGGTACGTACGTTTTAGCCGTGCCCGTGATATGGATTAAGGGCTTCCAAGATTTAGTGCATAAAATCATATGGTTTGAGGAACTTAATTGGGATTTATTTACGAACCTAATAGAATCTCAGATACGAATCGTTGGTTTACATTCTGGAAGAAAGACGTGTATAGGGAGTAGTGACAACCCAAATTTTGCTTTGGCTCGTTTAGCTAGCTATATAGTTTCTTGCACCACAATCTTGCATCCACATAATATTAGGATGCATGTCCTTGTGCCTTATGAATTGCACATCTCTTCACTTTCTCTTTACTTTTTTATTAGTCTTTTAGGGGTTCTTTGTCACTCGCATGTTAAGAACTGTGGTTTGAAGCAATGAAAGAAAAAAGAAAAGAAGTTTGCCATTTAAGCTTGGGTAGATTAATAGGTAGCTCTAATTCTCTAAAGCATTACCCAATTGACACAACATCTCTTATTTTCTTACCTACCAAAACAGAGAACCAAATAGATAATCTTTTGTTTGTTTAATATTATACAACAAGCACACTTAGAAGAGAGATTTTTGTTAGGAGAGACTTATTGTTCCATGGTTGCTAATTGAGTCACCTAATGTATGGTGAGTCACATAATCAGACGTTGAATCAAACGAAAGATTATACGATTAATGATCTTATGGTTTGAATGTAGTACTTTTATTCGACGCAATAATAAATATCATCATTCTCAACAACAATTAAGAGTCGAATCGATGTTTGATTGCCTTTTGATAATACGAATTATGAATAATACAAGATATTACCACAATTTGATGTCACCTTATAATCCAAGGCTACTCTGATTTTGATGGCTCCAATTCCTTTGGATTCAAGACGAATTCCCAGCTTTTAAGACCAAAAGCCCACATCAACACAGTTACATCTCACCATAAATTTGCTCAAAGATCTATTCTCCCTTGATAGATTAATACAGAAGTAAATTCCCATTTAAATCTTAGAAGAAAGATCCTATTGAGAGAAGAAAAAAATGATAAATGATAACTTTACATCACTAATCGATTTCAATTCACCCCTCTATTGAATGAATAAATACCAATAATAATGCTACATTTAATCAGTAATTTAATTAAAACATCAATTCATCGTTTTTGCAGGTGCTTTGGTGGCTGTCAACTGCCTAACCAGAGGGAACAAAAAGAGATCAGCTTCTGTACAAACCTTGACGGACGAATTTGGAGATTTCACGATCGATCTTCCTTCGGAGCTCCATGGCATACCTGAAATGGACAAGACATGTTGTGTTACCGTTCTTAGGATGCCAAAGAAGACAACTTGCAGACCAGCTTATGTCCAGAAACACAAGGCCTTGGAATTGTACTCTGTTGGCAATGGCATCCGAAATTACTCTGCTGGGAAGATACCGTTCTTGCATTCAGCTTCGAAACCTCTGCAAGCATGTTCTAAGACCAGACATACCATTGAAACAGAGATTGCAATATAGATGATGGCATTGCAGACCTTTTGGATTCCTTGTGATGGCGCTACTAGTCACAGCTGGGAGTTCCAAGGTTCCTTTTTCTCATTGTCTGTGAAGTATGTAAGATACACAATATAGGAAACATAGATGCGGTGTGTATGTAAATATTGAGTGTTTGCACATTATTTAAGTGTGGAAATGGGACACTACTGATGAACTGTGTGTGACAAAAAATCTTACAATCCTGATCTTATTATAATCCATGAATGGCAAACACATAGTTGTGAAACTAGAAGATACAACATGCAAGTACAAAGTAGTGAAACTGAGAAGCAATTGCAAGATGGATCTCTTTATGCGCTGTTGCCCGAAGATATGTATTTGGCAACATCAGCACAGCAACAGAGTCTGCTTGCATCTTCATCGGGGATCTCAATAGCGAACTCCTCCTCGAAAGCCATAACAAGCTCCACCCTATCCAGACTGTCCAAGCATAAATCTTTCTGGAAATCGGCATTTTCAGTAACCTGGTTGAGTTAAGATATGTTAATTAGTCAAACCAAAAGAGATGATCCCATAGTTTAGAACATTGAAAAAGAGGAAGAGAATAATAAGCAACACCAGATGATGGCATGGAAAAATGAAAGAAATTTGTAGATTCCCTTACCTTATTGGCATCAATTTTATCAAATTTCTTAACCAGTCCAATCACCCGGTTCATAACCTGCTCAGGGATTGCACCTGTAGCAGCACAAAATGGCATTTGCAGTTGCTTCAACACAATAGCCCTCTGATAAGGCAACCATTGTTGAGGATTTACCCTCACCCTAATGTGGCTCAGAATTGTCTTTCTAATGATTTGCATGCTGAAATAGGTGAAAAGGAGATGCAGAATCTTAGTGCATGGAAGGTAAAATATGACACAGGGTCAAAGCATAGAATGGTGAAGTGCAGATAGAGAGTTGGTAGTACTGCACATTTGGGGTCTAAGGTTAACTTGGTATTCATTTAACAGCAAGACTAAAACTTCGCGACTATGTTTAGCAAGCACATTGGAGAGTCCTACATCCATAGCTAATCATGTTCTACTAATGCAACAGCCCAATTGACGATAATTCAACATAAGAAGCGTAAGCTACAGCGAATGTAGCAAATTCAGTTGTGACAAAAAAAAAGTAGACTTCACTCATAACCCAATCAGACACCAGCGGAGGGTAAATGAATCATCATGATTGATAAGGCTTACGAATGCAGCCATCAAAATAGTTCAAGTTTCAGCATCAAAATTGCATTCCATTTGCAGAAAATTCAGAAAGAAACGACATTCATTCCCAACGTTGATTTCCACGGACAGACCCCTCCTTCAAGCCTATGGTGTCAAATACGCCTTAAATGATATGAAGATGAAATCTTTACAATGTCTCTCTGTTGGGTCGAATCAAATAATCGACGGAAACTACCCGCCCACCCACCGCGAACACGAGATTGCATCCAAAGCAAGAAAGCTTGCTTGCTTGCTTACGGTAAATCGTAATGAAAGAAACCCAGCACAAAGGGCATGCAAACAAATGTAGAGAATGGAAAACTCACGAGATCTTTATTCGTCAAGTTGGCCTTTGGGATTGAGGTTTCTGAGTCGCCGTTCAAGTGTTCGATCAATTGCCCGCAGTGAAGTGTCGTAGACGGGAAGACGGGAGGTTTAGCGTTAGCCTTGGCCTTAGCCAGCCCTTAGCGCCTTGTTCCCGCCAAGTTAATTGGGTCTGGATAATAAAAGAAGATGGATTGGGTCAAACCAGTTTAGCGGGCTTCAAACTTGGGCCGAAGAATGGTACTTCTAGTTGGGTCCTTATGGAAAGGGCTTAATTGCAAGTTTGGTCACTCGAATTGCTATAAAATTTCACGTTTGCCACTCAAATTAATTTATTCCATTTATAGTCACTTGAATTAGTTGAACAGTTCAAGTTCGGTCACTCTCCGTTAACCTCCGTTAACTTTGACTGACGTGGCGGTCAACTCTGACAGTTGACCGTTAAATGTGTGACGTGGCAAATAAAAAATAATTAAAAAATAAAAATTAAATTTTTAGAAATTACACATCATTATAAAAAAAATTATAAAAAATGAAAAAAATTACACATCCTAATTGAACTCCTCATTCGTCTACCGGACACAAAATCCGCCTTCCGATCCAAACCCGTCTGCAAGCAATGGAACTCCCTCGTCTCCACTCCATACTTTGCTCGCCGTTTCGTTTCTCACCACATCGCCGGCGAATCCGAACCCATCGCGCTTCCGGCTCCCTCAAACATCCCGGATCTGGTCTTGACTTTTCTTCCCCTGCCTACCGCCGAGGCCCGTTTCCGTTTCGACGTTCTTGATTGCTTCAGGGACCTGCTCTTACTCGGGTTCAACGCGAGCCGGAGCGACAACAACAGCGAATTGGGGCGAACGTTATTCCTCTGCAATCCATTCACCAAGCGATGGGTCGCCCTGCCTTTAGCCGACCGTACACAGATGCTTGCTGAAGAATGATATGCTGCTACTGTACACATTCGGTTTTCATGCCTACAGGTTTCTTTTTCTTTTTTAGTGGCTTCAGTGCTGTCATTTTTTGGCACCATCCCACTCTGTTCCAAATTAGATTCAGTTTATTTCATTCCGTACCTCTTCTGTTCGAATCCTTGGAGGAGCCAGCTGCCCATGAAATCAATTCAGTAAATAACCCACATAGAAGGAGCAAACCCAAATTGAAAAAGACACAAATCAAAAGGGAAATTTTGCAAAAAAGGGACCTTGTAGAGAGGATGATCGAGCTGCTGCTGGAGATGAGTGAAAGCGGATCGAACCAGTCTCCGGGAGTGAGCGTGGTCCAAGTTTAGCGAAGCAATCGAGTTGAGGTCGACTGTCTGTCACACCCTCGACGGGCTTCTTTTTCGTCAAGGTTGCAGACACGTTGGCCGGCTGCTGCTGCTGAGAAGAAACTCTGTTCCAAGGCCTTGACAGGAGTTTTGAGAGGGAGGCTTCGGCGTTCCTGGCGAGAGAAGCCATGGATGGACGGGTGTGCGAAAGACAGAGCTCGAGAAGGTGGGTGGTGAGGAGATGGAGAGACTGAAAAGAGCGAGCGCAAATTGCAATTCGTTGGCTTAATTGCAAGTTAGAAGAAAATAATTTTTTTTTCATTTTTTATAATTTTTTTATAATGATGTATAATTTCTAAAAATTTAATTTTTATTTTTTAATTATTTTTTATTTGCCACGTCACACATTTAACGGTCAACTGTCAGAGTTGACCGCCACGTCAGTCAAAGTTAACGGAGGTTAACGGAGAGTGACCGAACTTGAACTGTTCAACTAATTCAAGTGACTATAAATGGAATAAATTAATTTGAGTGGCAAACGTGAAATTTTATAGCAATTCGAGTGACCAAACTTGCAATTAAGCCTTATGGAAAGGGTTAGTCACTGTTATTGATGGTGGATATCTTAAATAAATTAATTTAAGAAGCTTAATTATTGTGCTAGTGAAAAGTTCTCTTTTATATTGAAAAAAAACTATTTTTGAAAGTTTTGGGAATTAAGTTACATTATCTTCAAACTTGTATCCAATTATGAGTACAATTTGAACACATAAACTCTTCCTGTTTAGCCTTCTTTAATATTCTCATCAGACATTTGTTTGTGCCTTATAGAGTTGACTGCGAGAGAGTTTTTACCAGATCTTATTGAATTTGTGATTCGAATGAACTTAAAACAAAAAACCGATCCTATATTAAACCATAAACCAAACCCAAGTAATTCAACTTTAAACTAAAGTCTTGTGTGTTCTTGATACTCAAATCCAGCAACGTTAATTTACTATAACAACCTATTTGTTGTAAGATAAGGTCATCACTTATCTACACGTACCTTTCTAAAAATGTAAATAAAATTTGAAAATCAATGACTCTCGTCAATCCATCTCCGAAGTTCCCGTCATACAGAACTCCTAATTTTTATCAATAAAAAGAAAACTCAAATGTACAACAAAAGGTAAGAAATTATTGAGTTAAAGAATGATTAACCTCGAGCTATGATTGGTTTATCTTTTCAAGATCGTAATTATTAAGCATCAAGAAACAAGAAAAAAGATTCACCAAGGAACGACGTTGTCCAATGATGACGTGACCACCATCCCACTTCTTCTTCCCCACTCTCTCTGCTTTACCTCTCCTCCTTCCGTCCAAAACATCCACCCCCCACACTTCCCATCAATCACTATCTTCCTTCCCCCAACTTTTCGCCCACGGCCAGCCGCCATCGTCTTGCACCGGCGTGAAAATTTATCGCTGACACTTCCCTTCACCGCCACCCGTCTCTCATTTCATCTCGCGCCAAACCCACCCACCAGGCCATATTCATCTTCCCTGGGGGCACAAATTCCATTTTCACTCACCTCGTCATCTCCCTATAACCCCCGGACCAAAAAGATGATAAATTTATGAAATGGTTAGTTAACCATCACCAATTTCTTCCCCAAATTTGGCATCTTTGCGCGGAATTGCCTGACGGGTCGCTGTTGGATTAAAAAAAAAAATCGATTTCGAGGTAGTGGGGTTCGGTAATAAAACGAATTGATTGAACCCAGGAACTACCGGTGGTAGAATCGGAATCGGAGGTTCACAATCGTTTGTGAATGATTCGTAATTGGAGTAGGCAGAATTTTGTCTAGTTTTGGATTTTTTAGGTTCGTGTTTCTAATTTTGGTGGTGGTTAATTTGCCATGGGGAATGTGAATGGGAGAGAGGAAGATGGGGAAGGTGGAGGGGGAGGAGATGAGGGGGAAGAAAGGAGGAACGGCGGTGGCGCCTTGGGTAGCTCCGGTGGTGGGGATTCGCTTGACGAACAAGGACGGCGAGGTGGGCGCCGCGGGAGTGGGGTCATGGTTGTTCCTCATGTCAGCCACCATGGCGGCGGCGTTTACCGGCCGCCGCATCCACAATTAATGAGTCATTCTCCTCCTCACAGTCCCAGAGCTAGCCACTCGCCTCTCATGTTTACTCCACAGGTCAAAATTACTCCATTCCTTTTTCCATTCACTCCTCTTTCTTGATATGTTTGAATGTTCTTAGCGTTTTCTCGAACTGCTTGCATGAAATTTAGTAGATCTAGTGTTTTTTGTTTTGTTTCAGGTTCCAGTGTTGCCGTTGCAGAGGCCTGATGAGGTTCAATTACCAAACCAAATGTGGATGCAGAGTTCTGCTACTTACGAGGAACCGTTACATGAGCAAGGGATTCCAACCATGATTACTTGGAGCTACGGTGGTAAAGATGTGGCCGTGGAAGGATCATGGGATAATTGGAAAGCAAGGTTGTGGAAATTGGTGTGGTTTTACAACATTGTGAATTGCTTTTGTGAGTGGCTAATTTGTTGTTTATTTGCTTTGGTTGATCAGAATGCGGCTGCAGAAAGCTGGCAAGGACTTCACCATAATGAAGGTGCTGCCTTCCGGCGTTTACCAGTATCGGTTTATCGTGGATGGGCAGTGGAGACATGTCCCTGACTTGCCCTGGACCCAAGATGATGCTGGAAATGCTTACAACATATTGGATTTGCAGGTATGCTTGTTCGATATGTTGTTCTTGTTTTAGTCTCGTGTCTACTCTGGTGTTCATTTGGAAGGAATTGAAGATTCTTCGGTAGATGCTGATTGTTTGATTAGAGTTTTGACTAACTTCATATTAGGATCAGAAAGTTAAGATCTTTCCTGCATTTAGGTAATCAAGTATTGTTCAGAGCTTTTAGACGAGGAATTGTTGAGTGAGTCTGCCCTCATTCCCTATTTAGCTTGGCAAACTATAATTGGTTGTTCCAAGATGATCGATTAGTAAACAGAAAAAGATTCAAAGGTAGCAAAGCTGTGTGCCTATGAGTCGAGGTGTTTGACCATTGCATGCCTTGCACGACATCACCGACGGATTGTGCTATCTGTTGTGCTATAAAGTCCACCTGTTATGTTTGCATTTTCTTCCTTGTTATGCCTCTTGATCGAACAAGAGGATTAGTCACTGAACCACCTCCTTTACAATCTTTCTTTCCTTCCCTGGGAGTGCATGGACACAACGAAGAATACCATTATCATATCTGCACTAATAATGTGTGTCCAAACCATGATCAAACAGTAATATCATCTTTTGCTGTTTCTTGTTTACTATGACTGAAATTGTCATCACATTGATTTTTAGCTGTCTTTGCATCTGAATTCCGTAGCTTACAATCCACAACATAGACCTATCTATTTCGGTTGTTTCTAGGCTTAAGAACATTAAACTTTAAGGGGGAAGAAGAATATAGTATAGGTGGGAGGAGTAAGTAAGTGGTGAAGAGGGAGGCATGACTTAATATCTACAGAAGTTATATTTAAGGCATTGGTGTTCCTTAGAAGGATAGACAAGAAAGTTTAATTCTTTTTTTTTTTTTTTTTGTTTTCTATCTTTACGATCTACTGATATACTCTTCCACCTCTCCTGGGCAGGACTATGTTCCAGAAGACCTGGAAAGCATATCGAGCTTCGAACCTCCTCAGTCTCCAGAGGCGAGCTACAACAATTCTCAATTGGGAAATGAAGATTTTGCAAAGGAGCCACCACATGTTCCACCGCACTTACAGATGACTCTGCTCAACCTGCCATCGACTTACATGGAGATCCCATCGAGACCTCCACATGTGGTGCTGAACCATCTCTACATGCAGAAGGGGAGGAACAGCCCTGCAGTCGTTGCACTTGGTTCCACTCATCGGTTTGTGGCCAAGTATGTCACCGTGGTGCTCTACAAATCCTTGCAGAGGTAAAAAAAAACCATACCTGGAGAGATTTTACAGTCACCCTGTCAAAAACATGTAGTTTTTACTAGTATATATACGTAGTTGTTGTTCAAAGAGGATGACAAAAACTTATGCACAACTCTAATAGCTCAGTTTATAAAGTGAGCTTTAGGAATATGGAGAGGATGTGGAGTCCTCCTTAGATTTGTAGTCACCATAATGCAAACTGCTTCTTTTATGACCCCTCCTAACCAAGCTTGGGTCTTTCTGCTTGATTTTGTTCTTACTTTTCAATTTTTGGTTGCCCAAAAGGGAACGGTATATTTGGGTTGTCCTGAAAGGAATGAACTTTAGCTCAAATTGAGTGTCCATATTGGCTTATCTTGAATGGATCGAAGAGATTGAGGGAGATGGATAGGGATACCTTTGTTAATTGCAGAAACAGTCACTGAACTTCGAGCTGATGAACATATGTGTCAGTCGATTGTTAGTATATGTTACTGAACGGGGTGATTGTTACATTTATTAATCCACACTAATGATTTGTGGTATCGGTCGACTGAAAGTTAATTATCTTAGTAGAGTAGTTAACCCCCTGAAGTTCTTGACAAACATAACTAAAGAGATGAAAAAGGAAGACTTGAGCATATACTAAGAAGATGGAATTTGTCTTAACATTTACCACCCATTTCCTTTATGAAATTTCATATACTACTAGGAGTCTAAGTCTAGGACAATAGAATAAATCAGAAGTAAGAGGATTCAAACACCCAAATGATCACCAGCTACACTTGCAGCTTCCAGCAGTGGTACTAAAACAAACTAAAGAAAAGAGATTTTTTCATAACAGATGTACAAAACTTAAACACCCATGCAAAACAATGGCAGCAGGCTGGCTGCCTCTTCTCTTCTGAATCCTCACTTGAAAACAGGGCACCCTTTGACCGCAATTCCCGGTGCAGTCGGACAAGAAGCCAGAGGGCAATGATCCACCTCCGTCCCCCACCACTTCAAATTGTGCCCTGAATTCTGCAGGGCAAAGAACAACAGAACACCCATGAAGGCCGTCCCTGCATCGAGCGCCGCGGAGAGCACGTAGTTGTACTTCTGCCACCACCTCTTGTGGTACTTGAACACGAAGTAGTTGAAGAACATCCCGGTGATCAGCCAGCTGGCGATGTTGGTCGGAGTGGCCGGTGGCATTCCTGCGAATCCATACGATATGACAGGAATGTTGATCAGGGCGATCCATTTCTTCTCAGGGAAGGCCTTGCTCAGTGCCCAGATGGGGATCGGAAGCACTGCTCCGACGAGGAAGAGCCACACTAGGTTCCGGTACAGTCCTCCGGGTCCAAAAAGGCGGTGTGGTCCGATCAAGCCCCAGATTACCGACGCATCGAAGGTGACTCTGTACTTGGGGCACGTCCATGGACTGTCCGGGTGGGTTCCTTCGATGTCGCAGATGTCGTTGATGCTCTCGAGCATCCACCACGCTACCGCGAGGTTCACGATGCCTGATAGCAGCGTCCCAACGAGCTGATCATAGCAGCGTGTCAGTAATCAATCGAAAAAACGTCGATGAAATGGATCATTGATAAGCATTAACTAATCCAAGTAATTAAGAAGCAGTTACCTGAGCTGTGTACATGCACCTTGGTGGAATCTTCATGTAGTGACCAAGTTTAAGGTCGGACAAGAAGGAGAGAGCATGAACCGTACTAATCCTCCCATATATCTTGAACAGCAAGTTAGCTATCGGCTTCCCCGGCAGGACATAACCGATCATGAACTGAGCTATGATGTCATACCCTGGTTGCTGCATTCCCAAGTCACAATACGAAAATCATTAAACCTCTCGTAATTTCGACTATCGATCAAGGCTCGTCTGTGAACCTATACCTGGTTGGTTGTTGCTTGAATGACCCCAATTGGAAGTGTAACGATGAAGGCAAGTGCAAATGCAAAGATCATCCCCCACCATGGAAGCTGCACATCTGCCTTCCACACGAAAGACATAATCAGAGACAGAACGACGCTCCCAATCAGCAGGATCATGAACCAATACTCGGGCACCGGCTTGTATGCTTGCATCAGCTTAGCATGGATGTCGAGCTTCGCATTCTGCATCGCCGACCTACTCTGCCTCCATATATCCCTGCCCCCAACAAGGAAATGAAACAGTCAAACCACGGAGTCGAGTCCTAATCATAAAAATGTAGTTACATAGTTACGTAGTTACGTAGTACGTACCTTCCATGGAAGAGCGCGACATGAACAATAGTCGCGGAGAACCTAAGGAACCCTGACCCAATCGAGAGCGCGAACAAAGGGCTCAAGTAGAGCTTGCCATAGCTGTTGTAGGCGCCAACATCGAGCTCGTAGTCCGGGGTCAGCACCTTGGTGGTGTCGTACTTCGAACCGGATGTCGTGAACAGCTGGTTCGAGAAAATGGGGAACTTGCGGGCATCGAAGGTGTTGTACTTCCAGTAGCAGAGTGGGACGATGATGTAGATGAACATGATGAAGCCGACCCCGACGTTGACTATGGAGGTCCAGGGGGAGATGAGCGGGCTGCCGTGGTAGGCCGAGATTCCGGCCCAGTCGAGGGTGAACGCGCCAATGCCGAGCCCGTGGTAGCCCGAGCCGATCTGTTGGGCCGTGATGCTGCGCGGGAAGGCCCAGCAGACCCATGAGAAGAAGGTGAGGATTGGGAAGAGGTAGCCCGGGAGTGCGTAGTAGAGGAAGCTTAGGGTTAGGAAGATGAGGAAGAATTGCATTCGGGTGAAGCCTTTGCTCTTCACCTCCTTCTCGTGAAGCGCTCTGCATCATTAACAAAGAAACCACAAAAACAAAACGATCTTTATCTATGTGATTCGAAATTTTTAAACAACACACATTCCATCATCCAGATGATTCATTCGTTTTTGGATGAAATCGTAGAATGTGTTATCGAATTCATTGGTTTGGGGGGGTTATATTTCAGCAATCCAATATTTTTATTGGATTGGAATACGCTTAAACATATGCTTATACATTCTCAATAGCCCGATTTGCAATCAAATAATTACAATGCACACATGGTTTGGAGCTCCAATTTTTTTCCCCCGCATCCTGCGTACACTACAACCATTCATTGCAAATCGAGTGACCGAGAACCCCATTTCGGGAAATAACCGAATTCGTGTTCAAGTGTTATACATCCTTATCAATGATTTCCTTCAAGGACCATAGAGGCAAATAATAAATCCGTTTAGCATCAATGAGTTGTCACCTTCAAAAATAGAACTTATTAACTTCATGATCAAGCATTCAAGCAAGAAAAGAAAAGGGTAGTACTACATATACAAGTGAATTGACTTAAAAATGCACCACACAATTGTGACTTGTGTGGATCGTGAAAGGTTTGATGGGTACAGTCACCAATTTTATTTCGACGCGGTATTTCATTTTTGGCAACCACTTTATTCCATGGGACAAGATTGGAGAATAGTGATCAATCAAGATCAAGCATATGAATTGAATTGAACCAATGTAAACCACAAATAAATAAATGAGGAATTTGGAATGTAGCTGGAAAAAAAAAACGCTCTTTCGAAAGAGATCGGTGCTGTTCGAATAATCAAAAAGGGTAGTTGCCCTTTTAGATGCAAAGGCAGAAGTTCAAAGGCAAACTCAGAATTATTTTTTTCTCACCAAACACACCCTCGTCACTCGGTAAATGACACATTTGGTCACTGAGATTATTAAATTGTGTTATGTTTAGTCACTAGAAAAAATTAATATCAATTTTGGTCACTCGAATTACCGAAACTGGTCAAATTTAGTCACTCTCCCGTCAGTTTCCGTCCAACTCCATTAATGTAGTTGGACGGAAACTTTTGGGAGAGTGACTAAATGTGACATGTTTTAGTAATCCGAGTGACTAAATGTGACATTTTTCAATAATTCGAGTGACCGGAGTTGGACAGAGGCTACAGAAGAGTGACCAAATGTGACCTGTTTCAGTAATTCGAGTGACCAAAATTGATATTAAATTTTTCTAGTGACTAAATAATAATATGACACGATTTAGTAATCTCAGTGACCCTCGTCAAATAAGCAAAAGAATCATAGAATGCAAAGAACATTGTATCTAACGAACGTGATTTGATAATTTTCGTATTAATATTAATCGCATAGTATACACCCGAAATCAAAGTTGAAGATAGAGATGAAGGAAGACAAACCTGAAGAGGGAAACCTGAGCCAGGTTGGCAGGCCACCACATTTCGACCGGATCGACCAAGTACCTCCTCAGCAGTCCAGCCCATCCATATCCCAGCACCTTAACACAAGAAAATTCTCAACCTTGTGACATAGTTGATCGCAAGACTCCTAATCAGACCAATTAGGTACTAATTAAGACATTCACCGTCGCTAACAATGACTAACTCCTCACTATATACATGTCGTACCAAGTTACTAACCGTAAATTGCTCGAATTGATAAACAATATTATAAGAAGGGATTCAGTAACATAATATATAAGTGAGTGGCCCGTGACAAAAAATTGACTCCAGAAATCATTAAAAGACAAAAGAACAGAGCAGCAGCGGTGCAGTCTGTCTCTAATATCTAAAAATACGACCGCCTCCCCAAAACACCAATAAATGACCCAAATAAAAACAAATCGCAGGAAATTGTAAAGGAACGATTTTCGTCAACAAGCCGATTTCTCGCCAATGATTCCCTCGGAAAATCCAAACCTAACCCACACCATCCATATATCAGATCAATAAGCTCAATCATTCAAGATTCTCATATGATAAAAATTGCATCAAAATAACTATATACATAATTGGGTTTTAATTCGCCGGCGGCGACGAACCTGGGTGGTGACGACAATGACGAGAGCACAGGCGAAGGAGAGGCTCTGCTTATAGTAAGCCTTCATCACCGTAATAGCTCCGATGGAGTACGCGTCGCCGCCGCCCTGAGAAACCCCGCAATTGGCGAAGATGGTGATGATGACGTGCTCCTTCATGTTGAACGGGCCCGGGTTGAGGCTGAACTTCCAGACCCCGAAAAGATCGAACTCCCTCGTCGGAAGGACCCTGGCCATGAACTTGCCGATGGGTAGGACGGCGATCTGCATGAGGATGGCGGAGATGACGAGGGGCTGGGTCCGGTACGTGAAGAAGGTGTTGAGGAAGATGAGCAGCGTGCAGCTGGTCAGACCGAGAAACCAGGCCCGGAACGTCATCACGGGCAGGGTCGGGTCATCGGTCTCGGGGACCACCAGGGCTACTTCCTCGATCTGGCACCGGTCCTGCGGGTCGGGTTCGGTGGTCGCGGGTTCGGGCTTGGTCGACGACGCCATTGTTTGTTGCTGCCGGGTGGGAGGTTTGTTTGTGTGGGGGAAAAAGAGTGAAGAGGGTTTGATTATATAGTGGGAGTGCCTACGCCGTCCACGTGGAAATCCCGGGCCGACACACTCCCCGAATCTTCCTGGCGCGATGCCAGCGTGGATTTCCACGTCGAGCTATACGCCGGGCCC